AAAAGGGTTTAAAAAGGGAAAAAGGGGGTTGAAAAAAATTTTAAAAATAATGTTATGTGAATTTTATTTAAATATTCGTGAAGCGTTTTTTTAAGCTCGCGTGTGAAAGGCGTCCGTGAACAGGTCGGTGACCTTGGGTGAAAAATCAAAGGACATACGAATGCTTATGTTCTATAATATATATTACCGTCAGTCCGTGTAGTGACGGATTAAGAATACAGAGTGTCACCCTCCCTATTCATCCCTTGGGTTTAAGAGTCGATTAAGAGAGCAAACTCTGCAGGACAACAGCAATGCAAAGAGAAGGAAAACTTGACACAAACCCTATACCAACCCGTTTGACCGGCGTGCTATAGTAGGCCAAAACCTGGTTTTTAAGGAGAGGTTTATGTCCAGCAGTGGTAATATCAAGACGATGCAAAACCACGTTGTATAAACATGTCAACCGATAGTCCAGTTAGTGGCAACTCGTACTATTGTCTATGACCTCTGCATTGTCAAGACCGCCGCCATATTTGTTTTGTAACTGAGATTGTGCGGCTCATTATCTGTGGTTTATAAAAAAATACTGTTGACAACTGGGTTTCGCGGTTTTTTTTTTGTATTTTTATGGCCTGGTAACAAGACCTTTAAGCCAAGTCTTAATTTTTGATAGATAACTTCACTATTTTCACTTTCACTTCAATGTTCAATCTCAATCAAAAGAGGGTATCGCGGTTTTTACTGCGTCAGTGTTGCCAATTTATGAGGAAGCAAATGTTACTTTTTTAATTAGTTTTAATTTCTATTTAACAACAGAACAATATTTATAAGTTAATGCTATTTTTACCCACTTTTATCAGTTTCATATAAAACAATCTTGAAAGTCTATTTTAACCGATTACTAACTATAGTATTTTAATGAAACTTATCAATCATAATATTGACTGCCCTGTTGGTCTAGTAGTTGAGTGGTCGTGGGTTGATTCCCACCCAGGGCAAATTGTTGTGTGATGAGCACGGTCATTTCTTCTGTGTCTGGGTGTAATTTATCTACAATATGTATGTATTTAGTAATATATAAGTATGTTTATCAGCAGTCTGCTTACCATAGTACAGGGTCTGCCTAGTTTGGGGATCTGACGACCGTGTGTGAGATGTGGGAAAATATTATTACCCAATTTATTTGGGGTCAGAGTAATAAGTTTTTTTTACCCATTCTCTTCAATCACTCGCCGTATTCTTTTCATTCACACTCTCTTTCGTTTCATTGAAAAATAGTTTTGGCTTTTTGTTTTTGGCCGGCTGCCAACCTACCTGACGCCAACCTTCCCTGGAAATGTTTTCATTCTTGTACATAGTATAAAGCGAAATCCTGGTAACCATTTCGCTTTGTTTGCTCAGGTCAAGTTTGAATTAGAATTTATAAAAATAGACTGTCTGTACCCATGACAAATGATGCTCTGTTGAAGAACTTTCATTTTCAGATGTTACAAAGGAATCTTTGTATGTATACAGATAATATAATTTAGCATTTTTTTAATTTTCGAGCTACGAGGTGAATAGTGGTTGAAACATTTTTTTTTCTAAGCTATAATCATAATCTTGACTAAGACTGCACGGATGGCGTAGTGGTTGAAGCGGTCGCCACGCCGCTTCCTACTACGCTGAGTTTTGTGGGTTCGATCCCTACACGGGACGACACTTTGTGTGATCCAAAAATTGACTCATGAGTCTGAGTGTTCTATGTGTCCGTTTCATATATGTTTTGTAAAGTCTCCCGCGACACAGGATATATTTCTAGTGCAATCTTGACTGACAGTTATTGTTTTTGCTCCGCTCCTATTGATCGCATCTTGATGTTACATACCTTATAATCTTTCTCAATTAATACTGATAGTTCTAAAGATTATCACGATTAAACAAGAAAATAGATTTAAAAATAGCTTGACTGAGGAAATCTTGCAATTCCAGAATTGTCGTGTTTCTGACACGTGTTTGTCTTGAAAACATGGTAGTCACGTTGTTCGCGTTAATTTATAGAATAATAATATACCTTATTGTGTAAGTTATAAAACCGGATGCCCGACAATGACGGCCACGGACATGCGAGATGCGGTTATTTTATTACGTAAACAAAAAATTCGTTACACATGAGTCAAACGTTGGGCTCTGAGCCCCTTTTTTTTTTTTTTTTTGTTGACGGAGTGTAAAATCCCTTCGGATCTCCGGCTCCTCGGGGACTCAGGAGCCAGGAGTATGTGGTGATTCCACTAAAAACCACCCCGACGGCCGGCCTAAGGTGTCCTACTCTGGGGAGGATCCGGACCATGTTATTTCAGGTCCTCCCCGAATTGACACCATGCCTAATCAGGCCCTATTCCAGGGGAGAACACTTCCCCCTTCAATTGCGTCATGGCGGCCCGATCGCATCTTAATGCAATCAGGAAGGCCATTCCATTCCCTACCGCAGCAATAAATCTGCCACCAGAGGTCCCCACTCTCTGGCGGCCCGCGGCCCCGTCGAAACCTCAAACGCCAAAATCTATCAAACCGTTTATAACATGCACAGCCGTAAACACTCGAGAAATATTGACTGCACGGATGCCGTAGTGGACGGCGGTGATCCACAAATTATTGTTCTGAGTCTGGGTGTTCTTTGTGTCCGTTTCATGTATGTTTGTAAAGTGCCCCGCGACACAGGATAGACTACTAATGCGGGAGTTGTCTTTTTTAAATAAACAAAAGAAAAAGAAAACTTTTAGCTCTATGCGAATTATTGTAGCGTCACTACTATTTTTAGGGCTAATTTGACCGGACCACTATAACTATACTAGCTGACCCGCGCAACTTCGTCTGCGTCTCTCAATAGTAATAAATTTTCTCCGTTTTTGAAACATTCTTCATTGGTGCTCCGCTCCTATTGGTCTTAGCGTGATGATATATAGCCTATAGCCTTTCTCGATAAATGGGCTATCTAACACTGAAAGAATTTTTCAAATCGGACCAGTAGTTCCTGAGATTAGCGCGTTCAAACAAACAAACAAACTCTTCAGCTTTATAATATTAGTATAGATTTAAGTTATGACATATAAGACTAGTGGTTTGGAAATTTTCTGCTCGACTAGTGATCACGTAAGGTTTTCTATACTGTTATGTCATTAGTCCTATAAGTTCATCATCATCATCATCATCATCAACAGCCTTTAATAGTCCACTGCTGGACATAAGCCTCTCCTTAGAAAGGAGGTTTTGGCCTACTATACCACGCTGGCCAGACGGGTTGGTATAGGGTTTGTGTCAAGTTTAAAAGTTAACATTATATAAATCACTAGCATGTACTAATATGTAAGACTAAATGGACCTTATTAAACGATTAAATTCTTAAGAAGTGTTGGCGTCTGAAACGCAGTCGGCCATAATGGCGAAAATTCTTTTCATACAAATTCTCGCCCTCCAAAGCATTTGGCAAAAAAAGGCAATTTGTGTTGATGATAGTCAGTATTTTATATCAATTCATCAACAGCCTTTACTAGTCCACTGCTGGACATGGGCCTCTCCTTAGAAGGGAGGTTTTGGCCTACTATACCACGCTGGCCAGACGGGTTTTTATAGGGTTTGTTTCAAGTTTTCCTTCTTTTTGCAGTGCTGTAGTCCTGTGCAGTTTGTTCCCTTAGTCGGCTCTTACGACACCCACGGGATGAATAGGGTTGGTGACATTCCGAATTCTTAATCCGTCACCACACGGAAAACGACTAGTGATTACGTAAAGTTTTCTAAACTGTTAGGTCATTGGTTCTTTAAGGTAGCATTATATAAATGACTAGCTAACCCGCGCAACTGTGTTTGCGTACGTCAAAAAGAATAAAATTCCCCGTTTTTGCATCATTTTTCATAATATGATAGTTGTGAGATCGAAAGTTAATCTGAACTGAATTGTGACTGATCTTTATTTACTACGAGAATTGGCTTAGTTCAAACCCCTACCTAACCTGTAGCAGAACTATTTAACATGACTCGTTAAAACTTGTGCCACAAAATATCAGTCTACATTTCTTCTTCTCTTTGTCCAGCAGAATCGTGGGTAGAACTCAACTCTGGCGGCGGACTGGCCGCCGTAGAGAATGAGTACATCAGACTCCTGAGGGAGGCTCAGCGTGAAAGCCGGGACTCCTCCGTGAGACACTCTCGAGCGTCCAGCGTTAAAGGCAGGTCAGTATATCAGCAATTGGTATTTTTTGTGTTGTATAGTGAAATGGGTTAAAACAGGAATTATGTGTAACTTTTTATATGGTGTAAGGAGTAAACCAGCGGGGCGTCAATTCTGCTATTTCAAAATTGTATCAATAGACTGTTGGTGGAATGTCGTCGTAATAGTTTTGCAGTTTTTGTATTCTACTAACTATGTAAGTCTCCCGATCACTTGTCACTGAACTGCCATTGTTACAAATGTCGTCGATGTCGATGTTTTATAGTGTCAATGTTTTATAGTTTGGTAAACAGTACATTTTAAATTTATTAGGAAATGATATATTTAGTTTGCCAGATATGGCAATGTTGTTTATATCACCATTGATGAGGCATTACTTCGACAGTCTATTGACACTGTGAATTTATGTTAGTAGAATACCGATATTTTGATCGATGTTAATGGCATCTCTATAGCGCGTGGCTCGTTCATTAGCATAAAACAGCAGAATCGACGCCGACTACCACCGCCCATGGGCACCTGCAACTTTGAAGTCATAAGTGCGTTGCAGCCTTTTGTATCCTCCCCCAGAATTAAGGAGAAGGTTTTGGACTCTGGTAACTCACTCGATTTAAAGTGGAAGTAAATTTTAACCCACTTCTATTGTCGTAAATTAACATTTAAAAAAAACCGCTTGAGGGACTATGGAACCTCAAGAAGTGTCGGCAAAAAGTATTGTTACACATTTTTCGGTCTCCCATCCGCTCAGAGCATGTAACGCGCTACCAAAAGGTACGTCCATTTCTGTAGTCCAGGATAACACGAGATGACGATCTGACACTCTAGTTAGCTTATAAAGCGGTAGTGGAATATCTATTTAAACGCTAGAACAATAGTCCAATGATAAGTATTACGTAACGGCCATTGACCAATTCTTCTGTAATTGAATAATACTCCTGTATGATCTCCGATCATTCGTTTGATACGTGATAATTGAATATTGTTTCCATTGCTGTGTAAACACGGTCGAATTACATGGTTGAATAAGCTTGGCAGTGGCAAATATCTGCTGTAATGTGTATGTAGCTGGTGGTCACATCTGCAACCAGCTTTTGTCAATCGGTCGTCCCCACTGCTCCTTCACGACAACGCGCGACCCCATACTGCGCAACAGACAGTCTCCAAGCTGCAAGAGCTGGGGTTGGAAGCTCTCCCTCATCCGCCATACTCACCAGACCTTGCACCTACCGACTATTACTTTTTCCAAAGTTTAGACAACTTTTTAGTGGGTAAAAAATTCAATTCCCGAGAGGCAGTACAAAATGCCTTGAAGAGTTTGTTGCCTCCCGTCCAGCTGATTTTTACAAGAAGGGCATCAATAAACTGCCAATGCGTTGGCAAAGATGCGTCGATTGCATGGGTGATTACTTCGAATAACAGAAATAAAAAAAGTTTGAAAAAATAAGTACTTTCACTTATTGCATACAAAACGGAAACTTCATAGGTAAAGACCTATTAAATGCATTTACCGCGTGATATGTATTTTGTCTTTTTTCTTAAGGTGTAACAGTTAACCTTAACAGTCCACTGCTGTACATAGGCCTCTCCTTAGAAAGGAGGTTTTGGCCTACTATACCACGCTAGCCAGACGGTTTGGTATAGGGTTGGTTTTAAGTTTTCCTTCTCTTTGCAGTGCTGTTGCCCAAAAGCTAGTATTTTATAAATAATAATCCCTTTACACAACCGCATTATAAATTTATAAAATCAGTTAGACTATCTCTGTTAATTAATTTATAAAGAAAGCAAAAACCAATTTACACAAACACGCATCAAATACTTTCTAATTAGTTATGGCGTTTGCGTTCCGTTGCACGCTCACGCAGAACATCGATCATGTCGCAAACTTGATTGCTAACTGCATGAAGCCATAATGAATAGCAAACCAAACTGTCGACGTTTGTAATTCAAAGCTATTTCTGTACACATACATACATACACTCACGACTATACCCCCGAAGGGGTTAGCTGGGGCGACAATAATTTTTGGCACAAGCACTAAGAATTAGATTGGCAAATTCAGTGTTCAATATGAAATAAAAAGTTGGTAAGAATGGGTAGGAAAGGGGGGATGTAACCAATACATCGAGTAGATCAGGATCGCATAACTGTAACTGACCGTTGCCGGGAACTCCGAGTGCTGTAACTTTTGCTGAACTATTTTTGTTATGCTGCCCTGGTACTTTTTTATGACGTTTGCGGTCTAATTGTCGCTTTGCGGTGGGAGTCGCTTACCATCAGGTGATCCGTTACGTATATTTATATTAGCTGGGTCTGCGGTGTGCCCTTTTTTTTTGTTTTTTTTTTTTCGTGCGGAAATCCCCTCGGATACCACCTATCGGTGGCATGTCGGACTCGAACCGACTAAAACCGCACGCCGTCTTGGGTACTAATAGCCGTATAATAATAGGTATACCCTAGAAAGGAAATCCCTGGTGTTAGTACAACAACAGGTAGACGATTGCTTAAAAAAGTAACAAACATTTATACAAACATTCGCTTTTATGATATTAGAAAGTTATTTCACATTAATATAGTTAAATTAAAACATTTAGTTATCACAACAATGTAATAGTTTTATCACTTTTTACTAAACTTAAATTTTTAAATGCACTTACTTTGAAGTCTGATATCAGATGTCTTCCTACGTATTTAAGTTGGCGCCATGTTTTGGACGCCAAACGGTTTTGGAATGAGACAAGTGTCAATTTCAAGCGTGTACGATTGTAATTATATCATCTCTAGTTTATATGGGCTCCTGGTACTTCGTATATGAGTAGAACCTCCTTGTTGTTTTAGGTTTCATTGTTTGATAACAATGTAAGCATACTTGCTTGAATGTATGCAGTCTTGGTAGCTAATTGCAAAATTAGTAAACCTCCTTAAAATTTATAATAAATAGTGGTGTAACGAAGTGCCTAATAACAGTATCCTTGATCCCGTATGCGATCCTAGTACATTTTAGAATGACAAAGTTTAATAAATTATTACATACTAATAAAGATTGGAATATGTATGTTTGTTACTAAATCACGGCAAAATGGCTGAACATATCTAGTTTGTTTGAAGTTTTGGCCAAAGATAGCTTAAAAACACACTCGAGTGTTTCATAGAGATCAAACAATCACCTGCAATTTAAATAAGTGTAAGCATTTTAAGTTTCAATCTCATTATTAATAAGACCAGTAAATCTATCTTAACATTTAAACTGTATCCTATCCAGAGTCTGGAGAGTCTGGTTATCTGTGATACAGGTCTCCTCGTACAAATACCAGTCTACCACACAGATTTGCTGAATGCACAGATGGCGTAGGTGTTTAAGCGGTCGCCACGCCGCTCACTACTACGCTGAGTGTTGAGGGTCCGATCCCCACATGCACAAATTGTTGATCTGATTCTGGGTGTTCTTTGTGTCCGTTTCATGTATGTTTGTAAAGTCCCAAAAGCGACAAAGGTATAATTCCTAATGCGAGTTGTCTTTTTAAAAAGATAAAAAGAAAGATAAGCATTGTAAATCTTATTTTGTATCTTATTTTATATTCTTTTCACTTTTTTTGAAGTGATAACTTCTTAGGGGAAAGTAAACCGCTTCGTTACGTAACGCGTTACGGCGCCAGTCTGTCTAGCTTCCCTTTCTCTCACGCATACGTCAGCGGTAGGCAGGCTCCTCCTCTCTCACTCCAACCCACAGCGCTAGCCGTATTTCGGACAGACACTTTACATAAAATTTAAGTAATAACCTAAGCTTTTCTCAAGTTAAACAATTTCAATATTAAATAGTTCAACTTAGATTAGTTTAAGTTATCACTTCTGTCGGGTGTCCCGAGACCCACACGTTTTTTTTTAAAATGTGTATACTGTGTGAGGTAATTAAACAAAGACTATTATTATTATTACTCTAGGTCTTGTCAGGTGGAAGACTTTAAAAAAAAAAGGCTAACATTAAGACACTTCTGTAGACAGCTGAAGTGTTGTAATACATACAAAGGAAGAAACGTAATACCCAGTATAACAACACTGCGGTTTAAAGGTACCATTTCAGAGGCTACCTTTAAACCGCAGAGTATGTAATAAATAAAATGTTATAAGCACTTGGCACCCCAGATTGAGACATAATAATAACATCACACACATTTAGTAATCTAAACACATACACATTATAGATAAATTACACCCAGACATGGAACTAATGATTGTATTATATACTAGCTGACCCGCGCAACTTCGTCTGCGTCTCTCAATATTAATAAATTTTCTCCGTTTTTGAAACATTCTTCATTGGTGCTCCGCTCCTATTGGTCTTAGCGTGATGATATATAGCCTATAGCCTTCTTCGATAAATGGGCTATCTAACACTGAAAGAATTTTTTAAATCGGACCAGTAGTTCCTGAGATTAGCGCGTTCAAACAAACAAACTCTTCAGCTTTATAATATTAGTATAGATTGTCCTGGATTGGAATCTCTGCCGTGGGAGAGCCATGCTTCGACACGAATGTGCCATCTCGACCGGAGTGATACCACGGCCTCACAGAAAATCGGTGTTAAGCAATTCTTTCGTTGCCTTTCACTGAGTGAGTGAGGTTCCCGGAGATCAAAAACCCTCTGACTTGAGCGGGAGGGATTCCAAAGGCGGCAACGCACTTGTGACTTTTGAGTTGCAGGTGTCCATGGGTGGCGGTAGTTGCTTACCATCAGGTGACCCGTCTGCTCGTTTGCCCCCTTATACCATAAAATAAAAATGAAATAAAAAATCGAAGCCATAACTTCTGGCTAAGCAATCAGGATGACTTTGGGGCAACAGGGAACTTTTTTAGTGACGGCATGGAAAAACTCTTCGTATCTCCAGCTCTTTAGGCAAATTTGTTGTATCCACTAAATACAACCCTGACGGCCGGCCACAGGTTCTGAGGAGGACCCGGATAGCGACAGACCCCTAAAGGAACGAATTACGCAAAAGTGCTGGTTTCAAATTCATCTTCATTATAGAAGACAGTTGAAAAACAGTTGTTCTTAAAATAGTACTAAAACAAAGTAGGTTAGTAACGATCCATTAAAGGATGGCAATCCTAAAGCCGATGGCAATAAAACGCCATGCGTCAGCCGATGGCCTTAAACGGCCATAACTTTTAATTACTTTGACTTAGAATCTTGATTTTAAGTAAACAAAAAGTAAAGTAAGTATAGTAAAGTCTTTAAGTAAACACAACATTAATATTTAATTTTAACATGATACCTTCACGTGAACTTAGTTGACAAGGTCTGAACCGTGATACCTTCTTAACCGCCATTCCTACTGGTGTAGGTATGTCATTAGGTGCGCAAAAACGTCTGGTACGTCCTCAGTACCCTGGCGTGGTAGTCCTCTCCCGTTCCCTTTTATCACATATTCAGAATTCCCACGAGCTCACGTTGCGTTCCATAGCTGCATTATGTTCTCAACCTGGGCCTCAATTCTGCTATTTTATGTTCACGCCAAGCCACTGTCATACCACTGACACGCTATTGAGATGCCATCGAGTGCCCATAAAATATGTTTTTTTGAGGGAATGATTTATTTATTTTTCTAGATATGGCAATCTTTTTGATATCACCAGTGATGAGCCAGTGCCATTCCATCGCCACTGTAAAGACACTGAGTTAGTGTAGACTACCGATATTTATACCGATGGCATCTCAATAGCGTGTCAGTGGTATGACACTGGCTTGGCGTGAACATAAAATAGCGGAATTGAGGCCCTGAAAACTCTCTCACCATTAAGTTATGTTCATCGTTGATAGATCGCTAAATACGCCAATTCACTTCGAGTCAATTTATGTTTTCGCGAAAATATAAAACGTCACGTTTATCTGACCTTGAAGTACATTCATAAAAAAAACATCGCCATCATTGAGTTTAATGGTCGGCCATGTTTTATTGTTTATATATGAAATAACATGTGACGAATTTACCTCTTTGCGTCGTATGAGCTCCTGGTATTTTGTTTCGGAGTAAAACTATTGTTTGGTGTGTTTAGTTTCGTAGTTTCAAAACAATACTGAATTAATACACTTCTTTGAATATATGCAGTCTTGGTATGTACAACAATTTAGTACAAGCAAGTAAGTAGCTAACCAACGCTCGTACATATCACGCCATATTTGTCCTGTGTGGAAATCGAACCCGTTACTAGAGGGTAAGCCATGCGTCGGAACAAATGGAGTGATAACGGCCTGACAGAAGTTAGTTGTTTTCCACTGAGTGAGTGAGGTCATTGAATCCCAAACCAGTACTCCCCGTCATCCTCTGGGGGGGACCTACTTCCCCTCATCTTTTGGGAGCCCCTACTCCCCCTCATCCTCTGGGGGGGACCTACTTCCCCTCATCCTTTGAGGGCCCCTACTCCCCCGCATTTGATACAGTGAACATTGACTGTGACACACAAAGTGTCGTCCTACGCTGAGTGTTGTGGGTCCGATCCTCACATGGGATGACACTTTGTGTGATCCACAAATTGTTGTTCGGAGTCTGGATATTCTTTGTGTCCGTTTCATGTATGTTTGTAAAGTCCCCCGCGACACAGGATATATTCCTAATGCGGGAGTTGTCTTTAAAAAAATATTTTGCTTCTGTGGACTTTATGTGACTAAAGGTGTAAACCTCTGTGATATACACAATACACAAATCGTTTCCAAACATCATTTGTATACCAGATGGTACGACTATAGTTCATTTATTGCCTAACCGACCTCCGTTACACCCACATATTATCTGATTATACCATCTGTTTTACGTATTGATTCTTTTATAGCTTTAACCGTTTTGAATTGAATTGTCAATCAAATCTTTCCAACGATTATTTTTGGCCGCCCACGTGTACATATGTCGGTTTTCGCGGTAACTGTCTCCACACTAAATTTCATCTGAATCGCTTCAGCGGTTATTGATTCCCCATACAAATTTCTACCCCAGGATGATTTCTGGGATAAAAATCCTATCTTATGTCCTTTACCGGGACTCAAACAATCTCTATACCAAATTTCACCTGAATCGGTTCAGCGGTTTAAGCGTAAAGAAGTAACAGACAGACAGATAGATATACTTTCGCATTTAGAATATGAGTATGGATTATTTTGCTATAGAAGATACATAAAATATACATGAATACAAGGATTTCCAAAATTCTTTTTGTGTTCGAAATTGGTTTATTTCGAAATGGTCCCATTTTTCATATGGATCTGATGATGAGTTTCGAAGACAGACAACGGAACTCTTCAAGAACAGACAGCAAATCAACCGCGATTGCTGCTAGGTTTTTAGTGAATTTTGTTAGTATTGTTTGAAGTCCGTAAAAAGGATTTTTATATTATTTAAGAACAAGTTCACACATCATCATCACACACATCACATCAACAGCCTTTAATAGTCCACTGCTGGACATAGGCCTCTCCTTAGAAAGAAGGTTTTGGCCTACTATACCACGCTGGCCAGGCGGGTTGGTATAGGGTTTGCGTCAAGTTTTCTTTCTTTTTGCAGTGCTGGTGTCCTGCGTTGTTTTGCGCCCTTAGTCGGCTCTTACGACACCCACGGGATGAATTGGGGTAGTGACATTCCGTATTCTTAATCCGTCACTACACGGATAAGTTTACTGCCATATAAAGTATATGGGAATAAACTTGTGTTGTGTCTTATCTCCAAGTATTCAGTAGCTAATGAGGTTTTTTTCTTTCCAGCCCAAAATCTCCACCCAACAGTCCAAACCTGGAGCCCTCTACTGAAGACGAGCTGAAAGGAGTATATATCAACTGCTGGAGGGTAGATATTACATATATGTAGTATAAACAAACTCTTTTTACAACATTTGGAATAGCAGCTGTGGGTTCGATGACCGTACACGGCATTTAGATTTTAAAGCTATCCATACTTACTCACCTATTAGAGTTTAAAGAAAATAAATTTTCTATATTCATAAAAACGTTAATAAACATTCGGAAAAAAAAACGACTATTCTCTAGGGATAATTCAGTTTGCAAATGCCAGCGAAATTTTATTAAAATCTTATATATACTCTATGCAAATAAATAAAATTGGAGTGTCTGGTGTGAGCATGAAAAACACCTATTATTTTAACTTTAATTTTATATATTTGTATAGATAATACTCCTCACACTTAATATTCAACTGGTATTCAAGGTGTTGTGGTTGATTCCAGGATGACACCAACGACTGGGTGTGGGAATGGAGCAGCAGACCTGACCAGCAGCCGCCCAAGTGAGTAACTTACATTTACCTAGAAGTAATAATAATGGTTCAAGTTCAATAATACCAAGCCGGAGGTCGTGGGTTCGATTCCCACCCAGGACAAATATTGTGAGATGAGCACGGTTAATTGTTGTGTCTGGGTGTAATTTATCTATTAAATGTATGTATTTAGTAATATATAAGTATGTTTATCAGCGGTCTGGTTACCATAGCACAGGCTCTGCCTAGTTTGGGATCAGACGGCCGTGTGTGAGATGTGTAAGAAAAAAATTAATTACATTGTTGTTTCATCTAGATAATAATAGTCCGCTACTGGACATAGGCCTCTCCCTTGAAAGAAGGTTTCGGCCTACTACACCACGATGGTATAGGGTTTGTTTCAAATTTTCCTTCTCTTTGCAGTGCTGTTGTCCTGCGTAGTTTGCCCCCTTAGTCGGCTCTTACGTAACCCACGCGATAAATAGGGGTGGTGACACTCCGTATTCTTAATCCTTCACACGGATGTTGTTATTTAGTGAAGCTAATAACACTGTGACAACTCAGAGCCTTCTAAAATCAAATTAACACGATCCAGAACGCTTATACGATACATGACATACTTAGATCGGTTTTGTTTTCGTAAACATAGAAATCCTTCTCTCTGCAGTGCTGTTGTTCTGCGTAGTTTTTTCCCTTAGTTGACTCTTACAACACCCACGGGATGAATAGGGGTGGTAACAATCTTTATTCTTAATCCGTCACCACACGGACAGGACAAAACTTGACACAAACCCTATACCAACCCGTCTGGCCAGCGTGGTATAGTAGGCCAAACCTCCTTTCTAAGGAGAGGCTCATGTCCAGCAGTGGACTATTAAAGGCTGTTGATGATGATGATGATGAAACATAGAAATATGCATAACTAGGTTTATTGGCTGTTATCGCGGTAAAAATTAGCCTGTCTTTCCTCAAGATTCAAAGTATTTTCATACCCAATTTCATCTATTATCTGCTTATACCATTTACTGTTTTACGTATTGATTCTTTGATATTTACGATTATTTTTGGCCGCCCCCTTGTACATTTTTTTCTAAGGGAATCATGGGCTTAGAAAAAATATACACTAAATGTATTAACTTGCAAGGAGACTATGTTGAAAAATAAAATACTTTTTTTAATCATATTGATTATCATTACTTATTGATCACCCCTCGTATGTCGGTTATCGCGGTAAAAATCAACCTGTCTCCACACTAAATTTCATCTGAATCGGTTCAGCGGTTATTGATTCCCTATACAAACTTCCACCCCTTTTTACCCCCCTAAAATAATGTGTTCTGGGATAAAATTACCCTATTTCCCTTCCCGGGACTCGGACGATCTCTGTACCAAATTTCGTCTAAATCCGTTCAGCGGTTTTAGCGTGAAAAGGTAACAGACAGACAGACACAATTTCGCATTTATTATATTGGTTTGGATAAACATAGGAAGCCCCTGACCAATGAAAACAGTCATATAAGACATTTATATTACAACTAGCTGACCCGGCAAACGTTGCTTTGCAAAAAAAAAATTTAGGGATGGGTCACCCTTACCATTTAGGGGTATGAAAAATAGATGTTGGCCGATTCTCAGACCTACCCGATGTGCACACAAAATTTCATGAGAATCGGTCAAGCCGTTTCGGAGGAGTACGGGAACGAACATTGTGACACGAGAATTTTGTATATAAGATTATTAACACTAAGCGGTAATCGAACCCGTGGGTCCTCGATGTGGCAATCGATTACACTGCCACTGCGCTACAGAAGTAACACCATATAACTAAGAATTTGATGTCTTTTCAGGGACTGGAGATTTAAACACCCTGTGAGCGCCCGTGGTCCACCTTCCGCCACTTCCTCTATAGAAGTGTTAGAACAACAACTAGCAGCGCCTGCAATCCAGCAGGTAAGTTTAAATAAATACATTTTGATAACTATAGAATGAACGGACAATTTAAAGAATGTAGCTGGCAGTGGATGGATGTGGACTGCCCAAAAGCGGGATGGTTGCTGCACCTTAGGGGAAGCCTTCGTTCAGCAGTGAATGGTACTAGGCTGATGATGACCTTGTCCGTTTTGGTGACGGATTAGGAATACAGAGAGCCTACCTCTATTCATCTCGTGGGGGGCGTAATAGCCGACTAAGGGAGCAAACTACGCACGACAACAGCACTGCAAAGAGAAGGGAAACTTGATACAAAACCTATAACCAACCCGTCTGCCCAGCGTCGTATAGTAGGCTAAAACCTCCTTTTTAAGGAGAGCCCATTTCCAACAGTTGACTGTTAAAGGCTGTTGATGATGGTGATGACCTTAGACTCTCGCTCCGGTAGGATACTTAACCCCTTGATAAACGGTCTCTATCGAGTCCAAACTTGGCGATCACCCCCGAACTAAACACGTGAATTTAATAAAAAAAAAATCTTAGGTTACATAAGACTATTGCCATCAATTGAGTACTAGGTTAGTTTTTTATGCCATAAGGGGACAAACAAGGAATTGTTCGGACCAATACCGGCCGCAACTCGCCGCCATTGTCCCACACGACAAAATTCATCTCACCTTCACTCATCTCCTGGATAGTTGACGCTCCACTACTGTGCGCTTTTTGATACACTTTTTGCCCCGCACAACCAATCTGTGGAACAAGTTATCGTCTGCGGTATTTCCGGACCGATACGACCCTCAAACCTTCAAGAAAAGAGCGTACTCCTTCCTAAAAGGACGGCAAAGCGTTTGTGAGTCCTGAGTTGCAGACGTTAATGGGCGACGATGGTCACTTTCCATTAGGTGACCGTCTGCTCGTCTGCCCTCCCTAACATAAAAAAAAAATGAGAAAACTGGTCAACTGATGTTAAAGTGACTGCTGCCACCCATGGACGCCTGCAACTCAACAGTCGCCTATCCTACAGAATCAGGAGTGGGTTTGGGGGAGTCCGATGGGGCTCACGCACTCGGTAAAAAAGCGTGATAACTCCAGTAGAGCCGCCCATATGTTGCCGACGTATGATTCCCACCGTCAAAAAAAACAAACTTTATTGTCTATGTTCCAGAGCCACTGTCTGTCTGTCCGCCGTACGTGCCTCTTCAGCCGGGGGGCGATTGCAGCTGTTCTGGTCACCAACATCGTGTCGCTCCTGCTTGGAGCTGGTATTGGGTATGTATCAAACAAACATCTACGTCAACTTAAACCTCTGTATCTCCTTGCGTACAAAATGCTAACTTATTGAAGACATTTAATTAAATATAGACTCTCCATTCAATAAAATAAAGTTCAATTTAGCTTGGAGGAAAGATGAAAAGAATGAATTAAACAAGAATATCATACTGTACCTGAACACGTACACAAGTATCACTCATCTCAAACAAATAAATAGTGACCCTCTGCATAAAGTAATAAAGTGCAATATATATTGAGGAATTAATAACAGTATAGATAAGTTACTGTTTAAGCAAATACAATAAACTTTTAATTCCCTAAAATAATCTTTCTCCTACAAAACCGAGTTTGAGTGGAAAGGAAAACCCCCATATTTAACGGGGGGTTGCCATTTAATGTATTCTGTATGCTTGTTTGTATTGTTACAGAATGTGGCTGAGCAAGCGCGGCATGTTGCCGCCCAGACTGATTGTGATCAACTGAACACAAGACTGAGTGTGGCGCGCGCCTACGCCCGCCTTGTAACGTGATGCGATTGTAACTATATAGGTAGTGCTGTGGTTCACCATAGGGTCACCCTAAATTAGGGTCGCCTTGAAGCTGCACTCGAAAATAGGATTACCTCACATTAGCGAAACAAATAGGGTCACCCTCAATTTAGGGTCACCTCAATTTAGGGTCACCCTAAATTTATATATTATTTCTACAAACAAATACAATAAGAAAAGCTTAACTAGGCTCCCAAATAGGGTCCACTTAAACACCAGTCTAAACTAAATTCATACTAAATCTAGGCGAATGTTTAAAAAAAAACTGAAATTAAAAATATAATCGCATTTATTTAAATATTTTTTTATATAAAATGTCTACTAAACAAAAATTCGCCCCGTAATTATGAAAAACCAATCTATCAATAGGTTTAAATCGCATCGTTACAAGATGCGAATGCGCTAGCCGTAGTAAGGATAAGCTGCCAATGTTAGACAGTTGACGTTCAGCTACCAATGGTTGGTATTGGAAATTGATGGGTGACCATATCAAAACGCATTTTTTGGTGTTTCACGTCAGCACAGGTCATATTGTCTAGGATTAGCGGGCGTCGACTGTGTTTGTACTGTGGAAAAGATTTTAAATATTATATATATTTATATATGTATATCTAAGTAGTTAGTAGGTACAATTTTTGTAAAACTTTCATACATTTCAACTTTGTCGTTTTGTTCAATACACTCTTGGACTAGCGTGCGAGTGACGTCATTGCATTAATTGTGACGTCAATCGCTGAAGCGAGACAGTTGATACTCCTTTCTTTCACTGCGATCCTAGTACATGAAATCAAAACTCGATGGTTCGATTTCTATTATTTATATGCGAGGAGAGTATCTGGTTTGTGTAGGACGTGTCCATGGGTGATGGTTTTCACTTGCCATCAGTCGACACGTCTGCTCGTTTATCTCTTAAATCTTGAAAAAAAACTTTTAGGTAATCAAAGTGTGCTGTATTTTCTCGAGAGATCTCCTCGCCTTACTGCGAGCTTAGTACTTTTGACTATCTTTAACAAAATTGACCTTTTCTTTTGTCTAACTTTTTTACCACAAAGAAGTTGATAAGCAAAACAACCCACCTTTAAACTATTTCTTAACATACCAGTCCATTTACTTCCTTTAATTGCCTATGCATAACGTCCACTGCTGGACATGGGTCTCCCCCAATGCTCTCCACAACAACCGGTTCTGCGCTGCCCGCATCCAACAAATAAATAATAAAAAAACTTATTTACACATATCCAAACAAAATTATGCTCTTACAGTATCTTATTTTACCTTTTACATATCAAACACTTTTCAATTACTGCTATCCTGGTAACCTGAACTATAAAACCACTTCACGCGTATAGTTTCAAATTTCGAACTTTGTGTAGCCCTCCATATATTAGAGTTAATAACTCCTCGTGTTTACTGCGTGCCTAGTACATTACTACTCATTCACAGCTGTTTAGTCTTTGCTGCTTAAATTTGTGGCACTTTATATTCAACAGTATAACTCCTACCCCTAACTAACAGCCTGGTACTTTTGCTACGTAAAACTATTTCGAAATATTTTTTCCATCTAAGAGTGTATTAATAAAATGATTTTTTTATGATAACTATCAATATTTTTATATCTCGTTAATGATAAGATTTATTATGAATTAATTAGTTTTCATGAAAATCTAGATGTTTTTGATATCAGCGATCTCAATTTTCAAGATTGATCTTGTGTGTGTGATCAAAAACATCTGCATTTTCCATTTTTTTAGTTTCGTCTTGTGAAAGTACGCATAATATTTTATTTAGCACTAAAAAAACTCAGTCTCTGTGGTAGGAAAAACCTATTTATTTTTTAAAAGTGTTGCCATTATAAAAAAAAGTCTTTAATTTGTTATTACGAGGCGTAATATTAAATTGAAATTGTCAAAAGCTGTTAGTTTAGGAGTTAAATATTTTATTTTGTACGTAGATTTTGCTAGTTTTCATTCGCTTTTATGAACTTGCTGGAATCAGTCACAATTGTTGTTTAAAGTCGGAATACTTTGGTTTCAAATATTGGCTTAATGTATATCTAATTTTTACTATTCTATATCGTCATCATTATTATTAGCAACTGAAATATTTAGGAATAAAATTATCATTTCGAGAATTGAGGCCATCACTAGGCATCACATACATATCTTTCAATGTCTGCCATATTCAGGAGCACTGGGCCGTGTGGTTTTAAAGTTTATACAATCAAGGAAATCAGAAAAGGTTATTCTTGAAAAAAAAATGTATTTGAAGTACTTTCGGCAATTTTCTCTTTCGGCATTTTGACACTACTGCGTAGTGTTGCCACGGTGTGTAGGAATTTCGGTAATTTTAAGTTTAATTTTGGTTTATTGGGCCTAGATACTGCTTAAAATATTAATTCAGATTATTATTGAAAATAATAATTATGAATTATTTTATTTCACATTGTGTTGAAGTGACTGATTCTTGTAGTTTATTATATAAAAATTGTATACGAATAAGTACAGCAAACTTTAATATTAGATTAAAAATATATTAGTAATTTATTTAAAATTAAAACACTGTTGCGTCTTTTTTAATTTAAAATATATATTTAAAAAATTATATATACCAAGAAAATTATGGTGGAAACCATAATATTGGTCTCCAAGTACCTACTGTATACTTTTAAGCTTCCTACATCTTGCTGCGAACCTAGTACTCATAATAACTTATCCCCACTTTTGTACCAAATGTAAGAAGTGGTGGTAGGAGGGGTGTTATATAAAAAGGTTTTTAAATAAGGATCAAGTGGTGGTGGTGGTACTTGGTGGATTAAACCCCATCAGATGTTAACTACCACTAATAATATGTAAACCCCGTTAGTACACATATCTTCCACCAAGTAGTTAATTTATTAATATTTTGCTGTATTTAATCGTAAACAACCATTTGTTTAAGAACTTACTGTGATAGTAAATTGAAAAATAAAAGAAAAAATATATAAAAAAAATGTTTTTAAAATATTCGTCATGCCAGTAGCTTTGCTATGCTTTGACTGGGCCGTCGCTTTTTGATTTACTATCGCCACTGTGTAAATATATATGTCGTGTCATTTTTAATCATTACTGGTAAGTGCTTAAAATATAAGGATATGCATTTTATTATGATATTGTTTTATTTCATGATAATTGTATCCCTATTTACTGTCACTACCAGACGGGGTGATTATGTCCTTCTGGACCTGGACCTTAACGGTTGATATTACGAAAATGTATTAAATAAAGATTGGGTACGAGACTACTCGAGCTGGGCCTCAATTCTGCTATTTTATGTTAACGCCAAGCCACTGTCATTCCATTGACGCGCTATTGAGATAACATTAACATCGGTATTCTACTAACATAAACTCACAGTGTCAATAAACTGTCGATATAGTAATATAGGTCATCAATGGTGATATCAACAACATTGGCATATCATGAAAATTAAATATATCATTTTTGTTACAAATTTAAAATGTACCGTTTACCAAACTATTACAAAGACATTGACGATATTTGTATCAGTGACAAGCCATCGGGAGCCATTGTAGAATAAGAAAATTGCAAAACTATTCCGATGACTTTCCATCGACAGTCTATTGATACAATATTAAAATAACAGAATTGAGGCCCTGTTTATTGAGGACAAACAGCGAAAGTTGTTTTGTGAGGCACTGTAACCTAATACTCTAAATGTAAGCTTAATAAAAGACTTTAAAAAAAAGCAAAATCCCTTGATTACCATTGACTTCCCAGCCGATTCAGTAGCAGTAGTCAGGCACCGGAATGGATTTAGTGTGACTAAAATTTTTAATATTTTGCCTACTATACTGGTATTTTAGTACTACCTACCAACGGTCAACCGCGCAGATATATTTCCACTTCTTATAAATTTCTAAATACATTATCATCAGCCTATCGCAGTCCACTGCTGGACATAAGGTCTTTTCTATTGCACGTCACTTCGATTGATTTTTGGCTTCTCGCATTCCGCTCCAGCCAGCCATCTATCTTGCGCAAATCGTCTATCTACCAGGCTTGTTGGCGTTCTACACTACGTTTACCGAGACGCGGTCGCCATTCAAGAACTCGTTTACCCCAAAGGTTGTCGGTTCTGCAGCTAATATGCCGCTGCTATTTCAGTTTGCTTATCCGGTAGGCGCAATCGATGACCTTGGTTTTCTGCCGGATCACCTCATTCCTGATGTGATCCCAAAAAGAAACGCCGAGGATAGCCCTTTTCATATCACGATAAGCGACTTCAAGCTTGTGGGCAAGCCGTACCGTAAGTATCCACGTTTCGGCTCCGTATGTCATGACAAGTAGGACGCACTCATTGAAGACAATCGTTTTTAAGCGTTATGGGATCGATGATGAGAAGACACGACGTAGCTTCCCAAACGCTGCTCAACCCAACTGAATTCTTGTATTCACCTCGTCCTTGAAGTTGTTTGTACCCCACTGCGATGCTGAGGTAAACATATTTTTAAACAACTTCCGGACAAGCACCGTGTACCGCAATCCGTGCCGGTAGTACATATACATAATTAAAAAAAAAAAACAAATAAAATTATTGATAAATTAGTGAAAATTACACCCTGATAACAAATGACCGTGCTCATCACACACACTATTTGTCCTCGGTGGGACTCTAAACCACGACCTCTGGCTTAGCATGTAAGATCGCTCAGCACTAGCCAATATTCCTCCGAGAGTTGTCTATTTAAAAAAAAACAATGTGATTGTTCTGCCCCTAGTAGTCTGCTGTTTCAAGGCATATAGCAAAAGTTAAATAAGCCACTGTATACGAGCACCAACTTTTTAAATGGAAAAAGTCTCGACCCTACTGAATTAATAAAATCATTTACTTAGCTACAAAGTTTCTTAGACGATACGGGATATTAAATGGAGTAATATTACAGCTGCTTAATTAGATACATCTATTAGTTTAGAACGATCAGTTATCTTCGTGTTATAAATTATTTCGCTATAAAATTAAATATTTAAACAACTTTGGAAACACTGAACACTGAAAATTAAATAAACACATTTCATAATAGTGTTCAACTACCATTTATTGTCGGTTCAAAGAGAAAGGAACCTTCAGTTCTAAAACTAATACTAAAAATCAGAAATGTTAGTCCATAAAGTATAATTATCTACTATTAATCCTAGATTTCTAATGTGTCCAAAACGTTAAAATTTTATTCGATTACTCGATTATTCCATCACTGGATTGAGACAATTTAACCCTACAATGCAAGGTAGACCTCAATTTACCACATTTTGACAACTAAACGTTCACGAAACTTCAAATTGAATGTTTAATCTGTGCCTGTCAATTTGTGTTCAATGGCGGACGTCCTCGTTTAGTAACAAAATATTCATACTTCACGTTGGACCGATCGACGACAATTCTATTACATGTTAATAATTGCCATCGTCCTAACCACAAACGGTCTATAATGTCCACTGCAGTGTCGGATTGCTTTACTATTGGCAGTATAGTAGCGACGAGAACATGTTACAATGAAAATATTGAAGGAGAAGTCCTAGCTTTCGATCCACAAACGAAGATGCTAATTCTTAAGTGTCCGTCTTCTAGTGGTAATCCTAAACGCCATGACGTAAATATCGTGAATTTATCACTCGTGAGTGACGTGCAAATCAAGAAAGAAGTGACCACAGTGCCAGAGCCTCCACAGAGCCTCAACCTGCACAGATTGAACACTAGAGTACGAAATTCAATAGAGAATAAAAGAAGACTAGTAAGTATTTACAACCTCCTTTTCTTTTTCGCGGTATTTGGTAATAAAAAAAGTAATTCGTTAAAATTTTGGATTTCTTGATGATGAAATAAATTTATGTAATGTAGCCTTATTTTCTATTGCTAGGTAGGATGAACAACATGTCAAATGATAAAACGGTGATTTGATTGATAGGTGTAAGGTACCTGGTTTAAAAATTTTTTTTATCTAAATTTGCTTAAAAATTTATACCAATTAGGATGAAATTATGCTTTACTATACTTGCTAAATATTGTTACAGTTTACCCTTTAACACCTCTCCTGTGGGCAAAACATGTAATCTGTGTTTGTAAAAGTTTTTCCCGTGCTAAAAAAACATAAGTATTTTTTTTCACAATCCACAATTGCTGCAAGAAACAACTTGTTTGTAGCCGTAGTTAGGCAAAAGTTTTTATGAACTAGATATAGGTACCATATTATGTTTGCTACAGTGAATGTATTAATATTTAATGTAAATAATTTAAGTGACAGGTAACCTATAGTAGTAATTTAAAAAATGCAGAAATGGGCCTGCCCAACTGTAGATAGATAGATTAATAGATTGTAAAAAGACAACTCTCGCATTAGGAATATATCCTGTGTAGTAGGGTACTTTACAAACATACATGAAACGGACACAAAGAACACCCAGACTCAGTACAACAATTTGTAAATCACACATCGTAGTCACAAAAAGTGATGTCCGGTGTTGTGATCGGACCCACAATACTCAGCGTAGTAGTAAGTGGCGTGACCGCTTAAACCACTACACCATCTGTGCAGTCCATGTCAGTCAGATATACCATGGCTACTCAGAACACCGTTGTCAAGTCAGGTTTATTTGGAAAACAAACAGTATTAAAAACCTAATGGTAACAACAAATAATGTAGCTAAAAACCAATTACATGCTTTCACATTTAAATAACTATTAAGACCTTGTTTGTTTGTCTGTAAAGTCGGTTTACTGACGATAGTTGAATGTGACAACGTCATAAGAAAATACTGATGGAATGGTTGCATTTTCCAAAAATGTATTATTGTATATGAGTAGCAGATGTCCACGCAGACGCATCGCTCACTCAAGTAGGAGAGAGACAGATGTCGAACGCTGCCGAACGCGGAGGCCGATTGTGCCTCTTTGTCGCCCGTGCCGCGCTCTAACTTGCACTTCACGCCTTAAATGGAACGCCTCAGAGCGAGGTAACGCCGCATGAGTCATGTTTTTTCGTGCGTGCAGCCGGCTCCATCGAATTATAAGACGTTGTCACGTCAAAAAAATTTAAGAAAAAAAATCAACTACAACAATTGCAACACTACATTGCACATAATAAAATGCTATAAAGTATAATTTAAGCAGTTATTGATCCAATTCGAAGCAATGTTTATAAAGTATTTGATTAAATACATTCGGTTTAGTAATGAAAAGTCAAGTTCGGAAAAGTCAACCAACTTATTACCAACTTACTAGCACTAGAATGAATTCTGTCTGTAGTTTGTGCTGCAGCGGGGGACGTTTAGAAGAAGAAAAGGTATCCTAATAGATCTAGTAGGGGCACGTAACTCAATCTTGGAATCTACCCTAAACTTAACCCTTTTCGAGATAATCGTCTTTTAATTTTTTTATTGAAATTTGCTGATTTTTAGGCTACTACATTTATTTTTGTTTATTTTGTGTATCTTATTATTATTATTTTTGCATTTTTACATGTGTAATAAGATGCTTTAGGACGTCAGTCATTAAAATAGTTCATAAGTTAATTGAATAGATAGTAGACAAGTGAAAGTAAAGAAATAAAAAAAAATATTAGAAAATTATTTTTCTCTAACGGATATCTAAAAACAATATTATGGTAATTGTTCGGCAGATGTTTTTTAAAATATCTACGTTTCATCAGCTATCTAACGAGGTATAATAATCTAAGGTTTTATTCAAATGCATTGAAAAAACTTTAGTTTCATAGGCGACAGTGGAGAAGAAAATTTATACTTAGCCCAAAAAAGTAAAATAAAACAATAGTTAAGCATGAAATGTCATTTATTAAAGGTCAACACAACTTTTTCTTATTCTACAGTTCATGTTCAACATGGCCGCCTCTATTTCTGAGACATTGTCGCATCCTTCTACGGAGACCAGTCTTCATTACTCCAGTGGTCAACGTGGTCCTCATTTTATTTGCTGTATCCACAATCCTTTCTCGTAAGTCTTCCACAGACGAAACTGGATTCGGCTCGCTGTACACAAGACTTTTCATGCACCCCCACACATGAAAATCCATGGGGGTTAGGTCCGGACTTCTTGCTGGCCATGGCAACGGCCCACCTCGTCCTATCCATTTGTTTGGATAATTTGTGTCTAGCCAGTCCCTGACACTTCTCCTGAAATGGGCAGGGCAGCCATCGTGTTGGAACCACATGTCCCTGATCAGGTTGAGTGGCAGATCATCCAGCAAATCACTCAAGTCTGCTCTCAGGAAATTTTCGTAGCTTTCCCCATTTAGATTATCCGGAAGAAAGTAAGGTGCAATCAAATGATTGGAGATAATGCCCATCCACACATTCACGCTGAATCTTCGTTGGGACCCCTTCACTCTTTTCTTATTGGGATTCCTTAGTTCTTTTGGGGCCCAGTAATGGGCGTTGTGATAGTTAGTTATGCCATCTTTATCAAATTTGGACTCATCCGTCCACAAGATATTTCTTAGAAAATCTGGGTCTTCTACGTCAGCATTTAGCATAAATCTGCAAAAGTCCAATCTTCTCGCGGGGTCTCCTTCTTCAATAACGTGTACCGGCGTGTAATGGTACGGGTAAAGGCCAGCAGTATGCACTGTAAACCACACTCTCCATTTCGAAAGTCCCAGATCACGGGCAACAATATTAGTGGAAGTAGTCGGATCCGCTCGAAAGCGTTGCACTATCTCATTGTCCTGTTCTTCGTCGTCAATTCGTGGTCTTCCCATGTCTGTATTTCGTCTCAAAACAGAGCCAGTTTCTCGAAGTCTTCGATAAACTCTGTCAAAAACGGCCACATCCGGCACTCGACGACCAGGGTAGCGAGTTATGTATTCGTTGCGAGCTTGCGCAGACACACAATCGCAGTATCCGTAACAAACAAGCATATCAGCATATTCCTCAGGTGTGTAGGACGTCATCTTCAACACTTCCGTATCACAGGTACAAATCAGAGTCCGGTTAACAAGCACAGTAGTCACAAATCAGAAGAAATAGTCCAGAATCACAGCCAAGTCGAAAAAAAAGAGCAAAACGATATCACATTTGCTATGTACGAAGCACAAAAGCAGACTGACAACTAGTGACAACCAAACAATGCCCCCTGTTGTATTCCCAGCCCTAACCGGTCTCTACACATTTTTTCTTTCATTCGCACCTACATAAATCGTCACTTCGCTCGCTTGGTGCGTCTTAACTTGAAGGACAATAGCGTGGGACCGTTAGAACTGTTACCTGGAGCGTCCCAACTACTTTTTTTCCACGAAATGTAATACAAACCCTAGATTGTTATACCTCGTTAGATAGCTGATGAAACGTAGATATTTTAAAAAACATCTGCCGAACAATTACCATAATATTGTTTTTAGATATCCGTTAGAGAAAAATAATTTTCTAATATTTTTTTTTATTTCTTTACTTTCACTTGTCTACTACGATCTATTCAATTAACTTATGAACTATTTTAATGACTGACGTCCTAAAGCATCTTATTACACATGTAAAAATGCAAAAATAATAATAATAAGATACACAAAATAAACAAAAATAAATGTAGGAGCCTAAAAATCAGCAAATTTCAATAAAAAAATTAAAAGACGATTATCTCGAAAAGGGTTAAGTTTAGGGTAGGGTGTTTCATAGTGAAATATGTCAGAAATGATGGGTACTCCACGCCCTTCACGGATCTAGCACGACTTTTCTTGTAACCCTGTATAATATGTATTGCAGAATCGCCTAAACGCACGGAAATTCACCCTAGTTGACACAAGATCCCCATAGTATACCGCCCACGTCCATAGTATTCAGCATTATACTACGTTCATTATACCAAAGACTACATTCCCAGAGGATATGATGAGCAGGCTGTTCATAGTTAGAGTTAGGTGTTGAGCATTGACACAATGGTGACTCGACTAATTTAAATGAATAAAGCTTGCTCTTAAAGTTACCATGACCCGTAAGAAATTGAGCGACACAGTGATCCACCTCAAGCCATGTCCTAGAAAACCGTTCGCGAACAGATGGAAAGAATTGGTAAAGATGGCGCCCCTTGGATGATTCATCCCAGCGTTGTTGCCATTCGTGTATGAGGTCATTATAGACATCGGACTGCTGTTGAAGCAATCTTGTAATTTTACCGCGATCCCGCGCGCCCAAAAAATCGCATCCCATGTTTTGTTGTCTTGAATAGTACATGGCTGCACGTCTCTGCACCTCTTGGTATGGTGATAGTTTGTTTCTTGAGGACGGGCCTGTTGGTCTAGTGGTTAGTGACCCTGACTGCTAAACCGGAGGTCATGGGTTTGATTCCCACCCAGAACAAATATAGGGTGATGACGATCATTTGTTCTGTGTCTGGGTGTAATTTATATATAACATTTATGTATTTAGAAATTAATAAATATGTTTATCAGCAGTCCACATACCACCATACCATAGCATAGGCTCAGCCTAGTTTGGGATCAGACAACCGTATGTGAGATGTGTGAGGTTATTATTATTATTAAGAACATAGGCTACCATTTACTGCAATACGGATATAAATATAATAATAATATAATATTGTGCCACATTCACACAACGCCATCTAGTCCCAAACCAAGCAGAGCTTGTACTATGGATACTAGACAACTGATATAAATACATATATACTTTTTTTTTGTAAATACATACTTATTATACAAAGAAACACCTAGACCAAATCAAACATTAAATGTTCATGCACACAAATGTTTGACTTGAGCGGGAATTGAACCCGCGACCTTTGGAATAGCAGTCAGTTACACAACCCACTACGCCATTCGGTCGTCATCGCACACATCATAAATACATAAATATATATCTTAAATTGAAAAATAATACTGGGTAATTTTGTATACTTAGCCATAATTTTTAAAACTATATGTTTGTCATACAAGACTTTAAAACTAATAAATAAATGTGTGTTGGTTAGTGGCGTGCTTTTCTGGAACCATTTTCTTTTTCTACTTAAAATATAATGAACATTGTTTTTAGCTCCGCGGTGTTACCCGCGTTTGTTATAACCGCGGGCAATGCCGCGGGGCGAAGCTAGTCTAAAAAAAGTAGCCTAAGTTACTCCTTATGTCATCAGCTATCTGCCAGTGAAAGTCCCGTCGAAATCGGTCCAGCCGTTCCAGAGATTACCCGGAACAAACAAACAGACAGACAGACAGACAAAAATTGTAAAAAATGTTATTTTGGCATATGTACCGTGTAAACATACATATGCATTTAGTAAAAAGCGGTTATTTTAATATTACAAACAGACACTCCAATTTTATTTTATTTGTATAGATTCTTCTGAACATACATGCGGGTGGAGCTGTGGATATAAGCTAGTTATAGATAAATTACACTTTGTCACAGAGTAAATGATCATGCTGATCACACAATATTTATTCCGGTATAAGAATCAAACCCACAACCCTTAGCTTAGCCATCAGAATCGGTAACCACTAGATTTGGATCTGAAGCCCTGACATTTAACTTTGATATCTCACATAAGGTTTCTTATAACTTACATGTAGAAAAGTAATTTAAAAAAAAACGGATATTTGACACACAACGCCATCTATAGTTAAACCGTCGTAAGCTTGGCCCTCCTGATGGTTTGGGGGACGCGGGGCGGGGATGCATTCAACCAATTAGCTAGTGCGTCGCTGTCCGCCGGCAGTGACTGACGTGAAAGCATGGTTGTACGTGTTATTTTTCTTAAGACTGCTACACACGGTATTATTTTGCAACATGGATAATCTGCCGACTCTGCGTCACAAAAAGATTTAAAAACTTAAAGTTCGGCTTACAGAGGTTCTACTGTTAAAGTTCTAATAAAGAATATTTATTATTTTACTTAATTTTTAAAATTGTATCTGAATATAATTTACATGATGAAGATAAGGTGATTTTATTAAAATTATTTTACAGTATTAAATTTTACAATTAATCATAAAAACTTACAATACACTCACATTATAATATATGGAAATAAATTCGATTTTTATTACATCGTGTGTAGATTAAATCTCAAACAAGTAAATCTGAAGATATCGAGTTAGTACATCGTGTCATGTATAGCCGAGCGCATCACCCGCCCCGCATCCCGCAAACCATCAGGAGGGCCAAGCTTACGGCGGTTTAACTATAGTTACAAACTAAGCAGAGCTTGTACTATGAAACTTAGTTTGACTGATAGAATACCTGTATACTTTTAAATGAAATGAAATATTTAAAATTCTGTACAGACGGCGTAGTGGTTTAAGCGGACATCTCGCCTCATCCTACTGCCCCCATCCCATGTGGGGATCGGACCCATAACACTCAGCGTTGTAGTAAGCGGCGTGGCGACCGCTTAAACCACTACGCCATCTGTGCAGGCTTAATAATGGACACGGCTAGTACTTTCCTGTCCTAAGGAGAGATGTCAAAGAACTTAGAATGATTACCTACCTCAATGAATGCTGGTATGGGAATAAGATAGAGTAAGGGTCCCAAAGCAGAAGTATTTTTTTTACTGAAAGGAGAGGCATAGCACCTACTTTTAACAATAAAGCGCCTTGATGATAGATTCTTTTTTTGGAGATATGGATGTCTACAAACAAGAATAATGTAATTCTTCAACAGCCTTTAATAGCCCACTGCTGGCCGTATACCTTCCCTATAGGAAAGAGGTTAAGGCCTGCTATACCAGGCTGGCCAGACGGGTTGATATAAGGTTTGTGTCAAGTTTTCCTGCTGTTGTCCTACGTAGTTTGCTGCCTTAGTCAGCTCTTACGACACCCATGGGAAGAATAGCGGTAGTGACACGCCGTATTCTTAATCCATCACCACACGGATATAATTAAAAACAATTTAATGACATTCTTCAAAGCAAGAAACGAAAATAAGAACACATCTCTTTGGTGATTACCCAAGTATGTTACAATATATCTAGCAATAAGATATGATAGCCGTATTAATGTGTAACTTAAATACGTGTGGTGAGGGAATCAAGAAAACGGAGCGTCACCCCTATTCATCCCGTGGGTGTCATAAGAGCCGACTAAGGGAGCAAATTACGCAGGACAATATCACTGCAAAAAGAAGGAAAACTTGACATAAACCCTATATCAACCCGTCTGGCCAGCGTGGTATAGTAGGCCAAAACCTCCTTTTAAAGAGAGGCCTATGTCCAGCAGTGGACTGTTAAGAGCTGTTGATGAATAACTGTGTGTATTAAGTATCATTAGGTTTTTAAAAAGACAGGCCTCATTGAATCTAACCAATAATGTCTGTTGTGTTCCAGGTATCAGCACTATCAGCATGTTTAGACCCTGAGGGCCAGAGACTGTTCATGGCCATCGCGAGGGTCATCGATGATGTCTCCTGGGCCGGACAGAACATCAGAGTCTACAATGAAGTGATTATCACACCTCCTTACAAGGTAATAGTGATGTAATAATTTGACACATGGACCTCTGAACCCAAACTAGCCAGAGCCTGTACTACGGTAACCAGACTGCTGATAAACATACTTATATATTACTAAATACATACATAATATAGACTAGCTGGTTCGATGCCCGGCAAAATTTTAAAGGGTTTTTCCAAAAGGAAAAATAGCCTAAGTTATTCCTTATGTAGACAGCTACCTGGTAGTAAAATATTATCGGAATCGGTCCAGCCGTTTAGAAGATTACCGCAATTAGTGAGCATGAAAAACCTATAATTTTGATATTACAAATACACTTCAATTTTATTTATTTTTATAGATAAATTACCCCTACTACTAAAATTACTATTAATTATTTGCCGTGGGTGGGAATCGAACCCATGACCTCTGGCTTAGCACGGGCCACTTTTTAGAATGTTACCAGATAAATCTTGTTTCCAGGTGGACAATGTTATAGGCGAAAAAGACTCAAAGCCATACAATTATATAAAAAAATTCGTCGAAAGACATTGGCGCGACCATCGTGACAATATTGGCGCCAATACCAGCCAACATCAGTAAAGTACCGCCTTTTTTTTAATCTATGTGTGAGTTTCATGTTGCTGACGTCGTTTATGGTTCTGTGCTGGCCATAGGTTTAAATGAACGTATTGAATAATTGCAAAATATTATATAAGTCATGACTACACACGGAATAAAGTTTATTTTATTTTCGAGTTTCTCATGAACGATTTTTCAAAAAGATTTTTTTAAATTTGAATTTGATAGTTGTAAGTCTCAACATGAAATTCACAAATAATGTTCACATGATTGCAAAAAATATGTAATGTTTTTTTCAAAATTCACTGTTGATAATATTAAACTACTGTGTTTAATGTTAAGCCTTCCCTTACCTGATATTATTGTATGTGAAAAAGAAAAAGAATTTTCGCTTGTCGCAAATATGTGACGTTGGCGCCCGTGGTATAGCATGATACCACGGCCTCACAGGAGACTAGCAGACTGGTCACCTAATCGAAAGTGACCACGGGCGCCCATGAAAGTCTGCAACTCAGGAGTCACAAACGTTGCTGGCTTTTGAGGAAGGAGTACGCTCTTTTCTTGAAGGTTTGAAGGTCGTTTTGGTCCAGAAATACCGCAGATGATAACCCGTTCCACCGTTCCAGTGATGGAGCGCCAACTATACAGGTGATGGGGATGTGGTGTGTCTAGTGGAACGATGGCGGACAATTTCCAAGTTAAGCAGTTCCTTCGGTGCTTTCACTGAGTGAGTGAGGCTACTGTACTCCCAACCTCCCTCCAATTCTGAGCTCGAAGGCCGTCAACGCGTTTGTGACTCCTTAGCTGCAGGCGTTCATGGGTGGCGGTAGTCACTTTCCATCAGGTGACCCGTGTGCTCGTTTGCCCCCTTTGCCAAATAAAATATCTGTCGGAATTCTAATCATAAATAAAATAAGGGCTAAATTTAATAGGTAGTTTTCAAAAATTGATTGCTGTGATTCCTCTCAAGAGATTATGGTCACAATTTTAGTAAATTTAAAAGGTAAAGGGATGTTCTTAATATTAAATTCGATTCCAAATATAATTATATACACCAATGAAATTGTGTACTTTTAAAAAATGTACAAATTGTACTAAACTTGTATATGTGGTACCATCGATTTGTAAAACTTGTACTATATAGAGAATTTGTACCATGAATCAAACTGTATAGATAGTTCAACTCAGTTGTGCGCGCGGCCCTATGTGTGCGTGGGCTTGTAAATATACAACTTTCATTCGTGTGGCAGTGACGCGGCAGTCGTCGTCCGAGCAGCACACGAATGAAAGTTTACAAGCCCACGCACACATAGGGCCGCGCGCACAACTGAGTTGAACTATCTATACCAAACGCTTGTTTCATGGTACAGACAATATAGTAAATGTTCTATGATGGGACAACATTTTTTCCAAACAAAATTTTATGTTTTTAATCCGAAATCGAGAAAAAATGTTTTCCGTTTTGGTCAAAATTTTTAGTTATTTTTTTTGTTTATCCCCAATCTTTATGGTGTTCTGTGTTTACTGATATGAAATTCAATTATTTAGATTAAATATATACATTTTTGCTATGTGCCGTCTCTCGTTCTGTTCTGCACGCATCTCAATCGAAGTTCATTTTATACAATAAGTATTCAATGCAATGTCTTCCCAGCTTAAGGCGCCCACTATAGGGCCAGCACGCACTTGAGTTACAAGATGGGCGGCGATAGTCGCTTACCAGATACCTTACATCTTATTACGAGAATACATTTCATGACATTTGTGAGATCGACAGTAGTTCGGAACTGAATTGTCATCGCTTCACGTAAGGGTAGTCTAGTCGACCCTAGGACCATAGGGTCGACTAGACGACCCTAAATGTTTACACATTACTGTTACACCTTGTATATTTGATTTCTATAATAAATGAATTTGTCATTTAGGGTAGTCTAGTCGACCCCAGGCGGTCCTAGGATCGACTAGACGACCCTAAATGTTTACGCATTACTGTTACACCTTGTATATTTGATTTCTATAATAAATATAATTGTCATTGAATACTTATTGTTGTAGGTAATTGTTTTTAATTGAATTTTATGTATTGTAAGCGCAGTACATACGGTCTTGTGTTGTGGGGTAAACAAAAATATATAGTTATAATATTTAAATGATGTTGGTTTAAGTAACAGAAAGAAAATTTAAAAAAAAATTAAAAATTTGTGTTTGTTTTTCATAATGTATCCCGACCCTAAATTTTTCTATCAAGAGATTCAGGATTCAAAACCCCTCGTCTATCGACACCCCATCTCTATCTGGAGGGGGGGGATTAGGGTCCCCGTACTCCACTTGTGGTCACCTATTTATCAGGTCCCCGGTTGCTTCTTCATCCCAGGCTCCCTACAAAAGACTCAATTGTGACGTAACACCTTGTAGTTGTAGTCAGTTAAACATTACTTCACCTTAGTTCTAAGGAGGTGTGGGTTTCCACATGAAAATAGTTCGAAACCCCATAGTATCATATTCAAAGTTTTTTCTTAGTCAATGATAAGAGGTTTAATCTCGTAAAGGCAATTTTATAATATTAGTAACCAATAGGTATTTATTTTATTTTATTTATTTATTTATACTCCCTGCAAATACAATGCATAAGGCGGACTTAATGCCATAGGCATTTTCTTCCAGTCAACCTTGGGGTGATGCAGAGATTTGTGTGTGGCAGGTGTATAATGAGATAAATTATTTAAATTGTAGTCGGTTGCAAGATGTTATACTATTATCAGACCTGCCGTCCTGCATGGTTCTGAAAGTTGGCCCATTAAGAGAACGGATGAGAGACGCCTGAACGTAGCCGAAATGCGAATGCTGAGATGGATGTGTGGTGTGACTCAGATGGACAAGGTTAGGAATGAGTATATACGAGGGAGTCTGAAAGTAGCGCCACTGGATGAAAAGTTAAGAAGTAATAGGTTATCTTGGTATGGTCATGTCATGCGGAGGGATGAGGAAAATGTGGCGAAGAAAGTTTTAGGTATGGGAGTTGAAGGGTACAAAGAAGAGGCAGACCGAAGAAGAGGTGGATGGACTGCGTGAGGGAGGATATGGCTAGCACGGGAGTAAACAGTGAGATGACGCATGACAGAGTAGAATGGAGAAATCATACATACTGCGCCGACCCCAAATAAAATTGGGAAAAGGGTAGGCAGATGATAATGCAAGATCCTACATAGATATACGGGGATACATATATATATGTAAATATAATTTATACGTACTATATAATACTATAAATATAAAAAAAACAAACATACATCCATACATATATGACTGATATTGATGAACACGCGAGGTGTTATTTTGATGACTCCGTCAACAAGTCTCCTTAGAGCTTGCGTACTCTGATCTTAAAGGTTGTTCGGTTGGTGGATGTCCTGATCTCTAGGGGAAGGGCGTTCCAAAGATTTACCGCTTGGACAGCGAAGGAAGAATGTACGATACGGGAGCTATGTGAAGGACAAAGAAGGAGGAAATTATCAGCGGAGCGAAGGCCTCTGTCATGGTTGGAGCAGAGATATTGCAGGTGGGATGTTAAGTAGGTAGGTGTGTGGAGAAGGGAGTGCAACATGTCAGCGCCCGCAAACTGCGGCGCTGTCTTATAGGTCATCAATCATCATCATCATCAACAGCCTTAAATAGTCCACTGCTGGACATAGGCCTCTCCTTAGACAGGAGGTTTTGGCCTACTATACCACGCTGGCCAGACGGGTTGGTATAGGATTTGATTCAAGTTTTCCTTCTCTTTGCAGCGCTGTAGTCCTGCAGAGTTTGCTCCCTTAGTCGACTCTTACGACACCCACGGGACGAATGGGGGTGGTGACACTGTATTCTTAATCCGTCACCACACGGAATCTTAGTCTTATAGGTAGCCATGACAATTGCCTGCGATAAGCGGATACATGATCGTACTTTCGCAGGTGGAATATGAACCGAATGCAATTGTTGAGAAGTCGGTCTAATTTATTGATCAGATCTGCATTCAGGTCGAGGTAACACACCTCACCATAGTCGATGATTGGGAAAATTAAGGTCTGCACCAGCATCGTTTTTGTTTTCACTGGAAGTAAATTTTTCAGGCGGTAAAGTCCCCTCAAAATATTCGTTAAGCGAAATCCACAGTTTTAATATTTAAGATCTGCCATAAAATAATTAACGTCCGTGTGGTGACGGATTAAGAATACAGAGTGTCACCACCCCTATTCATTCCGTGGGTGTCGCAAAAGGCGACTAAGGGAGAAAACTATGCAGGACAACAGCACTGCAGAGAGAAGGAAAACTTGACACAAACCCTATACCCACCCGTCTGGCCAGCGTGGTGTAGTAGGCCAAAACCTCCTTTCTAAGGAGAGGCCTATGTCCAGCAGTGGACTTGTAAAGGCTGTTGATGATGATGATGATAAAATAACTAATATGGATGCAAATAGTTTTTCACTTTCGGATATATCGAGCACATAACTACTATACAAATAAAATACCGTATATATTGTAAAAAAAGTCTAAGGTTATTTACATAAACTCGCGTGTTTTATCCCCGAGCGGTAGACATAGGCATATTTCAGCAAATTTTCCCAACAACACTATAGTAATCTCGCACCTAGACTTTACAACAAACTAAATATATCTTATAACACTAAAAAGTTAACTCATTTTAAAATATAATAAAATTATGGCTTAAATATATGGGATTTGATGATGGTGAAAGCTTACTACAAATATTGAAGTGATGGAAACTTGAATAATGTTACATACACACACCCTCTCCCAGCCTCATACATACCACATACACACGCACGCACGCACGCACGCACGCACGCACGCACACACACACACACACACACACACACAAATCTAATTAATTAGTTAACTAAATTGTATCTACTATTGTAACTATTTGTTCACCCTTGTCTTTGAGAAGGAACTGACTCAATAAACACAGCTCGCGTTAGTTTGGCGGATCAGGGCTGTATAATGTGTGTGTAATTCACTTATTGTTACAATAAATAATATATTAAACGGTTTAGACTTAAAATGATCCCTGGTACCGGAATATCCCTTTCGCACAATGTCACCATTATTTTACACTTTTAGGTGAAATGACATCTATGCATTTCTGTTGCATTATTTGGTTAAAAATATACAAGGGTAGGTTAGGTTAGTATCATTATCTTAATAACTTGAAAGAATACAACTAAGGGTCTATAAGTGCATATGATATTTGACGAATCTTCCTGTAACTCCTAACCGTTAAGGAGTTGTACCTTCCATCACCAGCTCATCAACACGAGATAATGACTACCAGACGCAAATACTAGAATAGCTTCAGAAATTATATGAAACACATAATACATGCCTATAAAATTTGATGGTCGCCCTCGATTTTCCTGGGATCCCATCATCAGATCCTGACTTCGTGACAATGGGACCACCTCAGGATTATGCTCTTTCTAACAAAAAAAGAATTTTGAAAATGTTCACAATTGACGAAGTAATCGATGAACATACATAAAAAAAAAAAATACATACAGTGGAACATAGAACCTCCTCCTTTTTTGAAGTCGGTTAAAAATTATTCTAATTCTTCTATATTTTTCATAAAATCACATTTTTAATATCTTTTTTGCATCTACCATGTTTTAGCTCTGCATCGTCCTAAGGTTGACTTTGAGAAAATGCCCACGGCATTAAGTCTGATTTTGTCACATTTGTGCATAAAATAAAACCAGAACCCATTTATGGTATGTAGACAATACCTTTTGTACATGTCTTAGGTCAAAGTGGTAAGCACCAGGGACTTCCTTTCTAGGGTATACCTGGTTCCCCGGCTATTAGTACCCGGCGACGGCGTGCGGTTTTAGTCGGTTCGAGTCCGACATGCCACCGACAGGTGGTATCCGAGGGGATTTCCGCACGGAAAAAAAAAAAAAAAGATCAAAGTGGTAAAATAAATAACTAATGGGACATTATGGGGAGAGGAAATTTTGGGAAATGGGAGGAAAGGAAAATAGTCCCATTTGAAATCGAAGGACATTTTGGTAAAGGGATGAGCCTGAACGTATTAAACGCTCACATTTTGTAAACTGTTATTTTAGTCAAACTTAACTAATACCGGGTAAGTAAATAAAACAATAAACATCATATGCATAATTTAATGTCTACATAACATCTACAAGATTAAATTATATTTTGAAATATATTAAACATGTTTAAATGGCATTATTAAAGAAATAACATCGAGTATTTCCTAAAATTCTCATATACTTATGTGGGCTACGGGTAAGAAACACCATTTTGTAGAGAAAGTGTCCGTTAAAAATGTAAATGAAGATGGCGCCACCGTATCTAGATGGTAAGAACTAATATCAAGAAACATATTCTTTGTAATCATGCACTTTTAAGCCACTACTTCCCCAAACGCAGGCAGTTGCACTTGAAAACGAGTCGGCAGTAATCACTAACCGTCTGTCTTATATTACAAAGAGAAAAACTTCATTTCCTCTACAAAAGCTAACCTCATGTTTAAACAAGCGACATTTTTTGTGCAGAAGCCCTAGTGTGAGTTTATTTTGCATCAGTAATTTTTTTTTTATATCAGAGGGGGCAGACGAGCAGACGGGTCACCTGATGGAAAGTGACCATCGCCGCCCATGAACGTCTGCAACTCAGGAGTCACAGACACGTTGCCGGCCTTTTAGGAAGGAGTACGCTCTTTCTTGAAGGTCGTTTCGGTCCGGAAATACCGCAGACGATAACTTGTTCCACAGATTGGTTGTGTGGGGCAAAAAGTGTCTCGAAAAGCGCACAGTAGTGGAGCGCCAACTATCCAGGTAATGAGGATGAAGATTTGTCTAGAGTTTGCGGTCAAAGTAACTATCGCGTTGTTGTGAAATAAACTCACACTGATCACTTTATGACCCATATACAAGATGGCGTCCCTTATTTATCTACCATAGATTGACATACAACTGCACAGATAATAAAGTGTACACAGAAAAAAATATTTTTTTAAAAAAAGCCACTGATGTTATAAGATATTCTTTAGTTTGGTAAGTTTTATAACGCTTAGTTAATTAGTTATATTAATCGCCTACATATTCAACAGGTGCATAATACTCGCCTAACTGGCTAATTCGTGGAACGATAGTCGACGAGTTGACTAATCGTTAGTCATTTAATAGACAATTGGCAAAATAGTTGTCTAATTGACTAATATTAGTCATTAAATAGGCTTACTGATTATACAAAAAAGCCGTGTGGTGTCGTGGGACACCCGATAGGAACGAAGTTGTAACGATCGAGTAAAACTGATTGGGCACATTTTAATTACAACGCCATCTATGAAAGCGGCTATTACCTACATATTTTTCAGTTGGTTTCTAATTAAAACAATTTATACATTGGTAAAATCTCCTTGAGAAATGATTTCCTATGTATTCGATAGATGGCGCTGAATGACTGACATAAAAAGATAGAAATGAAAATATCTGGCTTGCTTTCTATAAGAGAGAGAGAGACAGACAGAGAAACATGCGACGCCGCACAGCTTACAATAGCTTACTATAGCAAAAAGTGTCGTGACCAATTTTCGTAAGATTTTTTTCCGTCTAGCCCCCTTTCACAACGCGCGATAAGGAACTTCGTTCCAATAGTTAAATAATTGACTAATAAATAGTCATAAAATAGGCCTAATTATTGTACAATAGTTGACTAAAGATTAGTCATAAATTAGGCTTACTAATACTGCAACAGCTGTCTACGTGACTAACGATTAGTCACAGATCGGACAAACTTTGACTAATACTACAATAATAGTAGATAGATTATAATTGGTGTAGTCATCTACAGGACAAATTATTTGTTAATAGTTTGTTTAGTTGACTAATTTTGTGACGTAGTTGCTTGGGAATAGGCCGGTCATGCCCCTTAGTTCTCCTGAAAATAATAATTGATATCAGTATTGCAATAATTAATTAAAAATGAAAGATAAATGATAGTAGAGTATAGACATAATACAGTATAGTGGCAATATTACTCTGTCCATTTGTTTCTTATATTAACCGACTTCAAAAATACAAAAGGAGGTTCTCAATTCGACTGTATTTCTGACAATAGAAAATTTGTGATGACGTGTGGCACCTTCGATTAAAAATAATAATAATAATAGTTTTAAAAAACTAAACTAACTAACTAAACTAAAAAATAAATTTTAATAAATTTGAAAAATAAGCGTGGGGTGCTTTTTACTATTGACAACAGGCACCCCCAACGCTTTTTTTTCAAATTTATTAAAATTTATTTTCTATTTTTTAGTTTGGTTTTCTATAAAAAGCGTGTTTTTTAGATTTTTTAAACTATTTCTCTTTTTTTTTTAAATTAGTGTATTGTCATCGATCATCGATATATCTACAAAGTTTGAACGAATTCTGACCGTTTAAGTCAGACAAAATCACGCCCAAAGGAGTCGGTTACAAACAAACATACAAGTGAAGCTAATATAAAGCGTGTAAAAATGGATTTTATTCGATTTGATGTTACTGAAAACTCGAGTAACGAATCTGAGGTCTGACGTGACCAATATGTCATTCGTTCGTTAGTTTAAGGTTAAACTTAAATTCCACACTTCCACAGTACATCGAAGGGTTACAAGTTAGAAGAGATAAGAATTACGCGATAGAAAGAGACACAACTTTTAGGTGAATATATCTGTAGGTGATTAGCGCTGTGTAACCTGAATTGAACTTTATTTTATCGAAGTTAGAGTCGATATTTATTTAAACGATTTTGGAGTGGTATTGTACTGGAAATACCATGTATTTTGTGGTTTAACATTGCAGGGTATTCTGGGGAGATTCTGGTGAATGCTTTTCACATTACAGTCACACGCCAGAATGGTTGCATAAGGGATACGGGTACACACACCATAGACACAGAGAGCATAGGGACCAGAAATTCTGGGTTGCCAGCTATAAGACATATTAACAAACATAATACCAGGAGAACATAAGTATGCATAGCTTGCAGGTGACATCTGGGGCGGTATACTATGGGGATCTTGTGTCAACTAGGGTGAATTTCCCTGCGTTTAAGCGATTCTGCCATACATATTATAGAAATCAAATATAGCTCACGTAGGACCCGTAATATTTGTGGCCGTGGTGCTTCCCTGTTTAAAAGGGTGTATGCCCATTTTCCTTCATTTTGTCTCCCGCTTTGCTAAGGAGGGAAGTGGATTTACTGTATTTCCAACTCCTCCAATTTTCTTCTGATTAATTTCGTTGCGGGTTCCAAGACAGTTTAATTTCTTCCTGGGACTTCCCGAGTGTCATAACTCGGTGTGTTCGTGGGTCACTGCTGTGGATCCTGGTGTACAGGAGTTACAGTGGTGGGCGTGTGGGTGGGATTAGTCCCAAAAAAAAAAAGAACATAAGTATGTAGGATGTACCTTGCCACCAAGCGGGGTCCTGGCTCCTGTCGGTCACGGCTATGATATCGTCCTTCTCGAAGCTCAGCTCGTCTGCGTTCTGAGCCGTGTAGGGGTATAGGGCTATAACCTGTAAAGGAAAAATATCAAAATATTGCTTTAAAAATTAAAAGGTTGAAAATTATGTAAGGTTATAGGACTCCAGTATTCGTTGACCTATCATGGGCCATAAGTCAATGTTACTGGTAGTTCAAGTTATACCAGTCCTGAAATAAAACGACAGAAATTTGACGAAATCTTGGCACTACACACGGCCGTCTGATCCCAAACTAGGCAGAGCCTGTACTATGGTAACCAGACTGCTGATAAACATATATTACTAAATACATACATATTATAGATAAATTAGACAGAACAAATGACCGAATCCCACAATATTTGTCCTGGGTGGGAATCGAACCCACGACCTCCGGTTTAGCTGTCGGGGTCACTAACCACTACATATCTTATAAGTCCAAAGAAAATATTTAATGAGTATAGTATTTATCCTGGGTGGGAATTGAACACACGACCTCTTGATAACGGGATATTTGTAATAAATCTTTGTTTTAAAGACAAAGACATTTATTGCAAAGAAAACTGTGTTACATATATAGATGTTTTGTGGTAAGTAAAGTTTCAACAGTTACCCAATCGGGCATTGCAATTTTAAAGTACACTATAAATAAAAATGGAAAATAAGTTTAAAAGGCATGCAAATTATTTTGTGAGAAAATACTCTTGCAAATTATAGAATACATTCTTTATTAACCATTTCTTTAGAGCATTCTTGAACATTTTTTAATCTAATAATTTTTATTTTTAAGATATAATATATAGGTATGTATATTATCATACCTTGTCAATGACGGTCTCAGCAGGGAGGGTGTCCATCTTGGATAGAACTGGAGTCGTTCGACCTGATGTGCGCCCAGAGGACTGTAGTATCTACAAAACATTAAAAAAAGATAAACCACATTTTACTTCGACAATAAAAAAAATATGAATGAATAAATTACGAAAAATTTCAAGAAATTGTTAGCATTTCACTTTATTCTCATAATCTTGCAAAATTGCAGATGACACACAACGCCATCTAGTTTCAAACTAAGCAGAAATTGTACTATGAAAGCTAGATTGACTGATAGAATACTTATATACTTATTTTTCATAAATACATACATATTATCACCCAAACGTCGAAACAAATCATACAAACATTTGGTCCGACCCCGTAATCGAACCGGAGACCTCAGCACAGCAGTCGCATACGCTACCACTACACCACCGAGGCAGTCTTAGCCATTTGCCAGATGCCAGCCCTTAAGGAGTTAATTATGCAAAGGGAGCTAGGATAAGATATACACTGGGTCTCTATACATACAATGACAGTCAAATCTATACAAATAAATAAAATTGGAGTGTCTGTTTGTAATATTAAAATAACCGCTTTATACTAAATGCATATGTATGTTTACACATTACATATGCCAAAATAACATTTTTTACAATTTTTGTCTGTCTGTCTGTCTGTTTGTTCGGGTAATCTCTGGAACGGCTGGACCGATTTCGACGGGACTTTCACTGGCAGATAGCTGATGACATAAGGAGTAACTTAGGCTACTTTTTTTAAACTAGCTTCGCCCCGCGGCGTTGCCTGCGGTTATAACAACAAACGCGGGTAACACCGCGGGTCTCAGCTAGTTAGGAATATATCCTGTGTCGCGGGACTTTACAAACATACATGAAACGGACACAAGGGGCACCCAGACTCAGAACAACAATTTGTGGATCACACAAAGTGTCGTCCCATGTGGGGTTTGAATCCACAACACTCAGAGTATTACCGACCGCCTAAACCACTACGCCACACGTTGATGTAATTTGTGACTGCTTGCCTGAAAATTTTACCACTATCGGCCCAGCCGTTTACGGTCAGATCAACAAACATACGTACAGAAAAATATTGAAGTAAAAATACCTTAACATAGCTTGCGGGGAACCATCCGACTTGACGGTTCCTACCCTTAGCCTGCAGTTCTCCCTCCCACCAGCCGCTGTCAGCCTTCTTCCTCACAACCAGGAGTTGACCCCTGGTCAGGGAGAGCTGTTCCGTGCTACAACAAATTTTGATGTCAGCGTGTAATCATCAATAGAAAGACCCTACCTCCCCTTAAAAGTGGAAGGCCAATTTACCTGGAAGCTGTATAGTTGGCTATGGCCTGGGCGATCTCGTTCTTCTTCCGCCCCGTGACGGAGTCCCTCCCGCTGTCCCTTCGCGCGGCGGACGCGGGCCGAGGGACGGAGTCTGTGATGGAAGCCACCTCCGATGATATTGGGGTCGAAGATTTTTGTTCCTGAAAATTTACTTTTAATTAGATTCTTGGATCTGTCGTGACCCTTTCATCTTAATAAGACTTTTATAGGTTTAGGACTTTTAGATGTATGTCCCGTTTTTTCCTTCTCAGCTATTGAAATACCAGGTGTTGGGGTGCAATTGGAGTGTTTAAAACAGATTGTGGTGAGGGATTAAGAATACGGAGTGTCACCACTCCTATTCATCCCGTGGGTGTCGTAAGAGCCGACTAAGGGAGCAAACTACGCAGGACAACAGCACTGCAGAGAGAAGGAAAACTTGACACAAACCCTGTACCAACACGTCTGGCCAGCGTGGTATAGATGTCCCTTAATGATATAAAAATGTGTGGAGGAACGGGTGTGATATCCTTCCAACACAAAGGGAGGATCCTCCGACCAGGCGGGGTGATCATGCCTGGCGGGCCGCGGCCCAACGGTTGATGTTGGGAAGTTGTATATATGCTAATCGTTGAGAGAATTCTTCATATCGCGATACAGGATTAGCAATTCTCATTCAGTAATTACTCCGTAGTTCGGTGTGTCTTCGTTAGATGGCGCTGTCGTATGTTTCTGTTTCTTTGTATGTGGGAGTCGCCACAAATGTTTATTGGTATGGTCGGTCGATGTGATATGTTATTGTTACAAATGCACTCGGTCATGAAAGTTCCGAAAAGTACATTATTTTAATATTTTATAGAATTTAGTAATTAAATATAAAGCGTCGCGGCCTGACCGGATACAATTCACGTGTTCGATGTACTGACATTGCCGTCAGCTGACCCGTTTACTCGGTCGGTCGTTTAAAAAAAAACAATTTATTGACAACTCTTCAACATAAGATTTAAAAAGAGTGGGGGAATCGTTCCTGGTCATCAACTCCCCGGATAATTGAGAAGATCAGACGTGCATTTAGTTAACTTCTAATTACATTTTTGAATATTAAATTTGACTTATATATTACATATATATAACGAACATAGTAAAATTCCCGTGGGGAATGTCGCCGTAAGCCGAAAACTACGTTTTATGTTGAACAAATTGTATTTTTATTGGTACAATAAATATTATTATAAAAAAAAAAAACTCCCCGGGTTCATCATCATCATCATCAACAGCCTATAATAGTCCACTGCTGGACATAGGCCTCTCCTTAGAAAGGTGGTTTTGGCCTACTATACAATGCTGGCCAGACGGGTTGGTATAGGGTTTGTGTCAAGTTTTCCTTCTCATTGCAGTGCTGTTATCCTGCGTAGTTTGTTCCCTTAGTCGGCTCTTACGACACCCACGGGATGAATAGGGGTGGTGACATTCCGTATTCTTAATCCGTCACCATACGGAATTATTAATTATTAACTTAAAACAACACATTATTGAATCTTAAATGAGTTTGTTGATTGATATTTTCATTTTTATGTAAGTCATGAACATAATGAGTACATACCTGTGCGGGGGGCGAGGCTGGTGGTGGGGCTGGGGGAGCTGGTGCGGGGCCCTCCTCAGAGGGGGGCTCCACCGCCTCGGGGATGGGCGCTATATTGTCCGTGGTCGTGGTGTCTTTGGTCACGTAGTTCGATGGGAAGATACCAGTTCTGAGGAAAGAATGATCAGTTATATCTCATTTCAAGTAATATAATAATTGAATGGCGTAGTGGTTTGTGTAACGGACTGCTATTCCAAAGGTCGCGGGTTTGATTCCCGCTCAAGTCAAACATTTGTGTGCATGAACATTTAATATTTGTTTTGGTCTGGGTGTTTCTATGTATAATATGTATGTATTTACAAAAAAAAAGTATAAATGTATTAATATCAGGTGTCTAGTACCCATAGTACAAGCTCTGCTTAGTTTGGGACTAGATGGCGTTGTGTGAATGTGGTAGAATATTATTATTATTATTATTATTAATAAACACTCTCCAATTAGAATGAATAACCACTTTAATAAAGTTTCAAATAGATTTAATGATATAGACATCTTCAGTAATACTATGGGACGTTTTATATTCCTTATCAATAAACAGCTGACATCAATTTAATATAAATTCATTTGATTTAAATTATATATTATCAATATCATCATCATCATCATCAACAGCCTATACTAGTCCACTGCTGGACATAGGCCTCTCCTTAGAAAGGAGGTTTTGGCCAAAAGGTATTGGTTTGTGTCAAGTTCTCTTTCTCTTTGCAGTGCTGTTGAACTTTTTTTTTTTTTTTTTTTTCCGTGCGGAAATCCCCTCGGATACCACCTGTCGGTGGCATGTCGGACTCGAACCGACTAAAACCGCACGCCTTCGCCGGGTACTAATAGCCGGGGAACCAGGTATACCCTAGAAAGGAAGGCCCTGGTGCGCAGTGCTGTTGTCCTGCGTAGTTTGCTTCCTTTGTTTTGTTTTGTTTTACAATATAACTGTATATAATCTTATATTGTTGACTATTTAATTATTAACCATATTGTCAGTAGTTAACTTTTGCAATGTTATTATTGTTTGAATTGACTTAATGAATTTAACAGAAATTTAATTTAATTTAATCAATTTTCATTAATTTATTTACTTCTAACTGTTTGACTGTTTGACTCTTAATGCAGGCTGTGATCTTCAGTAATTAAGGATACACCAGATCAATAATTTATTATTCTCTGTGAATGCTATGTGATATTCTTGTTGAAGAACCTTAAATAAATATATAAATATATTTATTATTTTAGTTACATTTTAGATGATAGCCACATTCTGCCATTGTCTGATTATGTCTTGTCATTGTCTGTATCTGGTATACTAAGTCTTTTGCTGTTTCTGTGCCAATTCTAATCGATTTTGTAGTCATCATCATCATCAACAGCCTTTAGTAGTCCACTACTGGACATAGGGCTCTCCTTGGAAAGGAGGTTTTGGCCTCCTATACCACGCTGGCCAGACGGGTTGGTATAGGGTTTGTTTCAAGGTTTCCTTCTCTTTGTCCTGCGTAGTTCGCTCCCTTAGTCAACTCTTACGACACCCACGGGATGAATAGGGGTGGTGACACTCTGTATTCTTAATCCGTCTACACGAGGACAGACGTCTTTCTGTGAGACCGTGGTTTAGCTCCGGTTGAGTCGGTACATATGACGTGGCGAAGCATCACTTAAGGGTTAAGGTAGGGGCTTTAAAGGGTTTCGAACGTCCAAATAAAAAAAAATAGAACTGTCTGTTCGTATGTTATAGCCATGTTTACTACAAGAGCTGACTAAGGGAGCAAACTACGCAGCCCAACAGCACTGCAGAGTGAAGGAAAATTTGGACACAAACCCCATACCAACCCGCCTGGCCAGCGTGGTATTGTAGGCCAAAACCTTTCTAAGGAGAGGTCTAAGTCCAACAGTGGAGTATTAAAGGCAGTTGATAATGATGACGACAGAAAGAAGTCTGTTAAATAATCATTTCTTTGCTTTTCACCAAGAGAGTCAGGTTGCCGGAGTCCCAACTACATTCTGTGAGAAGTTGGACCCTCAAAGGGTGGTAAAAAAACACTTGCGATTCTTCAGTTGCTTGTGTCCATGGGTGGTGGTAGACACTGACCATTAGGTCACCCATCTATCCGTTTGCCCCCCCCTAACAATCCTAACAAACAAACAAAATCACTTCCGAATTAATCTCAAAAGGTTTTAATCAAAAATATTGTACTCGCCTGATGCCAATCCTGCCGGTCCACCAGTCTCCATCACGTCTGATCACCTCGATCCTCTCACCCCCTTCGAAGGTCAGGTCACCTGGCTCCGTGGAGGTGTAAGGATAGGCTGCTATGTAGAAGTCACCACCTTCTAAAATGAACAGAAAAAAAAGGATCTTAAAAGAGAAGCTGGACTGGTGTTAGGGTCTTTCGTTACGTCACATTACTTCAAAACCATATAGGTATATTTAAGTTTTAAAACGTCTTAAATAAAAAATAATTATTAACACTAAAATAATTTTATTTATCGTTTTTTAAATTAAAATAAAATCGGTACTTCTGTTTAATTTGATAATTTCCAGATACGAAGACACTAGAAATGAGAGGGAATCTCACAAATATGGCCAGCAGCTGTGACAAAGATGGGGATGGTGTCAAAAGACCATGAAATTCGTGTGACATAATTTATGAATGTGCCCAAACGACCACCGGTTTCCATCATCAGATCGGGTCCAACGTAGAAATCTATACTAATATTATAAAGCTGAAGAGTTTGTTTGTTTGTTTGAACGCGCTAATCTCAGGAACTACTGGTCCGATTTGAAAAATTCTTTCAGTGTTAGATTGTAACAGTTATTTTTTTTGTATATTTGTAATGCGTACGGTCTTGTTAAAAGCGACACCTATTGGCCGCATCGCATTGTTGTTGATTTATCTAAAGTAGTTTGTAGCTACGGTATTGATCTTCTTCGTTCACTTTCGGACCACTAGATGGCGTTTGTTTGAGACATGATAGATTAATAAAAAGACTTACTTTTTATTAATCTATCATGACAAATTGTATAGGTATTAAGAGTGTTTTGTTATGGTAGAAAGCAGGTTGCTTTTGATTTTGTTAGTGTTGTCTTCGTTCACAATTTAAATGTCAAAGTAAAATGTTGAGTAGGGGTAACTTCTGGAAGCTTCGGGAACCGAGGATATATAAGTCCGGCTTTCAGCCACGGGAGACACTGCTATCTCGTGCCTTCCAATCTTAAATAGTGTTTTGATTGCTGTGTTATTTGATTTTCGTAATATATTATCTGTTCAAAAGTACCCACAAGAGTGGTGAGTATGGTCTTAATTTTTTCTTAAACCTATTTGTTTCTGGAACCTGATTAATTATATGAGTGCTAATCCATTCGTAGGGTCCCAGATTTCGGGGTCAAGACGGTCAGTCTCAGACGGCGTGCTTGCTCGTTTGTGGCCTTCTGGTTCAGACTCAAGTTTCTCGGTACCCTCTGGCAAAGCTGGTGATTGCGCGGCTCACGACGCAAGCGGACAGCCGTACCCAAGGGTTACGTACTTACTTATAAACTTATAAATGCAAATTGTTTAACTTTTATCAATATCTAATATAAATAGCCGACTCGGGCGGAAGAGGAAGTGACCTCCTGGAGTGAAGACGAGGAGGCACCGAGCACCATCAGCTCGGCTCTGACGCGCTCCGCTGCGGCTTTTCTTATACCCTCTGTTTTTTTTATTGTAACCTTAATTTTGTTTTTTTATTTTAATATACATGTATGTATGACTGAGGTGTAAGTTGTTTTCCTCTAGTGAATCCCGTAGGTTTCCCACACGCACACACATCTGTTCTCTTAAAAAGGCACCCTGAGGTTATCTCATCAATCTCTCCACTGGGTCAGCCGGTGAGTAGTCCGCCTGAGAAGAAAAGCGGCTACAAGATAGCCCATTTATCGAGGAAGGCTATAGGCTATATATCATCACGCTAAGACCAATAGGAGCGGACCAATGAAGAATGTTTCAAAAACGGAGAAAATTTATTACTATTGAGAGACGCAGACGAAGCTAGTGTAACTATATATTATTGTCATCTACATAACATACAAACCACAATAATACAAATGGGTTAAAATTGTCTTCTTTGATTGAGTGGATAGAAGAGTGTGGGAGTCGCTTACCAACAACAGGCATGGCGCCGCCCAAATCGTTTGATATTTCAGCCTCGGGCACCTCAGCAATACCTGAATAACAAATGGAGCAATTTCAGTTCCTCCATCACAAAGTGTTCATGCGTTTTGGAGATATTGAGCACGGACATACATGCATGACTGCACGGATGGCGTAGTGGTTTAAGCGGTCAAACCACAGCGCTAAGTGTTGTGGGTTCAATCCCCACATGGGACGACATTGTGTGTGATCCACAAATTGTTGTTCTGAGTCTGGGTGTTCTTTGTGTCCGTTTCATGTATGTTTGTGAAGTCCCCCGCGACAGAGGATTTATTCCTAGTTCACACAAAGTACCCCATGGCACCTCTAAGACTCAGACCCTATGGTAAGATCCCTTAATTTTCCATAGAACTAATGGGATATGTATGGTGTTTTCAAACGTACCTTCAAGCTGTGTCTTGGTCTCCATTGGCTCAATAACCTCAGCATAAACTGCCGGAGCGTTGATATCTTCCACATATGATTCAGGGAACCAGCCCGATTGACCTGTAAAGAATTTTGGAATCGGTTTAGTAGTTTAGGCGTGAAAGCGAACAAATAGACAAACCCATTTTTACATCTATACTAATATTATAAAGCTGAAGAGTTTGTTTGTTTGTTTGAACGCGCTAATCTCAGGAACTACTGGTCCGATTTGAAAAATTCTTTCAGTGTTAGATAGCCCATTTATCGAGGAAGGCTATAGGCTATATATCATCACGCTAAGACCAATAGGAGCGGAGCACCAATGAAGAATGTTTCAAAAACGGAGAAAATTTATTACTATTGAGAGACGCAGACGAAGTTGCGCGGGTCAGCTAGTTTATAATATAAGTTTGGATATTAGTATTGTTATAAAATTAATATAAACGTTTTTAATAAGTAGATAAGAAATGTGTTTTTACCTCTAGCGGTACCCCATCTCCAACCGGGTTCAGCATCTCCCCTTGGAGGGGGTGCATCGTATACCTGGAAATTTAAGAGAAATATTTATTAACTAGGTTTTGCCATCAATTTTGCCCTCGTTTGATGTCTTCGCTGTATGATTGACACAATTAAAACTGTCTGCCTCGATGGCGCAGTAGTAGTTTATGCGACTGCTGTGCTGAGGCCTTGGGTTCGATTCCCGATCAAGAGGTCGTGGGTTCAAATCCTGACCAGTACACTACCGACGTGAACCCACTCCTTACACAAGCAATTTAGTTTAGCTGGAGGGGTTAACGGGAATACTAGTAATTTCGGTTACTTTTAATAAAAATAATGTCTGTCTGATTCTAAACTAGACAGAGCCTGTACTATGGTAACCAGACTGCTGATAAACATACATATATATTACTAAATAAATTACACCCACACACAGAACAAATGTTCAGGCTCATCACACAATAATTTGTATTGGGTCTGAATCGAACCCAAGCTTAGCAGTCTTCATCTTAACTCACCGCATCTCCGGGCTGTAGACTGAGTTCATCGGCCGTCCGCGCCGAGAACTCGTACACGCAGCGCCAGCGCGGAGACGTCCCGACCGCCCCAACCACCCCAACCGAACCAGCCGCCCCAACCGATCCAATTGCTCCAACCGATCCAATTGCTCCAACCGAACCAACCGCCCCAACCGACGTAACCGCCTCCGTCGCTAACAAACAAAATTACATTAGTTTTACTAAGATTATATATCCAGGGTCATATATCCGTGTGGTGACGGATTAAGAAGACAGAGTGTCACCACCCCTATTCATCCCGTGGGTGTCGTAAGAGGCGACTAAGGGAGCGAAATACGCAGGACAACAGCACTGCAGAGAGAAGGAAAACTTGACACAAACCCTATACCAACCCGTCTGGCCAGCGTGGTATAGTAGGCCAAAACCTCCTTTCTAAGGAGAGGCCTATGTCCAGCAGTGGACTGTTAAAGGCTGTTGATGATATACAGGGTGTAAGGGACATCATATCATACTCATACCATGATTCTGAATCGAAAATCACTGAAATTTTCTGCCGCAAAATTCATTTTTTTTTGTATAATTTTCTATTTTCGAAATGATATGACAATGAGTAAACAGAACATTTTACCGAATTAAAAATACTACTACTCAAACGGCCAAAGCGCGCGGAGCCTCCCCTACGGCCGCCAACTTGTGTCAGTGTGCGAAGACTGTTTGCACGGAATACACATGTAGTTATTACTTTTGTGCGATACCTACGGGAAATGACCTTTACCTTTGACAGCTGATTGGATAAGAAGTTTAACTTTCCGCCTGAAAATTCCAATGATTTTCGACTCAGAATCATAGTCTGAATACACTATTTCAGTATTCGTTACGATGTCCCTTACACCCGATATATTTATGAAAAAAAATTATACAAATTTTGGTTGAACAGTAACTGTTTTTGATTTTTTTTGTTGTTGTTGTGATTTTTATTTTATATTAATTTCATTGGTTTTCCTTTTCCTAAAATTGCCTAGTATAAATTATTCAATCTATACTAATATTATAAAGCTGAAGAGTTTGTTTGTATGTTTGTTTGTTTGTTTGAACGCGCTAATCTCAGGAACTACTGGTCCGATTTGAAAAATTCTTTCAGTGTTAGATAGCCCATTTATCGAGGAAGGCTATAGGCTATATATCATCACGCTAAGACCAATAGGAGCGGAGCACCAATGAAGAATGTTTCAAAAACGGAGAAAATTTATTACTATTGAGAGACGCAGACGAAGTTGCGCGGGTCAGCTAGTAATTAATAAACGTGTAAAACATGGACAAAGTCTGAAATAAATTATTACAATTATTATTTTTATGTTAGAGGTGGCAGACGAGCAGACGGGTCACCTGATGGAAAGTGACCATCGCCGCCCATGAACGTCTGCAACTCAGGAATCACAAACTCGTTGCCGGCCTTTTAGGTACTCCTTGTACGCTCTTTTCTTGAAGGTTTGAAGGTCGTATCGGTCCGGAAACACTGCAGACGATAACCCGTTCCACAGATTGGTTGTGCGGCAAAGAGTGTATCGAAAAGCGCACAGTAGTGGAGCGCCAACTATCCAGGTGATCAGGATTAAAATTTTGCCGTGTGATTATATACCATTATGTCACGCGACACCTCTGTGCTCTTTATGGTATCGACCACGTGTTAGCTCACGAAGCCGACCTTCGTTGACTAAGTTATAATAAATTAAATGTACAGAATAAAACACGACGTTTGTTAAATTATTAAAAAGTAACCGTGGCAACCGTGTGTTATTCAAAAATGTTTATAATACTGTGTTTGAATTATTTAGCCTTAACCACTAATAATAATTTGGGTTTCGTACCCATTGGGTGCCAACCCTATCCTCCTCTGTCCATCTATATGTTTGTAGACAGATGAAATAAAGGAGACATAAAATAAATGACATTTTGGCATTTCTTTAGGCCTCATACTAAGAAACCATTTAAGTTATACGGAAATCAAGAAAATGAAATAACAAAAGCAACGGCCCTAATACACGCCCTTGCGATACTCCATAAGTATTTTAATAGAAAAGTCACTTCTGTTCTTTTTATTATTTTTATAACTCTGTGAATTATTGATAAATCAAAGTTTTCTAATTATTTGTCAGGTATTTTGTCTTATTTATTGAAGTTGTCCAGTTTATTTAGTAAGAGATCGTGTGGTACAAAGTCAAATGCTTTAGTTTGGTCAAAACTGTAATAATATTGCTATAAGTTAGCAACTAGATGTTAAACTACTGTTAATATTTATTACTTACTTTCACTGAGTTATCTACTCATTTATATATATATATATATATATATATTTCCTAAATAGTGATTGATAGGATGGATGATGAAATATAAAATACATACCTGTAGTAGCAGGAGCATCACCCCAAGCTTCTTCGGCAGCAGCTGGTTCCCCCCACGCGTCATTGGTTGTACCCCACGCTGCATCTGTGGGGATAATTGTTCTATCAGCATTGTCGGTCGATCCAGAAGTTGCTCTAACCGGTACACTAACGACGTAAACCCAAACTTTATTAGGAGTGGGTTGCGTCAAGCATTAAGCACTCACCATCGCTCGGCCAAGCGCTTTCAGCGGGAGCTGAACTCCTAGCAGCGTACTCTTGTCGTCTCTGCTCGTATAACTGCCACACTCTATCACACTTCTCGCCAAGAGATGCTACCGTTTCGTGCAGAGAAGAGAGAGAAGACTTGTTCGTCTCCAGATCCTGTTTCTTGGACTCTACGAGAGCTTTAGCAGCCTCAACCTGTAGACAGTTAATATATATGTAACCGTTATCGAACTTACACAGCGTTTAGTAATTATCATTCATAATAATAATAATATTCTACCATATTCACACAACGCCATCGAGACCCAAACTAAGCAGAGCTTGTACTAGTGGTACTAGACAACTGATATAAATATATACATACTTTTTTTGTAAATACATACTTATTATACATAGCAACACCCCGACCAAATCAAACATTAAAAGTTCATGCACACAAATGTTTGACGTGAGCGGGAATCGAACCCGCGACCTTTGGAATAGCAGTCCGTTTCACAAACCACTACGCCATTCGGACGTTTCATTGCAATTCTCAAGAACCCTTGAAGAAGATTGCGGTTTAAATTCGCTTTCGAAATCGGGTAGCTCATAAATTCTAACAGATATTTACCATAGTATACTTTTTTTAAATATACTCAAAGCTTTGTCAAAATAAAATTTTATTATCCCTTATCCGTGGCTCGAAGGACCACCGCTTCGGTGGTCTTTCGAGCACCTGGTGCAATAGCAGGAGTGAAAATATAACAACCAAAAATATACCTTATCTCTCAGTTGTTTGAGAGTAATTTCCATCATATTCAACTTTCCGTCCTCACCGGCGCCCTCTGAGGCTTTGGCCTGTTGAAGAAAAACAACATTAAAGACCCAACAGCATAATAATTATTAATACAAGTTTGCTATCAGCAGATTTCGAGCTTTTATTCTGTTACTTGTTTCGAGTTGTTGCGAGTCAACTGTATTTCCAAAAAATACCCAACGCGCGTAAAGAGGTTTTCACTTCAACAGAAGTGTCGGTAACGGTAACAGTGTTCCGAGTCACCTGTTTATCCCATCTCAAAAAATGTCCAACGCGCCTAAAGAAGTTTACACTTCAACAGGGGTGTCGGTAACGGTAACAGTGTCGCGAGTTAATTGTTTTTCCTACCTCAAGAAACGCCCAACGCGCCAAAAGAAATTTTCACTTTAAAAATCGAACATTATTATTATGGTATCCATATTCTAGACATCAGGTCGATCAACGCAGCAGTTCGCTGCACCCCTTCATTAACACAATAGAACCCAAATAATTACCCCCCAAACCCCCCACCCCGTGTTTTTTATTCTAAAAGCAACTTTATCACCTGCGTAACATAACATAAATTGGAAACTAGTTCGTTCTCGTCCTCATTAAGTATCACCTACCTTCGCATCCAGTTCCGCCTTTTCTTTGTTCAGAGCGATCTGTTTGGCGTTCAACTCCTTGACTTTAGCTTTGAGCTGTTGCATTTCCGCCATACTGGAGTCGCGGTCGGACCTGAACAAAGAAAGGAAAGGAATGGAGAACTCTAGCACCGCTCCAGGTCATTCATCATCATCATCAACAGCCTATAACAGTCCACTGCTGGACATAGGCCTCTCATTAGTAAAGAGGTTTTGGCCTACTATACCACGCTGGCCAGACGGGTTGGTATAGGGTTTGTGTCAAGTTTTCCTTCTCTCTGCAGTGCTGTTGTCCTGCGTAGTTTGCTCCCTTAGTCGGCTCTTACGACACCCACGGGTGACACTCTGTATTTCTAAATCTGTCACCACACGGTCATTGATAAAATCAAATATACCGTTTTCTCACACATTTCCGTCCCTTTGAGAAATAATGAATAAATATTTCGGACATCTGACACACAACGCCATCTAGTTTCAAACTAAGTAGAGTAGTTGTACTATGAAAGCTAGATTGACTGATAGAATACTTTTATACTTATTTTTGTAAATATATACATTTTATACATAGGAAACATATACAAACTTCAAACCAAATATTTTGCAAATTATAGAAACATTCGTTTCGACCCGGGAATCGAAGGCACAGCAGTCGTATACGCTACCACTGTCAAATCATTTAAATAGATTGTAAAATGGCCGAGAAGATGTAATACATAAAAAAAACCTTAAATTTAAGTTTGTTAAGCTTTCACGCCTAAACTACTAAACCGATCATAGTACAGCATAGCTTTTTTTCCAAGTACAACTCCCGCATTAGGAACATATCCTGTGTCACGGAGGACTTAACAAACATACATGAAACGGACAAAGAACACTGACTCAGAACAACAATGCTGTCCCATGTCTGGATCGAACCCACTACACTCAACGCAGTAGGAAGCAGCTACTACCATTCCGATTTGCAAAATCTTGTATACTAATAATATAATAACCCGATTCTTAAAGAAGGTTACAAACTAAATAACATCACGCCACAACTCTTAAGGAGCGGAGCAGAGACGATAAATGTCGTCCCTTACCTCATGCCATCTATAGTACACTTGGCCGAGGCCACAGCAGTCCTGGTCTCCCTGATGTCTTTGGCTAAGTTGCTGGCCTTAGCTGACACGGTGCTCAGTTCCGCTGACAGAGCCTGACTCTTCGCTTTCATGCTTAACACTTTAGTCTGTTCTTCAGTCCGCATGGCTTCCAGTTCACGGGTCCTGGAAAGACGTGAGTATAGAACAGTTAAATGTCGCAACTTGTAACGTCATTCCTTGTGATTCTCATTTAATAATAATTTTGACACATCTCACACACGGCCGTCTGATCCCAAACTTGTCAAATCCTGTACTGTAGAAACCCCACTGCTGATAAAATTTACTTATACATAAAATAATATTTCGAACATCTGACACACAGCGCCATCTAGTTTCAAACTAAGTAGAGCTTGTACTATGAAAGCTGGATTGACTGATAGAATACATTATATACTTTTTTTCGTAAATACGTACATATAGATAAATTACACCCAGACACAGAACCAACGACCACAATCGTTTGTTCATCACACAATACTTGTCCTGGGAGTCGAACCCACGGTTAGCAGTCAGAATCGTTTACTACTAGATCAACGGCCCAGTCAGAGGGAAGGACAAAATTAATAATAAGGAGAAAATTATTCTACCACTAATCTGTGTTGCCATAAAAAACTTACCTTTTCTTCTCCCACTCTAGCTGACACTGTCTCTCCATCTCTTTTCGGGCCGCTTCACGTTTTTCCTGCACAATATCATTAGTTTCAAAACATTTATACACAAAGAGATGTTTTTGTGATCTTTTAAATCAAATTTCGCGCACGAAGGATTCTGAAATTTTTAATATTTAAAACAAATGGAGAATTTTCATGGTAGGGAAAGTCTATACAATGGCATTCGACATTCCGTATGGTGACGGATTAGGAATACGGAGTGTCACCACCCCTATTCATCCCGTGGGTGTCGTAAGAGCCGACTAAGGGAGCAAACTACGCAGGACAACAGCACTGCAGAGAGAAGGCAAACTTGACACAATCCCTTTTTTTTTTTTTTTTTTTTAACGTGTGGAAATCCCCTCGGACCGTCACCCCTCCGGGGTTTGCGGCGGGGTGGTGTGTCGGACTCGGACCGACTAAAACCACACGGTGTGCCACTCTGCGCCTGTAACAGGAGGGATCCGGGAACAGCTGTTGTTAAGACATCCGGACCCCTCCTAGCGCCAGCCCGCTCCTGGTGCGGGCTCCGTCTCAATGTTTTTGTTTTCCTCTCTTTAGGCGACGTCCGGCACACGCGGACGCCGCCCCCTCGCGGCTGGCCAACTAATGCGGGTGGAGGGGAAACCCACCCCGTCCACCCGCGGCCACACTCAGGGCGGCATGAGGCTGTGGTAGGCGGGCCTCCGCCGCCCGGTTCGCCGGCGGCGGATCGGGTCCGAGTGGAGGTCGTCCTCCCGGGCCCTCTCCGCCGCCTCCTTCCGCGAGATTACTACCTCGCAGAAGGTTGCGACCGCGGTAAAACAACTGTCGCTACCGGCCATGGAGCGTACTACGGCCGGTAGCGAGAGATCCACTCCGATGACTGCAGTGAGGGCCCGGCGCTGCGCCGCCCATGCGGGGCAGACCGCCAGCGTGTGCTGGGCCGAGTCCTCACTGCAGTCGCAGTGGTGGCAGGCGGGACTCAGTTCCCTCCTAGCGACCGTGTGCAGGTACTTTCCGAAGCAACCGTGCCCGGAAAGCACCTGCGTCAGTCGGAAGGAAAGGGTCCCGTGCTGCCGCCCTGCCCACTCGGCGATGACCGGCTGGAGAGCCTCCACGGCGGCGAAGCCAGCGCGTGGAGTCTCCAGCCGGAACGACCAACGAGCCATCGTGGCTCGGCGAGCGGCTTCGCGCCACTCGCGCACATCCTCGGGCGGAGGGCGAAATCCGCTCTCCGCCCGGTAGTCAGCCACTCGCCGATAAACTTCGGCGAGCACTTCCGCCTCCAAATCCCACGGGGGAGTTCCGGCCAACGCGCATGCCACCTCCGTAGAAACGGTGCGGTAACCGCGTATGGCTCTGACCGCCATTACCCTCTGAGGGCGCCAGAGGCGTACCCTATTCTGGGCGGTCAGAGCCGCCGCCCACACCGGTGCACCGTACAGCGCCATTGACCGGACAACCCCCGTGTACAGCCGTCTTGTCGCGACGCTGGGTCCACCATATTGGGCAAAAGTCGCCCTAGGGCAGACGCAGCGCCGACCAGCTTTGGAGCAAGCTGTCGGAAGTGCTCGTCGAAGAGCCACCTCCCGTCGAGGATCAGGCCCAGATATTTCATCTGGGCCCGAACCGGTACGAGGACCGAGTTGACCACGATGGAGGCGCCAGGGGGTGGACCACGACGGGGCCCATGGAATAACAGGGCCTCCGTCTTATCTAGGGCCACCCGTAAGCCCAGCGCCTCAATGCGCCCGACCACCAGGGAGACTCCCCCTGTGGCCAGGCGCGCCGCCTCTTGGAAGTTTGCCCCCCGGGCTGTCACCAAGGTATCGTCTGCGTAACAGATTACACCCAGCCCGGGGGGGAAATCGGCGCGAAGGGCCCAGTCGTACCCCATGTTCCACAAGAGGGGTCCAAGAACAGACCCCTGTGGAACACCGCACGACATGGGCCGACTCCTCAAATTACCTTCTCGGTCCTCGTACACGACGGTACGCTCCTCTAAATAGTCTGCCACCAGCCGCCTCAGGTACTTTGGCACCCCATGATAGTGGAGTGCTTCCCTGATGCAGCTGAATGGCAGACTATTGAATGCGTTGGCGATGTCCAATGACACCGCCAACAGCACGCCGCCACAGCTCACGGCCTCTTCGGTCACGGCCCTCAGGCGCAACACAGCGTCGACTGTCGAACGCCCCGCCCGAAAACCAAATTGGGCGTCCGACAGATCGGGGCCCACCTCGCAGAGGTGCCGGACGATGCGGGCAGAAAGAACCCTCTCAAACAATTTGCCCGCCTCGTCCAGCAGCACGATGGGCCTATAGGCCGCGACCGAATCGAAACTTGACACAATCCCTATACCAACCCGTCTGGCAAGCGTGGTATAGTAGGCCAAAACCTCCTTTCTAAGGAGAGGCCTATGTCCAGCGGTGGACTGATTATGATGGTTCAAGTTATATTTGACAACGATATTAAATATACATAAGTTAAAATTCGACCACAAGACAAACTCGAAACAATAATAAAAGTTGACTCATATATATAATGACTACAACTAACGCCATCTATTGATAACAAACTGCACTATTAAGTAACAGCTCATCCTACATCGCGCAATTAAAGTTCCAGATTTAATTACACTACATTGTTTACCTGTTCCTCTTTCTGTTTCCTTAAAAATTCTTCTTGCTCCCTCTTTTGCGCTTCTAAACGTATTTTCTCCCTCTTTTCAGCTTCTTCTCTTTCCTTGCGTTCTCTTTCCGCCTGTTAAAAATAATATTTTTCTGTGACATGCAACCCAGTGCTTTCTAAGATCCAAATTAGGCATAGCTTATACCTTACGCTCTAGAATAACTAGAATACGAATATACTTAAATACATATTATTATTGCGCCATAGGATTAAATGGTTCGATTGTTCTAAAATTGTATGGAATGTGGAGGACAGCGCCATCTAGTATCGAGTAAAGTACAACTATTGATTAATAATTCTGATACTTACAGTGCTAGATGCTGCTGCAAGTAACGCTTAACTGATTCTGGAATATTCTTGTTTGTCTGGAACGGACTATCGAATACTAGGGATCATGCTAGTAAATTCGATAGCGATATAAAAGCGGAGCGTGTTAACACAGCGAAATAACATCGGAGTGAATTTCTAGTGCGACTAATGAGTTATTTAGTGATTTCTAGTTTATTATAGTGAGTGTTTGTAAATACAGTGAAATAAAAGTAATTAACCGACAACTTTTATTTATTATATACCCCGCTCGTAACAATATTCATATTGTATTATTTATATTCATGCATACAAGTACGTATCCGTGTGGTGAAGGATTAAGAATACAGAGTTTCAACACCCCTATTCATCCCGTGGGTGTCGTAAGAGTCGACTAAGGAAGCAAACTCTACAGGACAACAGCCCTGCAAAGAGAAGGAAAACTTGACACAAACCCTATACCAACCCGTCTGGGCAGCGTGATATAGTAGGCCAAAACCTACTTTCTAAGGAGAGGCCTATGTCCAGCAGTGGACTATTAAAGGTTGTTGCTGATGATACAAGTAATTACAATGCGACGGGAATCGAACCCGCGACTATGGCTGGAAGAATTCGTGTAAACTTAATTAAATTTACTGTGTAAAAATAAAATTTACCTCGGCTTCCTTTTAGGCGTTTTAGAAGACAAAATAAAAATATTTAATTAATTATTTTTTTTAATCTTCTCTGTTACCAACTTCTGTTATAAAAAAAAAATCAAAACATACTTTTTCCTTCAACTGCGCGTCGGCTAACTGCGTTCTTCTCCTCTCCAACTCAGCCTGACCACGCGCCATGTTCTCTCTTCTTCTCTCTTCGTAAGACTTCGCACTAGTATTTGACGTCACTGATTCTCTTCTAAACATAAATAAAAAACCTAATTATTATTTAAACTGTTAACTCCGGGAAACAAATTGCGCATACTCCTAGCTCCTTAGCCCCCTTAGGAACCATAGATCCAAGGGGATTTACCACCCCGTCACCAAAAAAAGGGGGATTGATAAATGCGGTAGTCATTCGCTTATTGCAGATCTTAGCATTGCGATCTATAAAGTGATATATTGAGACCACGCCATCTTTTGGTCAATTATGGTACCATAAATTAAAAACAAATTGATAGATGGCGTAACCTGTTAAGACCGACAAAAACAAAAACCCCGACTGTATGAAAATGTATTGGTACTTTAAAGTTACAAACCGGCGATTTTAATTTTTTAATTTTCGTATTTGTTACTCTCACCATTTGGACGAACCTAACGACCGCTCCCAAAAACACAACCCTCCTTCTAGCGAAGTCGGTTAAAAAAGTCTAACTATTTATTATCCCACTAAGATGCAGAACTAACACACGCTATCGTTCACCAAACACGTCTTTGAATTTGAAACGACTGCTTGAAATAGTTTTGATGTATTAAGGGTTGTTTGATACAACCATAATTTAAATTCTCTTAACATGCTAAACACGCCTACCAACCCAACAACTCCCCCCCCCCTTTTTCGGGGGCAACTAACCAGTTTTTTTTCTGGAGTGTGAAGATACTACTCCAGTCAGACATTTCAACCCAAAACCCCATCACAGAGGTAATCAATAATGGTCGTATTCTCACCTGAATGTAGGGGGAATGAGCTCCAGGGGTAGTTTAGCCGGCACTGGCTCCCCTTGCGTGGCCTTCTCACATAAATACATTGCTAACACGAACTCTTCACAGCCTGTGGAAGGAAATGCATGACAGATATAAAAAAAAAACCGTTTTATCTCCGAATCAATCCAAAATCCGAGATTTCAAATCAATGCTTAGACGTATACCGTGGGAGAGTCACGCTTAAGCATAAATAGTCCGGCTCTAAAACTCGAAAATCTCGAAACTACTCGAAAACCACTTTTAATTTGAAAAAAAAATATATGTTCGGTTGATTGAATGAGACTCTTTGTTCATACGGACAAACAGCAAAAGTTGTTTGGTGAGGCATTGTATACTGCATATATAAAAAATTGAGTGAAGTTTCTAGAGCCCCCCCCCCCATTCTGGGGGAAGGACGAAGCGACGAAAGGACGACTTATCTGCTCTGCTCTCTATGGTATAAAAATATATATCTCACCCAATTTGCCGTCCGAATCCAGGTCAGATAAGGCCCAGATCTGCGCCAAGGCCTGCTGCGGGAGACGCGACTGGAGCATGATGGAGCGAGCCTGCGCCCCCGACACAGACCCATTCTTTGCGCGGTCCGTGGCGTTGAAGAGCTGAGTGTACCTGTGTATGTATCAGGATATCTAAAAAAGACCGCTCTTTCTGCTGCAAACCTAGCGCCATCTGGTTATTGTGCTCAATACTTAATGGTCCTGCATCGCGCAATTTATTTTTGAAGTGAAAACTTCTTTAGGCGCGTTGGGCATTTTTGGACAAAAAAAAAGGATGTATTTTTTGAGATTGGAAAAAACCCTTGAACTCGTGACACTGTTACCGTTACCGACACCTCTGTATATAAATATCTACATATATTTGCCTCGTTAACGTGAGAGCTTGTTGAAAGTTGAAATATTTTGATAATATAACTATATATAATATAAACATATATTGTGTATATACCTATAACATAGATATATATACATGTCGGAACTTTTCGAATCAAAAAATACAGAAGAAAATCGTGTTATAATAAAAAAAAAACAAGTTTTCACTTCTGTCGGTACTCCCAGAGTTTTTTTACACCCAAAAGTATACAGTAGGAATATTAGGCGGTATAAATTTTAACTTAATTTAAGTTTAAAATGTTTTTTTTTTCGTTTCAACTTCCCCTTGGGGAATATAAACGTACATACGTATGTGATTTCTTTATTACAGTCTCATGTAAGTTTCTGCTTCTTTTAGATAAAATACTGGTCATCATCATCATCACCAACAGCCTTTACTAGTCCACTGCTGGAGATAAGCCTCTCCTTAGAAAGGAGGTTTTGGCCTATTGTAACACGCTGGGTTGGTATAGGAGGTGTTGGCCGAAGGCCCGGGAGGACGACCGCGAATCGGGCGGCGGAGACGCGCTCACCTGCGCCTCATGCCGCCCTGAGTGTGGCCGCGGGTGGACGGGATGGGTTCTCCCCTCCACCCGCATTAGTTGGCCAGCCGCGAGGGGGCGTCGTCCGCGTGTGCCGGACGTCGCCTAAAGAGAGGATGATGTGAGACGGAGCCCGCACCAGGGCAGGGTCTGGGAGGGGTCCAGAAGGCGATAACTACCTGAACCCCCCCTAAAATAGAAGCGCAAAGAGGGCACACCGTGTGGTTTTAGTCGGTTCGAGTCCGACACACCGCCCCGCTGAACAGAAAACCCCGGCGGGGTGACGGTCCGAGGGGATTTCCACACGTAAAAAAAAAAAGGAGGTTTTGGCTTAGTATTCTAAATTTCACACCTATCTTGGACGAAGTTTTTTCTTTATCTTCAGGGATTTTTGGAGATACCAAAAAAAGTGTAGTATTTTACAAATTAAGGTGTCAATAAGTATTGGGTAGTGACGGATTAAGGATACGGAATGTCACTACCCCAATTCATCCCGTGGGTGTCGTAAGAGCCGACTAAGGACGCAAAACAACGCAGGACACCAGCACTGCAAAAAAAAGGAAAACTTGCCACAAACCCTATACCAACCCGTCTGGCCAGCGTGGTATAGTAGTAAAAAAACCTCCTTTCTAAGGAGAGCCCTATGTCCAGCAGTGGACTATTAAAAGCTGTTGATGAAGTATTTATCTAAAAACTTACTTCAATTTCTGCGGTTGTGGAATTCCCCACTCGACGACTGTTGATGGGGACATCACACCCATTACTTCTGTGGGGCTGGTCACCACCGAACCCACTACGGAACCTATGGAATATCATGTAGGTACCAAAGATTATCCAGAGATTGAAATTAGATCATCGAAGGTCTGGCGTGGTCTCAGTAAAAAAATCACCAAAAAAAAAATAGGCAATAATTTAATTTAAAAAAAGAAGACTTACCAGGTTTGGATGTGTTATCACTTTTAATAGCAGTGATTGGGGTAGATGTAATTGGTTGCCCCATTCCAGCCATGGTTGTGACTCCTGGCTTCGGAGGGCTTGATATCAACGAGCCCATAGTCGTGCCTCCAGGAATTTGCGGTTGTGAGGAAGGAATCATTGGAGTCGGTCCGCCTAACGGTTGCGGAGGTATCATAGGTGGTTGTTGTGCAACCATCGGTTGTGGAGGTATCAAAGGCGGGTTTTGAGCCATCATCGACTGCGGCGGTATCATTGGTTGTGTAGAAATCAATGGTTGCGAAGACATTAATGGTTGTGAGGTTGCAACCAATGGTTGTGCGTCGATTAATGATTGTGCCGTAAGCGGTTGTGCGTTCATTGGTGGTATCATTGGCTGTCCTGTTGGTATTAATGGTTGTTGAGTCATTGGTTGTGAAGGAACCATTGGTACGCTGCCCACCAGAGGTTGTGTTAGAGGTGTCATCGGTCCGGGTGGTTTAACCCCTGATATCAAATCAGGGACTGTGTTAGGTATTAAAGGTTTTACTGGTGGTACCATTGGTGGTATGAGTGGTGGTTGTGGGGTTGTGTTGACCAATGGTGGCCCAACTAAGTCACCTAACAGTGATTGATTGTTCTGCGGTGGTAGACCGCTAATTAAAGATTGTGGGGACATGGCCGGCATTGGTGGGATGGGTGGTTTTGTTGGTGGAAATTGGGGTTTTTGGGCGCCTGTCAATGTAAAACAAGTATCAGTAAATATATCTGCGTACACGTATATATAAGCAAAAGCGTAGTTAATGCCTCTTACTATAATTATTTATAAAAAAAAATTGGAAGTTCGGTGCAAATAAATTGTTAATATAGTTAAACCGCCGTAAGCTTGGCCCTCCTGATGGTTTGGAGGACGCGGGGCGGGGGTGCATTCAACCAATTAGCTAGTGCGTCGCTGTCCGCCGTCAGTGACTGACGTGAAAGCATGGCTGTACGTGTTATTTTTCTCAAGACTGCTACACACGGTATTATTTTACATTACATCGTGTCATGTATAGCCGAGCGCATCACCCGCCCCGCGTCCCGCAAACCATCAGGAGGGCCAAGCTTACGGCGGTTTAAATATAGTAAGCCTATCCTGAAATAATCTGACAGGCCCCTTGGTGTATTGGATTTGTGATACCGACTGCTAAACCAGAGGTCGTGGGTTCGATTCCCACCCTTATCTTTGCCAATTCATATAATAACTAGATGTAATCGATTTACGACAGCTCGATCACGTAGATCAACAGGGCGTAGTTTAAAATTGCGAATACGTGCGCACGCGCAGCTATGATGACAGATGTAATCAGGAATCTGATTGTATAATTATCTTTTAGTGATAATAATAAATAAAAATATACCGATACTCTTTGACAGGGCTGTTGATAGTGGTCAGTGATCTTGAACGCTAAGCTACAGGTCGGGGGTTCGATCTTCACCCAAGACAAATAATTGTGTTTTTTTAATATATCGAACATCTGACACGCAACGCCATCTAATTTCAATCAACAGCGCTTGTACTATGAAAGCTAAATTGACTGATACAATACTTATATATATTTTTTTGTAAATACATAGAAAACACCCAAACTCCGAAACAAATATTTTTTATTGTATATCATACAAACATTTGGGTCCGACCCGGGAATCGAACCCGAGACTTCAGCACGCAGTCGCATACGCTACCACTGCACCATAGAGTCAGAGCCGGATCATTTGTTCTGTGTCTGTGTGTAATTTATCTATAATATGTATGTATTTCTAAGGAGAGGTCTATGTCCAGCAGTGGACTATTATAGGCTGTTGATGTGATGTATGTATTTAGTAATATATAAGTATTTTTATCAGCAGTCTGGTTACCATAGTACAGGCTCTGCCTAGTTTAGAATCAGAAGATTGTCTGTGAATTGTGTTGTGTATTTATTTCTAATATTTATTTTAAGCCGGCGATTGCAACTACATGCTTAATGGTTTATTAATATATTTCTTACCAATGGGACTCAGGGAGGCAAGAAGAGCTGGTGGCAAGGTCTTCGGCACTTCGATCCCATGGAGTTTTAGATTTATTATCTGAGAAAATAAAACACAAGTACTGTGGCAACTCCGACATACAAAGAAACAGAAACATACTACAGCGCCATCTAATGAAGACACACCGAACTACGGAGTAACTACTAAATAAGAATTGCTAATCCTGTATCGCGATATGAAGAATTCCCTCGCCGATTAGCATATATACAACTTCCCAACATCAACCGTTGGAGCGCGGCCCGCCAGGCATGATCACCTACCCTGGTCGGAGGATCCTCCCTTTGTGTTGGAGACATGACACCCGTTCCTCCACAAGTACAACAACTAGAGACTTTCAGTCAGCTAATGGTTGGTTTGAGTACTCCTGTCTCCAAAATTAAAAAATGGTTGCTAATTATTAATATATTTTATTAATTTTAAATATATTAAGGAAACTATATCATGTTCAGTGACAAATCTTCATTTATAAAAATAAAAATGAATTGCCAATTGGTCGAGACGTTCTCGAGTTTTGAGCTTAGCAAGCGTGCGCGTTATTTATAAATAAAATTAATCCTGCAGTACTTTCTTCTTTAAGGTCATAGCTCTTTACACCCACCCGACCAGCATCTCCTCGTCACTCGGTGTCCACTGGTTGACGACGGATAGACGAAGCAGAAAACGATACGACGAAGCCGACGCATCTTCCTGACACATATACCACTCACGGACAACGCTCGGTTACCGAGTGGACTGCTTGCCATCCGCGTGGACAACCCGCGGGCGGGGCGCTCTGGAGTTGATTTCGTGGGCGTATACCCATAGTACACCATACAAAGAATACCGAGGCGAGACGGTGCTGGTCGTGTGTCGCTCTAATGAGCTATGACCTTTATCTTCAAACACTTGGGAATATAATCACAGGAAGTGCAAATTAGAAACTCACCTTGCATGCAATAGAGAACTCCTTCAAGTCCAGTTTCCCGTCAGCATTGGTGTCGGCCAAAGACCAGATTTGTCCAAGAATCGGCGGTGGGAGTTGTGACTGCAAGATATTTTAAAGAACTGTGAATTGGCAGAACAATCACAACACTAGTACCCGACTGAGTATTTTTATATTAAACTAGCTGACCCGGCAAACGTTGTTTTGCCATATACATTATTTCAATTTTTTTTGTCAAAAAAAAAATATTGGTGTATGAAAAATAGATGTTGGCCGATTCTCAGACCTACCCGATATGCACACAAAGTTTCACGAAAATCGGTAGAGCCGTTTCGGAGGAGTTCAACCACGCACACCGGACACGAGAATTTTATATATTAGAGATAAATTTATGAATGTTTATGTATGTATGTTTATTAATGTATATGTATTTATATATTGTGTATGTCTCTGAACTTCAATTATGTTAAATTTAATATTTTATTTTGCACCTACTGCATCATATTTCTACATCACCTGAAGGTTGACTGGGAGAGAATACCTCACGGCATTAAGTCCGCCTTTGTACAACATGTTTATTGAGTTTTAAATCTATACTAATATTATAAAGCTGAAGAGTTTGTTTGTTTGTTTGTTTGAACGCGCTAATCTCAGGAACTACTGGTCGGATTTGAAAAATTCTTTCAGTGTTAGATAGCCCATTTATCGAGGAAGGCTATAGGCTATATATCATCACGCTAAGAGCAATAGGAGCGGAGCACTAATGAAGAATGTTTCAAAAACGGAGAAAATTTATTACTATTGAGAGACACAGACGAAGTTGCGCGGGTCAGCTAGTAAATAAATAAAATGAAAATAATCAATTCCGTCTGGCTCTTCTTTCTATTCAATATATGTATTTATTTTTAAATCGTATATTAATAGTTTTTTATTCCCTGTCTTCCTGTATGTAGATGAAACATTGACTGACTGATTGATGACTATTCTGACCCTCGAAAGACAACGGATTGATACATTTGAGGTGTTGTGATGTGATGTTGTGTTGCAAGTGATGCATTGCGAATTCAGACCCAGCTCCGAATTAAAATTCACATGTCTAAAATATCTTATGCCAACAAGGTATGCTTTAATTTTTCCGCCATACAGTGTGCAGAAGTGATGGAAATTTAATAAAAAAAAAAACTCATTGTGGTTTGGGAACACAGAAAAGATCGCGCGGTTCTGTACCATCAAGATAATCATAATATATCTCACACACTCACACACGGCCGTCTGATCCCAAACTAGGCAGAGCCTGTACTATGGTAACCAGACTGCTGATAAACATACTTATATATTTCTAAAATACATTTATTTATTATTTATTAAGCCTTTATTGCCAACATAGTTACACATATTCATTATTAAATAGTTAAGTGTTAACATGCAATTAAATTAATTAAAATTATAATTATATCAATACAATATTATTATTGTTATTATTATGCCGCAGTTATTGGGCGTCGGCGTGTCCTTGTGACACAAAGGCCTCCTCCAGCTCTTTCCATTCTGCTCTTGTTTGAGTTATTCTGGGCCACAGTGGACCCGCGTTCTTTTTTATCTCATCAGACCAACGTTTTCTTTGTCTTCCTCTTTTCCTTTTTGTTTGGAATCTAGGGGTCCATTCTGTTATATATTTCGTCCATTTATTCCTATTCTCTCTCATCATGTGGCCTACCCATCTCCACTTAAGTGTTTTGGTTTTGACTACGACATCTTCGATTTTCGTAATTTGCCTTAAATCTACAGCTCTCTTTCTGTCTCTTTTTGTGTAACCCAGCATACTCCTCTCCATGGCTCTTTGACATGTGGTCAGTTTAAATACAAAATACTTAAAATACATACATATTATAGATAAATTACACCCAGACACAGAACAAATGACCGTGCTCATCGCACAATATTTGTCCTGGGTGGGAATCGAACCCACGACCTCCGGTTTAGCAGTCAGGGTCACTAACCACTAGACCAACCGGCCCGTCCAAGATCAACCAAGTAAAAAACCCATCGTTCCCTAATTTGTAGACAGGTTTTCTATGAGGCTGTGGTATCTGAAGCGTGGCCAAAACCTTCTTCCTAAGGAGAGGTCTAAGGAGAGGTGGACTATTAAATGCTGTTGATCTGATGGCTCTCCCATGACAAAATACTATTAAAATTAATATGTAATACATATGACAATACGATATTAAAACTGATCCCTACTAATATAAGAAATGCGAAAGTGTGTCTATCTGTCTGTTACCTGTTCATGCTTAAACCGTTGAACCTATTTAAATGAAATTTGGTATACAGATAGTTTGAGTCCTGGGAAAGGACATAGGGTAGTTTTTATCCCAGAAAGCATCCTTTAAGAGGGTGAAAAGGGGGGTGGAAGTTTGTGTGTGAAACTGCTTAACCGATTCAGATGGAATTTGGTATAGAGGTAGTATAATTCTTGATAAAGGACATAAGCTACTTTCTACCGCGATGCTCGACATACATGTGGGCGGAGCCGCGGGCAAAATCTAGTAAGATATAAACTCACCTGCAACATAAACCTCTTAGCCTGTTCTCCGGTCAAGGTTCCGTTGAGCGGCCCCAGGTTCTTGAAATGCTCCGAGAACTTGACATGCTCGTGTGGCTGTATAGTCCATGGGTCTACACCAGCCATAGTTCTGTGGGTCAATGGTGGTATCGTAAGCACCAGATTACTAATTATCAAACATGTGCCATAACTTGAGCCAGATTAAGAATCTGATAAGACCTATTTCTCAAGGTTTCATGAATTCACCGTTAAAACTTTGATAGCGCCTGGGATTTGCGACCCAAGAGTAGGTTAAGGGAGTACTTCTTAAGACGCGTCAGCTCTCACCTCCACTGTCTACTGTATTATCCCCTCTACCTAACCATATCTGATACGAGCTTAGCAATGCCGCAATATTTTTACAGTTTTTGAACATGCTGTCATCATCATTATGGTTTATAACAACAAATAAACCTCATTAGATATATATTTTTCATAATTTGATATACATAAATACATTTTTTTTATTTAATTTTTTTTTACATGGATTTTTTTTACAACCAACCAGTTACATTAAAAAAAAATGTGGTCATGGTAAAGTTTGAAGAAAAAAAAATTAGTTAAATTGACACAGTGACATAGACAAGTGTAGAGAAGTAGATTCAATTCCCTTTTCAGCACATAAAACACACTAAAAAGAATTTAAAAAAAGAATTGACTTAAATATAGGCAAAAAATTCTTAGTTGTCTAATTAGAACTGTCTAGAATATAATAATTGTTTGCTGAATTTCTTTTTGCTCTTTATTTGAAACTTAACTTAGCAGGGCATGATCCTCCTTTTGGCTTTGTAATGTTTTAATGTGATCACACAACTAGAATAAGCAGAAAGTGAGTCATGATAAAGTTTCTTTTAGAAAATTGCCACACTATTCACTTCTTTTCTTATCTTAAATGAGTATCTTAGGAAGTTAACAGTTGATACAAGACATTTAGCTAGTAAAGAATCTTCTAAAGTTATTACCCCTTAGTCATTTACCCTTTTAATTGTTACGTCATTTCTAAACCGCCCCTGTAAACTTATTGGGGCAAATTTAAGGTTTTTCTTCTAAATAATACTTCTGTGACTTAGACGATCTCTAAATTATGAATGTATTCTTCAAGTACATGCTTATATTTAAGAAACTCAACTAAGAATCAGTTGTTAAACATTTTTTAAATTAATATTTAAAAACGACAACACAACATACTCGAAATGATTTTGATTAAGAGAAATAGAAAAGAAACTAGTGATTGTAAAGCTTTTCAATGTTGAATGATGTCAACCTAAGTAATACTTACATGTTAGATGTAATTCCTGTATTAATTATTTATCGCAACGCCCCTCTCACCACTAAATATTTAAAAAACTTGGGTTGAAAAGTTGAAATAGGTAATACAGCAGGAAGTTATTGATTTTGTGAAACTGTCATAGAGTGTGTTCCATTTAATGATAAAGATTTTTATTCTTGTGAAACAAAGAGTCTTGGTATCCACTAGAAAAACAGAGAGCAATAACTTACTATGCTTATTTATGTAGATGGTACGCTGTGGAACGCTTTCATCTCAACCAACAGTTGACATTTTTCTGTTCTGAAACGCTCTCAAATACGCAGTACATAAATTAAATGGAAAATAAAATTTTCTCCATTAAATTATAAAGTAAAATCTACGGATAGAAAGTGGAAAGAGTTTTATATAAATCACAGCTTTTTTTAAATTCTATAATATGGCGAGGTATTGAGGAGAGTCCAACGATTTATCCGTAGATTTTTTTTAAACAAGATACTGAACAAATTTATAAATTGTCACACTGATGTATCAGACGGATGTGTTTATGTGTTTATTTTGACACAATTTGACATATAGGTTCTTTCATTCTGCCGTGTATTTTATTATACCATTTGTTCTAGTTTATTCTAAAAGTTTCAATTAAATAAAATGACAAAAACTGCCGACAACGTTAATCCCGATATTTACGACAAGGGTTCAGAGCGAGAGATCACGTCTTCAGACTATGATGAAAATATCGAAGACTTGTTCGATGAACGTGAAATCTTTGATCTAATACGCAATATCAATGATCCTGAACATCCTCTGACATTGGAAGAGCTGCGTGTAGTTGAAGAGAGTAATATTAAAGTGGATAATATCAAAAACTTAGTCCATGTTAGCTTTACGCCGACTATACCGCATTGTAGTATGGCTACTCTCATAGGTGAGAATAATATAATAATAATAAAATTAACTTCACACATCTCACACACGATCAGATCCTAAACTAGGCAGACCCTGTGCTATAGTAACCAGACTCTTGATAAACATACTTATATATTTCTATACATACATATTATAGATAAATTACACCCAGACACACAACAAATGATCATGCTCATCACACAATTTTTTGCCCTGGGTGAGAATCGAACCCACAACCTTCAGCTTACCAGTCAGGGTCACTAAATACCAGCCGAAAGCTGAATTTTAATTGTAATGGAATTTTTTGAAGGTCATATACCAGAAAATATATTTGCAAACGAGCTGACAGGTTCCTATGGTAAGTAAATGACGCTTCCTGAATAACTGGAACTCAAGAGTCACAAATGCACTGTTGCCCTTTGAGTGCTACCTCAAGGTCATTTGTGAAAAGTTTTTTTTTGTATAATAGTAGGACCATACAAGCAGATGGGTCACTTGAAGGAAAGTGACCATCGCCGTCCATGAATGTCTGCAACTCAGGAGTGACAAACATATTGCCAGCCGGAAGGAGTATGCTTTTTTCTTTGAAGGTTGAAAGAGTTCCCTGGCAACTGGTGCCCGAGGCAGCGTGGGGTTTTTGGTTGGTTTGAGTCGGACATAACCACCCCACCAGTGTGTGGTATCCGAGGGGAAAAATTGGGTGAAAAGCCCTCAACTCACTCCACAACACTAATTTTACACCGGTTGTGCTTGCTTAACACTCTTGTCGAATTGTTCCATTTCTGCTGAAGCATGGCTCTGCATCTCTGACAAGGTGTATGTAAAAGTGAATAATGATATTTAGTCACAGAATATTTGTATTTAGCAATTCTTTTGTTTCATTCTAACGGATGAAGGTTAGCGGAGAAACAACCCTTCTCCCTGGAAGTAGTGGTCCCTAAAAGCAGCATTGTATTTATATCTCGTTCATCCGTCATATGTCGTACTCATATATTGAACACTATTTAAGTGTTGATATACCTACCTACCATTTTTTTTTTCTAAAAGACAATTCCCGCAATAGGAATAAATCCTGCGTCGCGGAGTACTTTACAAACATACAAGAAACGGACACAAGGGGCACCCAGACTCAGAACAACAATTTGTGGATCACACAAAGTGTTGTCCCATTTGGGGACCCACAACACACAGCGCAGTAGAAAGTGGCGAGGTGACCGCTTAAACCACTACGCCATACAAGCAGTCAGACCAATCAAATATTATCTACTACGATTTAAAAAAAGAAATACAATTATTTGTTATAATTCTTTCATTCGTTTTTTTCATGTACAAAGGCCATTTGTGGCCCATTTTTGTAATATTTTTTTGTAATGTCCATGTTGTGGTCTTCTATAGTTGAGGAAGTAAATTTTATTTGCTGTAAAACTATCATGTAAGGTGTATTTTTTGTTGGAGATCCAAATAAAATCTCTTGAGTTGTGGTATTCGGTTTATTTGTTAAACTATAATACCTAGACATCCGAATAGTTGTAGGAACTATAACGGGACACCTAGCTCTGAACCGACAGCTATTCACCATTGACAGTCCTCTTTGTAGAGGATGTTTGAAACCAGAAGAAACTTTCACATAATCCTGGAATGAGTGGGAGTGGTGACTCAACGGACTAGTGGTGCTAAGTCTGTTGTTCGAAAACAGTTGTTTAGTTCTGTCAAACAACGTTTCCTGTTCTGAAAACGTAATATTTGACAGGACAAACATTTTTTCAGTGATTTTTAGTTTAGAGAGTTTTCAAACTACAAAATTAGCATCAGTATCATACCTGACTAGCCGACCCGCGCAACTTCGTCTGCGTCTCTCAATAGTAATAAATTTTCTCCGTTTTTGAAACATTCTTCATTGGTGCTCCGCTCCTATTGGTCTTAGCGTGATGATATATAGCCTATAGCCTTCCTCGATAAATGGGCTATCTAACACTGAAAGAATTTTTCAAATCGGACCAGTAGTTCCTGAGATTAACGCGTTCAAACAAACAAACTCTTCAGCTTTATAATATTAGTATAGATACAGAGTCGCTCCTAGACGCCAGTGAAAGCTCAATTGGCTTTAGTCGGCAAGAATCTTGGTTGGCTACATACAATACCCTATACCATGAAAAAAGAAATGTTATATTCTTTCAGGACTCTCAATTCGTGTGCAGCTCCTGCGCGCCCTCCCAGCCAGGTTCAAAGTAGAAGTGGAAATAACGCCTGGATCTCATGCATCAGAATATGCGGTGAACAAACAGTTAGCTGATAAAGAACGGGTGGCTGCTGCATTAGAAAATAACAATTTGTTGCAAATTATAAACCAATGCATAGCTTAGTAATTAAGTGTAGAATTAGTGAACATAATTAATTATGATAAATATATTTTAGTAATATTGTACACTTTGTTTCATTAAATATATATAATATCAGGTATGAGTCAACTCGTGCGCCGAGGGTTCCGTACCTACCCACATTTTACGTAGAATTTCGCGAAAATTTGTAGGTACCAAAATTTATCTTAATATTCAACATTTTTAATTTTTTGGAATTATTTCTTTATTTGTGATGTAAGACGTTTCTTTTTGCCAAGTTTCGTGATTTTAGATCAAATGAGTATATACGAGGGAGTCTGAAAGTAGCGCCACTGGATGAAAAGTTAAGAAGTAATAGGTTATCTTGGTATGGGCATGTCATGCGGAGGGATGAGGAAAATGTGGCGAAGAAAGTTTTAGGTATGAGAGTTGAAGGGTATAAGAGAAGAGGCAGACCGAAGAAAAGGTGGATGGACTGCGTGAGGGAGGATATGGCTAGCAAGGGAGTAAACAGTGAGATGACGCATGACAGAGTAGAATGGAAAAATCATACATACTGCGCCGACCCCAAATGAAATTGGGAAAAGGGTAGGCAGATGATGGGAACTACCATATAGGTTTTCGACCCAAAGGGTACTTCCGGTTGACATAGAATCGTCAATTTTGGTTAAAAGCAAGGTCTTACAGCACAAGTAGAGAAAATTTTGAAAAATTAAAAAGGTGAAAATTAAGGTAAATTTTGGTGCTTACAATTTTTCGCGAAAATCGAAATTTGCCCATATCGTTTTATCGTGTTGACTCAGGACCTTGATTTTTATACACCTAATAATGACCATAGACCTCAGTTTCTGGTATAAATTTCAACTTGCTAGGTCTACCCGTTCCTGAGAAAATCGGTGGCGACACACGGACAGACGGACAAGTTTGGTTTGTCGGTAAATCCAACCAAATGTCAAGTGATCGTCGTGGGGAGCAAACAAATGATAAGTAGGTTGGATATGGCGGTCATCCCACCAGTTGTCTACAATAATGTGACTATACCTTATAGTGCAGTGGTAAAGAACCTGGGGTTATATATCGACTCGACACTTGACTGGCGGGCACAGGTTACACACGTCGGCCAGAAAGTCACCACATGTCTCCGTGCCTTATATCGATTGAAGAACTTCCTTCCCGCTAAAACTAAGGCTACGCTTATGCAATCCTTAATTATTCCCATAATCGACTATGGTGATGTGTGTTATTTCGACCTGAATGCAGACCTTCTCAATAAACTAGATCGCCTTCTCAATAACTGCATTCGATTCGTTTTCAATCTTCGCAAGTATGACCACGTGTCTGCTTTACGTTCCCAGCTGCAATGGCTCCCAATTCGTCAGCGCCGCAGTTTACGAGCACTGACTTCTCTCTTTTCTTTCCTCAACTCTCCATCGTTACCTGAATACCTCGTACCCCACTTCCGTTTCCTATGCTCCAATCACGATCGAAATCTTCGATCAACCAACAATATGCTTCTTCTATGCCCCCCTCACACCTCTAACTTCATCAACTCCTCCTTCTACGTCCAGTCAGTCCTCCTCTGGAATGCCCTCCCTGCCGAAATCAGGATGTCAACAAATCGCCTCGCATTCAAGCGAAAAGTGCGCGATCTTCTTCGGGGTGAATTGGCGAAATAGTTACAGCTCTAGTTCCCGACTGAGTATTTATATATTTTATTAAATTTATGTAGGTTTATGTATGCATGTGTGTTTTTATATTGTGTATGTTTCTGGACCTAAATTATGTTAATTTCATATTTTATTTTGCACCTACCGCATCATATTTCTACATCACCTGAAGGTTGACTGGGAGAGAATGCCTAATGGCATTAAGTCCGCCTTTGTACAATATGTGCATTAAGTTTAAAATAAATAAATAAATAAATAAAATGATCTTATAAGGGTTCCTTTTTTACCTTTTGAGGTACGGAACCTTAAAAACGAAATTTACTTAAAAATAATGTCCCATCGGTATCGGGTACAGGGACCAAGATACCGGTGGTTAGGACTCCAGTGACAGAAACCTCCTCCAAACCGTCATATGTGCTGTATCGAGAACTGCTTTCTGCATTAGGCTCTTAGTCCAGCTAACGTGAGCCTATGAAGATGTAGGTCGAGGCTTTTATCAAAAAATCCATGGGCTGATATGACCATCGGTACAATGCTTGCCGAATGCACATCCCACATGTCGAGTATCTCGTGGGCCAAACCCAAATACTTTTCGGTGTCATGCATCAGAATATGCGGTGAACAAACATTTATTATGATATAGACAGGCAGGCAGTTGAATTAACTTTATAGGTCTGTTGGTCTAGTGGTTAGTGACTATGACTGCTAAGCTGCAGGACGTGGTTCGATACCCATCGAGGACAAATAATTCATCATTTGCTCTGGGTGTAATCTATTAAGAAATATAAAAAAGCCGTGTGGTGTCGTGGGACACCCGATAGGAACGAAGTTGTTACGATCGAGTAAAACTGATTAAGACACGATTTTAATTACAACGCCATCTATGAAAGCGGCTATTACCTACATATTTTTCAGTTGGTTTCTAATTAAAACAATTATACATTGGTAAAATCTCCTTGAGAAATGATGTCGAATACAATATTTTTTGCTCAACCTAAGAACATAAATTTTAATTTTAATATTCGATAGATGGCGCTGAATGACTGACAAGTGAGAATTCAAAATAAAAAGTGTCGTGACCAATTTTCGTAAGATTTTTTTCCGTCTAGCCCCCTTTCACAACGCGCGATAAGGAACTTCGTTCCAATAAGAATGTTTATCAGCAGTCCGGTTACCATAACACAGACTGTTTGGGATCAGACTGCCGTGTGTGGGACAGGTGACATTTGGGGCGGTATACTATGTGGATCTTGTGTCAACTAGGGTTAATTTCGCTGAGTTGATACTAGTCTGCCTTACATATTATAGAAATCAAATATGGCTCACTTAATAATATCCATATTGTTTTGTGACTATGGTGCTTTCCTGTTTAAAAGGATATATAGGTGCTTGACTGCACGAATGGCCTAGTGGTTTAAGCGGTCGCCACGCCACTTCCTACTACGCCGAGTGTTGTGGGTTCAAACCCCACATGGGACGACACTTTGTGTGATCCACAAATTTTGTTCTGAGTCTGGGTGTTCTTTGTGTCCGTTTCATGTATGTTTGTAAAGTCCCCCGCGACACAGGATTTATTCCTAATGCGGGAGTTGTCTTTTTTAAAGAAGAAAAAGAAATATAAATATTTTAATTTCATTTACGTCGCCCGCTTTGCTAAGGAGGGAAGTGGTAAGTAAGTATTATGTTTTTAAGTGTAAAAATGTATCTGTCTGTCTGTAAACTCTTCGAGTTTAAACCGCTGAACCGACTTAGATGAACTTTGGCATAGAAATAGTTTGAGTTCCAGGAAAGGACATAGGATAGTTGTTATCCCAGAAATGATCCTTTAAGGGGGTGGAAGTTTGTATGGGGAATCAATAACCGCTGAACCGGTTAAGATGAAATTTAGTATGGAGATTGTTGCTAGTTTATTGTATTTCCAACTCCTCCAATTACTTCTGAAATATTAAAGGACATTTTAACTGTTTATGGGACCTCCCGAGTGTCATAACTCGTGTTCGTGGCTCACTGCTGTTGATCCTGGTGTGCAGGAGTTAAAGTAGTGGATGTGTGGGAGCGCCAAGTTTCATTCCGTTCCGTTTTATGTTAATTGGTTATGTTAAGCTATTGCATAGCTTCTATCGAGGGCCTTGAGCGCGGGGACCGAATCCAGAAATTCCGTAACGAAAAAAAACCTCACGCTAAAAACAAAACAAAAAACAGTACCAAAATCAAATGCTGAACGTCAAAGGAAATTTCGTCAACATAATGCAGAAAAATCTTACATGGATATGTAATTTGATTTAATAATAATATTTTTTATTTATTTATTTAAAAACAAATTGTAATATATGCTTCAATATTTTTATTTAATAAAAGAAAAAAAAATGTTTTCTTATCGGTCACCACGCTCAAAAAGTGTAACTTGAATTAATATCAAAGAAAAAGAAATACTGCATAAATAAAATAAATAAATAATTATAATTGCATAAGTTGATACAAAATGCTATGCAATAGCTTCACCGCGGCAGTCCCCGAGTGCCACACGTCTTTTTTATTTGTTCGTTTCGCCGTATGTGGAAGTCGCCAAATTTTCATTAGCACAATAAGAGTTTCCGTGTCTTTAAGACTAATTAGAAAGAAAACAATTTTAGGCAGTGTTGTAATGTTTATTTCAAAATATAAAGTTCATTGTGCTCTTTTACTGTTAAAATAAATATAAATGCCACTTCACTTGGAGTTTGCAGCTTTAGTTTCACTCTTCATGTCATCGTAAGATGTCAAATTCTGAAATAAAAGAATGACAGATTAAAGAATAGACAATATGCATGTATTTTTTTTATAAACAATTCTACTAGTTATTATGTCCGTGTGGTGACGAATTAAGAATATAGAGTGTCACCACCCGTATTTATCCCAAGGGTATCGTAAGACCCAACTAAGGGAGCAAACTCAGCAAGGCAACAGCACTGCAAGAGAATTAAAACTTGAAACAAACCCTAGACTAACCCGTCTGGCCAGCGTGGTATCGTAAGCCAAAACCTCTTTTCTAAGGAGAGACCTATGTCCAGCTGTGGACTAACAAAGGCTGTTGATGATGATGATCAGTTATTATAATTCCAAATATAAATTTAACACCGAAATATAAACCATTAAACAAAAAAATATTAAAATCGTTATCATTTTGGGGCGATTAAAACATGGCCACTTTGGCGCGCTTTTTCTATTACGTCAGATTGTTTGACATTGGGGATTGTCACTATTTGATTTGTAATATCTTTCCTCTCACTTCTGTAATATGCGGTAGTGGTTTCGCGAAGAGAGACGGAAGTATGTTTTGACATTGCGAGGTATGTGCAGTGAACGGTGCCCATCGCAGGCTTCGCAATGTGTGACGTATTATAGTCGTGGCGAGCCATGTGCTACGCAGTGTGAGGGCGAGCCATCGTATGTCCGCAAACGTTCCACGATCAAAGCGTACACGTGTGGCCGTTGAAGACACTCACTGAGGAAATGAATCTATTCGAGCCATTCGGCCACACACATCATTATGGCACCACCGTATTGGTGACACGTAGCCGCTGCTAATTCAATTATTGCAAAAAAATAAAACAGCTGGACATAAGCCTCTCCTTAGAAAGGAGGTTTTGGCCTACTATACCACGCTGGCCAGACGGGTTGGTATAGGGTTTGTGTCAAGTTTTCCTTCTCTGTTTGCTCCCTTAGTCGGCTCTTACGACACCTACGGGATGAATAGGGGTGGTGACACTCCGTATACTTAATCCGTCACTACACGGACCATATGTCTCGGTACACTTGTAGAAACGCACATTGCGAGGCAAGTACTTCGCATGTGGTGGGATCGACCTCAGCATGCGTCAGCCGACTTGAGCATGCGCAAAAAAAAGACAACGCCCGTACCAGGAATATCTCCTGTGTCGGACTTTACAAACATTTATTAAACGGATACGAATAACACCCAGACTCAGAACAACAATTTGTGGATCACACGACGTGTTGTCCCATCTGGGGATCGAACCCACAATACTCAGCGCAGTAGGAAGTGGCGAAGTGACCGCTTAAACCACAACGCTATCCGTGCAGTATTTATATCTGGTCTAGTAAGTGTGGTGTCAGTGTACTACTTCCAAACACGGGGTAAACTGCATAAATAAATAAAACAAACAAATTTTATTCATTATAAACCAGTAAACATGTTTCATTTCTTAAAAAAGTTACTAATTCCGATAAAAAATAAAATATACCTTCCTAAATAAAAAGCCAAGGAATTTCTCTGAATTTAAATTTCAAAATTGTCTGTTTTTTATTTCTCTTTCTAACTAACTTACCTCCCACAGATCGTTATCCCACTCTGGGAATAGTTTCTTGAACACGCCGGGTTCCTCCCCTTGTCTCACAAAGACAACCAAAGCAGAGTCGACGGTGCGTTCCAGGCCGTCGTCTTCAATATATTCCTGAAGAATTTTGAGCATTTCTTTTTAATTGTATTAAAGGAGCTTACGGCTCAATTACAATATACACATGATCTTAATTATGTAAGTACCATTAAGAAGATTCCACATCTAGAAAGAAGTTTTAATATTTAAAATAAACTTTTTTATGTACTAAAATATTTGTTAGACACAATATTCTTGTCATGGTTATACTACTGCAATAAGTTCATAATGATTTAGTCTATTAAAGGACCTACAAACTTTTTTTTTAAGACAACTCCCGCATTAGAAATATATCCTGTGTCGCGGGGGACTTTACAAACATACATGAAACGGACACAAAGAACACCCAGACTCAGAACGACAATGTGATGATCACACAAAATGTCGTCCCATGTGGGGATCGGACCCACGACTCTCAGCGTAGTAGTTAGCGGCGTGGTGACCGGTTAAACCACTACGCCATCCGTGCAGAAACTCTTGGTAGATAGCTATTACCGAAAATGACTGTGGCAAAATTAAACGGGGAGTAGATTCCTGGAACGGAATTTTCAGGTGGATATCAGGACTACCACTGGGCTGCCATAGGGCCTGCACTCATAACGCACTACGCGGCGGCATACGGGTATATTATCTCCAATCAGCTTGTCGAAGTACCACTTTACCTTAACAATGTCACTCCTGGCTGCCTTGTAACGTTCTGGAATGTTCGCTCCTTGCCACACGTACAGCTCTTCACCAGTATCCAGGATGAATACTCCATCATCGGAGAGATCCTGAAAAACAAGGGTATTTTAAATGGTAGAATATTTTTAATCACACTAGAACATTTGAGTGATGAAATCCAGTTGAGATGAACAGAAGCGGGTTCGGATCCCACTTATTACATTACGTATTTACTTCTATCTTAGCTGGAGGGGTTGAAAAGATCATCACAACTAGTTATGCTCGCTACTTCGTACCATGCTTAATTATCATCATCATCATACAGCCTTTAATAGTCCACTGTTGGATATAGGCCTCTCCTTGGAAAGGAGGTTTTGGCCTACTATACCACGCTGGCCAGACGGGTTGGTATAGGGTTTGTTTCAAGTTTTCCTTCTCTTTGCAGTGCTGTTGTCCTGCGTTGTTTGCTCCCTTAGTCGGCTCTTACGACACCCACGGGATGAATTGGGGTGGTGACACTTTATATTCTTAATCCGTCACCACACGAACTATTTGGCTTTTAGTATTATTAGAGACTAACTATAATCATGGTATTCAAGATTTTTTTTTTCTTTTTTATATTTTCACACTATTTCATCGTCATCAGCCTATCGCAGTCCACTGCTGGACATGGGTGTCTCCCATTGCACGCCACTTAGATCGATTTTGGGCTTCTCGCATCCAGCTCCTGGCTGCCATCTTGCGCAAAACGTCACTCCACCTGGCCTGTGGGCGTCCTACACTACGTTTGCCGAGACGCGGTCTCCACTCAAGAACTCGTTTTCCCCAACACACACACTGTTTAAACTTTGCCAACGTGGTGTAGTAGGCCAAAACCTTTCAAAGGAGGGGCCTATGTCCAGCAGTGGGCTATTAAAGGATGTTGATGATGATCATGATATTGAAACTTTCCTTGGAGTCTCACAAATATTTTAAGACCAAAAGGAGCCAAATCGGTCCATCGTTTCTCAAGTTTCAGTGAGATTAACGAACAACAATTCATTTTTATTATATAAATATGTACATTCGGCGGCGTCGAGATGTTCATATACTTTCTTTACTGTATTTGGATCTTCATAACCCTACCTTTCCTGTATATCTGAGTGAGCGCTTTGATTATCTTGTCCCCAGAAGTAGACCTTGTCGCACCTCATCTTCTCTTCTCCTTCGAACTCCTTCTCATATTTCAACCCGCTATGACAAGTCTTTCACTGTGTCTGCGGTGCGACTGTGGAATTCTCTTCCCCACTCAATACGCGATAGCCCATCCTTAAGTGTTTTTAAGAGGCGAATCAGAGAATTTTTCTTTTCTCAGCAGTAACAGACTAATATAATTATGTATGCATGTAGGTATTAGATATTTAATGTTACATATGGTTATTGATGTGTGAACTTTAATATATATGGTTTATTTACATGATATTCTTTTATTTCGTTTATTCTATTTCTCTATATTTTCTTAAATTTACTCTGTACACACGACTCTCTCTTGTTGTGCTTTCCTCTCTTCACTCTTGGGTTTGCTGGAAGAGAACTCAATTATGGGTTAAGCTCGCCTCTGTGCCCACTATTCCTTAATGTATTTTTTATATAAATGTTTATATTGTGTACGTAAGAATAAATAAATAAATAAATTTATAGAATATTTAGTATCACCTGCTGCGTATATTCAGTGTCCAAGTCTTCAAACTTTATCTTGCCACTGACAGTCACCGTGGCTGAAGATAGAGTGCGAGGTGTCGTCACCCTCCTGTTCACTGTCTGCTTCCAGCCAGAAGCATCCTCCTTCTCTTCAACTTTGCCTCCTACAGACCAAAAAGAGATATGTTATCATTTGTTACCTTAAAGCTGGAAATTACGCATCTTACATTAATACATACAAAAAGTAAGCATCTTTTGAACTAATTAATAGAATTATTTGTCTTATAAATAAAACATTATTTTCCATCCAACGAATCCCACATTATTGTCCGTGTGGAGACGGATTAAAAATACTAGGTGTCGCCACCCCTATTCATACCGTGGGTGTCGTAAGAGCCGACAAAGGGAGCAAACTTACAAGCACAACAGCACTGCAAAGAGAAGGAAAACTTGAAACAAACCCTATTCCAACCCGTCTGGCCAGCGTGGTATAGTAGGTCACCTAAGGAGAGGCCTATGTCCAGCAGTGGACTATTAATTGTTGATGTGATTTTCCATCCAAGGGCAACTTTATTTTCTTCTGAATGAAGTACACACTATGTCTTTTGCTGAGAATTACATGGAAAACTCGTACCCATGGAAAAATGCTCCCTGTATTTTGTATTTCACTTGCTCTAAATCATCACATATAAGAACTAAGGAAACCTACCCAGGGCATCCCAGAATTCATCAGGTTCTTCTCCCTGCGCCACCTCCGTAAGTTCTTTCTCTTCTCCTACTACCGTCTTCACAAACTTCTTTGCTGCTTCTTGTTCATCTTCTGTGGACTCCTGTTGGTTTATAACAGATAGATGACATGACTAATTAAGTGGTACTTGAGGCAACCCTGGATAGCTCATAGCAAATTCATTAAAACTAATAATAATAATACCATTAATCAGTTTTTGTCCGTGTGGTGACGGATTAAGAATATGGAGTGTCACCCTTCTATTCATCCCGTGGGTGTCGTAAGAGCCGACTAAGGGAGCAAAGTACGCAGGACTGTTGCACTGCAGAGAGAAGGAAAACTTGACACAAACCCTATACCAACCCGTCTGGCTAGCGTGGTATAGTAGGTCACAACCTCCTTTTTAAGGAGAGGCTTATGTCCAGTAGTGGACTATTAAAGGCTGTTAATGATGAATGACCTACCTTTCCACTCCACAAGTAGATAATGTCCTTAGTCTCCAACACATAGACATCGTCATCTTCCAGAGAGTCAGCTGTCTCTGGGACCTGGGATGCGCGCATATCCACTCCGAGCGCAGTGCCTTCCACCTGACCAGAAGTAACATTTTGAGTAAAGTAATATTTATCCAATATCCTAAAGTATAAAGGTGCGTTTCTTTGTTTGTTTTACGTTTTTAGATGTAAACTGCAAAAAGTTTTAGATAATTTTTTTCAAAAAGAAGACGAATCTGCAAGAAGATTAGGGTACTGGTCTGAGAAAATGTTTGTTTGACAGAGACAGGTATTGTACAGCTGAAGCCAGGGACATAACTAATAATAAGGTAGCTATAAATAAGGAAGCTAAATTGATTTAATTGTGACGAAATAAATAGCCGTGTGGTGGTGGATTAAGAATACAGATTGTCACCACCCCTATTCATCCCGTGGGTGTCGTATGAGCCGACTAAGGGCAAACTACGCAGAACAACACCACTGCGTAGAGAAGGAAAACTTAACACAAGCCCTATACCAACCCGTCTGGCCAGCGTGGTATAGTAGGCCAAAACCTTCTTTCTGAGGAGAGGCTTATGTCCAGCAGTGGACTGTTAAAGGCTGTTGATGAATGATGAAATAAATAGCATGAATAATAATTACATTTTCGATGGCTACATTAGCTCAATAATTTTCATGTTTGTTATAATTTCTTTGTCAAAAAAACAAAATCTAAAAGTAGCGTCTGCAGTCGCTATGTTAATACTGCACTACAGTAAGTAGCGTTTTAATTGTGAAGTGTAGAGGCAAGGAGAACATTCTTTTAAAGGGGGGATAGTTGAAAAAGTGTCCAGCTGTATACTGAAAATAGAGGTCGCTGGTCTAAGAAAAACTGCGATCATAGTTGTAGTAGAAGAGTTAAAATATTGGAACGAAGTTCCTTATCGCGCGTTGTGAAAGGGGGCTAGACGGAAAGTTGTAACGACACTTTTCATGTCAGTCATTCAGCGCCATCTATCGAATAGATAGGAAATCGTTACTTTTCATCTCAGTATTTATTTTGAATTGTCACTTGTCAGTCTTTCAGCGCCATCTATCGAATAGATAGGAAATAAATTGTTTTAATTAGAAACCAACTGAAAAATATGTAGGTAATAGCCGCTTTCATAGATGGCGTTGTAATTAAAATCGTGTCGAATCAATTTTACTCGATCGTCACAACTTCGTTCCTATCGGGTGTCCCACGACACCACACGGCTTTTTTTTCTAATAATTTTACTGTCTGTCAGTTATTACACGTTTATTTATTGTCTGTAAGAATCATTGACTATTTTCGACAGTGGTGCTAATTCTATTGTTCGAAAACTCTTTAAACTAAACTAAAAATGGCTAAAAAAATGTTGTCCTGTCAAATATTACGTTTTCAGAATAGGAAAAGTTGTTTAGTTTAGTTTAGAGAGTTTTCGAACAACAGAATTAGCACCAAGGTCTGATTATTATTTAAGCTAATCTAAATGTATCCTAGACTACAGCAGCGCCACAATTATTGGACGGGTTTTTACGGAAGCTTTCATACACAGAGATGGTTGTCCTTGCCTCTACACTTCATAGTTTTAATGAAGATAAATTACTCGGAATCCGTGTGGTGACGGACTAAGAATACAGAGTGTCACCACCCCTATTCATCCCGTGGGTGTCGTAAGAGGCGACTAAGGGAGCAAACTACGCAGGATAACAGCACTGCAGAGAGAAGGAAAACTTGACACAAACCCTATACCAACCCGTCTGGCCAGCGTGGTATAGTAGGCCAAAACCTCTTTCTAAGGAGAGGCCTATGTCCAGCAGTGGACTATTAAAGGCTGTTGATGAAATTACTCGGACTTGACACAAAGGATGTTATGAAAGAACTCATAAGGTTGGCTAGAAAGAGACAGAGATTTGTCATTTTTTACTTACTCTGAACAATCTCGTATTGTCATCTTCATAGGAGCCATTTTTGTTTGTAGGTTTGTTATCAGTTTCGGTTCCTCCGAACACTATCGCTAGGTTGCCTGCGGAGTGATGTAATAAAATATATTTAAATGATAGTAATAATCTCACACACGGCCATCAGATCCCAAACTACACAGAGCCTGTGCTACAGTTATCAGACTGCTGATAAACATACTTATATATTTCTAAATACATACATATTATAGATAAATTACATCCAGACACAAAACAAATGATCGTGCTCAGCACACAATTATTTTTCTTGGGTGGGAATCGAACCCACGACTTCAGGTTGACCAGTCATTATACACGTCATTATATTTGACTAGCAACATGTCCCGGCTTCGCACGGGCCCACTGTATTATACAAAAAACCTACCTCTTGAATCACTCTCTCTATTAATAAAAACTGCATTAAACTCCGTTGCGTAGTTACAAAGATTTAAGTGAACACGAAGCGACTTTATATTACACGCTTTATATTAGCTTCACTTGTATGTTTGTATGTTTGTTTGTAACCGACTCCTTTGGGCGTGATTTTGACTGACTTTGAATGGTCAGAATTCGTTCAAACTTTGTAGATATATCGAGGAACGATGACAATACACTAAAAATAAAAAAATTGTATCTTTTTATGGTAAGAAAAAAAATGTTAGTTTTAAAAAACTAAAAAACACACTTTCTATAGAAAACCAAACTAAAAAATAGAAAATATATTTGATAAAAAGCGTTGGGTGCCCGTTGTCACTAGTAAAAAGCACCCCATGTTTTTTTTTCAAATTAATTTTCTAATTTTTAGTTTGGTAACTATAATTTTTTTTCTTACTATAAAAAGATATGCATACAAGTCGTTTTAGTTTAAAAACTGATCTCTCACCTTTGAAGATAGACAAGAAATGCTTCGGTTCCTTCCCTTGGGGTACTTTCACGAGGGCCACGTTACCTTCGATATCATTCTCCAACTCATATGCTTTGTCGAAGGCTGTTGTCCTGTCTTCTTCACTCGCGTCGGAACCCTGAGAAGAGTTGTGCGATTACGTCCTTAAGAAACATCGGTCTGTTTAAGTAATACCTACTGTACGAGCGGTGGCATTTGGTATTGGTTGTGGGCTTCGGTGTCCGCTTTAGACTCAAGAGTGGTCATTTATGCGTCGAGGATTGGTTAGCTAGGTGATCCAACCAAGCTCCTTCCAGAAGCGCAGAAGCCTCCTGGGGCGTTCACATGCTTCAACGAGCGGTGGCTATTAATTATAAGTAACCAGACGAATTCGTGTGGTGACTTATTAAGAATACGGAGTGTCACCTGTTCATCCCGTGGGTGTCGTAAGAGCCGACTAAGGACGCAAACTACGCAGGACAACAGCACTGCAAAGACAAGGAAAATTTAAAACAAACATTATGCCCACCCGTCTGGCCAACGTGGTATAGTAGGCTAAAACCTCCTTTCCAAGGAGAGGCCTTTGTCCAGCAGTAGACTAATAAAGGCTGTTGATGATTATGATGATGCAGTATAGGGAGAGTCATTTGGACCTCACAGAAAACCATCGTTAACCAATCCTTTCATTGCTCTTTACCGAGTAAGTGAGGGAGTGAGTGAGGTTAATGGAGATTTAACTCCCCCCTCCCAAAGGGGGATCACACAAAGGGCGACAAGAGCGGCGGTTGTCACTTATCATCAATTGACCCGTTAGTTCGTTTGGCGTCTGTACCATCTTCTTTACAAATTATAAAATTGAAGTGTCTGTTTGTACTTATTGTCAATTGTCATCTGTTTGTTTGTTTCGGGTAATCTTCTAAACGCCTGAACCTGTCCTGTACCTATGTGAAGGTAGCCATCTATATAAGGAGTAACTTAGGCTATTTTTCCTCTTAGACAAACCCTATTAAATTTTGCCCGGTCCGGGAATCGAACCCACTAAGGCATCGCTTTTCAAAGTCACGAGTATCAGCTGGTTAAAAAGGTAATTTCTATGGGATATGCTAGCTAGTGTAAAAAACTTACGATCCAACAGTACACCACTGTGGCGTCAGCGCCTTCAGAGTTTGTGTACTCGTACTTGACCAAGTACACCTCGTTCTGATACAGCACAGACAAGTCTTCTGTAAATTGCTCGGTCACGTCTTCATTTCCATTTGATAACCTGGACGAAATAAACAAAAGTTTTATTTAAATAAACAACTGCAGTTTAGTTAACCTAAAAATACGTTATGGTGACCACTTTCTTTCATAATATCATTAACATCTCGACTAAACAGACTAAAATTACATGCTGTCTTCGGTATCAGGACCCGGGGAACCAGGAGTAACCTAGAAAGTCAATCTGTAGACAGAAAATCCTAATCCTGACAGACTGTCCACCTGAATTTATCATCAGACTATTAGTACCAGGCCAAAGAAGCATCAGAACGGGAACGGCAAAGAACAAGCGGCAGCCATTTTGATTTTATTTTTTGGTGTACTGTATTCTACTAGTCCCTTCATTTGAGACCTATATCGAAGTTAAAAAATTTATAATCCGCCATTTTGTGGTGGCTGCCATTTTGAATTTATAATGACCCTGAACATACATAATTGTATTTTCAACTAAATTAATGATAAGTACCAAATTTAAGATCAATTAGTCACCAGGAAGGTCTAGGTCTACTACTAAATTTGACCCACACAGGGCAAGCTAAATAAAACCTGTGGAGGAACGGGAGTCATGTCCCTCCAACACAAAGGGAGGATCCTCCGACCAGGCGAGGTGATCATGCCTGGCGGGCCGCGGCCCAACGGTTGATGTTGGGCAGTTGTATATATGCTTATCGGCGAGGGAGTTCTTCATATCGCGATACAGGATTAGCAATTCTTATTTAGTAGTTACTCCGTAGTTCGGTGTGTCTTCATTAGATGGCGCTGCAGTATGTTTCTGTTTCTTTGTATGTGGGAGTCGCCACAAACCCTTTAATAACTAATTTCTTGGTTCTAATGTAACTTGTTAACGCACGTTAAAAACGCGCATCGGAACGTCATCGCGTCGCCTCTCCACGCAGGCCGCGGCCCCGCTCTCTCGCCCGCCGGACAGCGCACACGACGCACGTTGTCACTCATAACGCACACCATTGTCAATTTTTGTAATTGAATTTTTATTATAACATTATATAAATGTCAAGTGACTTGTGCTTAATTTCTGGAACCCGCTTAGAAGATTCCTAACCATAACTTCTATACGTTAAAATCTAAATGAATAAAGTGGGGTATATCAGCACAAACGCAGTGCGTCTGAATATATCTCCAATCGTGAAGGTAACCTTGTAATATTGAACTTCCCGTCGCCCTGGTCAGGCATGTAACCCCTGGCTGCAGCGCTCTTCCCGATCAATTTTGCAGCAGTAGTAGCGTGTTCTTGGTCTTCGGAGTAATAGCCAGCATCTGAAATTTAAAATCCAGGATGGAAATTAGGGGTTATTCAGAAAAAGCTCAATACAGGGGACAAAAGAGCTCACAGGTCACCTGATGGTAAGTGACTACCACTGCAAATTGACACCTGCAACTCTAGACTCAAAAGTGCGTTACTGCCCTTTGGGGTCCGTCCCTCTGAGTAAGGGGGGGAGGGAGGAGGAGGTCCTTATCCTTCTGTGAGATAAGGACGCCTAAGTGATAGAGAATTCTTAATGATTGGCAGCCTGCCACATATTGCAGGAATATAAATATACCCACCACTGTCAGTCACTGCCCTGGAGCGATAAGCACCAGTGGAGTCCCAGTTGTGGAAGTACTGCTTGAAGTTGGAGCTCTCTGAACCTTGGGCGACCATGGTTACATTTACCTAAACAAAAAGTAATACAGTGTAAATTTCAAATAGTTTTTTTCTGGAAGATTCTGGAAGAATGTTAAGGACAACAAACTGTTAACAAACCTGGGATGGAAAATCGACTTGAAAATTTTGAAATTTATCTATACTAATATTATAAAGCTGAAGAGTTTGTTTGTTTGTTTGTTTGAACGCGCTAATCTCTGGAACTACTGGTCCGATTTGAAAAATTCTTTCCGTTTTAGATAGCCCATTTATCGAGGAAGGCTATAGGCTATATATCATCACGCTAAGACCAATAGGAGCGGAGCACCAATGAAGAATGTTTCAAAAACGGAGAAAATTTATTACTATTGAGAGACGCAGACGAAGTTGCGCGGGTCAGCTAGTTATTGATATTACTGTTTATTTATATTTATTTTTCTATCGCTGGGGAACTATTTTTTGGTTGTATGGTAGGTACAATATTTGACAGAAAACCAAAAGGACCCATATATTAATGGAAATTTCAAGTTTACGTTTCTCAACAGTTTTACTGCTATGAGCACTTTCCTACTTACCTAAATGCCTACTCCAATGGAGAGCTAGTTTATTATTATTATTATTTCATATTGTTAATGATAAAATATATTAGCACCGGCTAGTTCCAATTATCGTTTTTTGATCTATATCTTGACGCAATTCTGCTACTGCTGTTTCCTGTTACAGTTTCCTATTTTACCCCAAAAAACTTATTTGGCTACTATGCTTTACTTACCCAAGTAGGATAACTCTTCATTTCCAAGTACTTATCAGCGATTTCACTGTAGGTCTTCTTGACATCCGAACTGACATCAGATCCTATCCAGACGTAGACTCCAGAGCACGGCGTGTCCAAGATGAAGATATCCTGGAAATACAAAAAAAATCGGTTGTCTGTAAAGTCGGTTTTACTGACGATAGTTGAACGTGACAACGTCATAAGAAAATACTGATGGAACGGTTGCATTTTACGAAAACATGTAAATGTATTATTGTATAGCAGATGTCCACGCGGACGCATCGCTCACTCAAGTAGGAGAGAGACAGATGTCAAACTCTGCCGAAGGCGAAGGCCGATTGTGCCTCTTTGTCGCTCGTTCCGCGCTCTCGCTTGCACTTCAAGCCTTAAATGGAATGCCTCAGAGCGAGGTAACGCCACATGAGTCATGTATTTTCGTGCGTGCAGTCGGCTCCATCGAATTATAAGACGTTGTCACGTCAAAAATAAGTCTATTTTATGTTCGGTTTCTTTGAGGGACTGTCGTCTGTGTCTTGTTTCCGTATTGTGTTCAATATGGCACCGACCCAAATAGAATAAATACAAGTTATAATGATGAACAGCGCGAGAACTTTTAATACCGCGATGCAGGACGTATAGTTAATAAATAGTTCATCTGGTCTTCACTAGATGGCACTAATGTATATTTTCTGCAATAGCAAACGCAGCCAGAGATGCAGATACATCTGATATCTTCCTTATTGTATAAAAACGGTTAAGTCCTATCTTCTGACACGACAATATGGTTCAAGCTTCTACTCTATGCTGTAACGGGTTTGGCTGACGATTAAGAAGATTACTCACCTCAGAAGAAAGCTTGGTTTGCTTAAATGGTTTGTTAAGTTCGTCCAGTTCCAATTCATCCCCAACTGACACCATATATAAGTAGACAGCTGATATGTTCTCTCTTTCATAACTCTGTTATAACAGGAAATCATAAAATCAAATAAAAATACTAGCTAGTACATAAAGTTGTGTAAAAAAAGTGTGGTGACCGATTAAGAACACGGAGTATCACCACCGCTATACACCCCATGGGTTGTAAGAGCCGACTAAAGGAGCAAACTCCGTAGGACAACACTGCAATGAGAAGGAAATCTTGAAACAAAATATATACCTACCGTCTTGCCAGCGTGGCATAGTAGGCCAAATTCTCCTTTCTAAGGAGCGTCCTTTGACCGGCAGTATACTGTTAGAGGCTGATGATGATGAAACAAAAAAGAAGTAGGTAAAAAAGTTCGTATAAGCCCTTAATTTTGATACCTCACTCCATTGGTTTGAGAATAAAAAATATTATAAGTTTTTTTTTATTAATTAAAATAGTAGTGTAGGACGCCCACAGGCCAGGTGGAGTCCAAAATCGATCTAAGTGGCGTGCAATTGGAGAGGCCTATGTCCAGCAGTGGACTGTGATAGGCTGATGATGATGATGATGATTTAAAATACCCAGTGACACTTCTATTCACTTCAAAATTTTCTTAATATAACGTAAAATGAAAAGAAAAATTAAAATGGCGGGAGGGGTCTATAAATCCTCGGTTGGAACGAAGGCCCTTTTTGGTTATGTTTTGCTATAGTGTCGGATAGTGTCTTGTTACATTGTTCGGTCTCGCTCCATCCGCTCAGAGCGTGTGACGCATTATAAGAAACTTCGTTCCAAAAAGAAATAGAGGTAATACTCACATAATTAGAAGCAGAGTCATCGCTTTCAATCTCATCCTTGGATCCAGAGCCAAGAGCTTCGAAGAACAAAGCCACATCTTCGTCTGAGGAGAACTCGTCTGTAATAATATGTGCAAATAAAGACTTACTGTTCTTTGTAATAAAGGACAATCTTGCTTGCAAGGGCTTGGAAGTTTGAGGAAGTTAATGGATGGCTTCAGGTAATAATAATAAGTTAGGGTTGAAATGACCATCATAAATTGAACTGTAATTGTATAGAATTTTGTATCATGACAGGTCACAATATATACTGGACTCATAAAATATTATGATGTCGTTTTCACGTCATTTTTAGCTTTCTGATCTTCTTCTATGGTAAGTGACTACCAATTGCCGCCCTTTTAGCCCCCCCCCCTGATCCTGGGGGAGAGGGGAAGGGTTTTGGGGTCCGGTACCCTTATTCATTCGGTGAACACTTATTTGCCTTTACTTCTACTTGCTTACCAATGATTTCAATGGTGGCTCTTCCATTGTGCTCATCATCTCTGAGCCTATTGGCAACGCTGATGATCTTCCTTCTCTGTGTGGCCCTGGCGCCTTCAGGCATGAGGACAAAAATATCATGCTCCACCTCCAAAATAAAGCAGTGTTCTTTCGTAAGGGATGAAGCTTCAGCTGGAACCTGTCAAAGACAGATGAGGTATGAACACGCCTCTTGGTCTATTGGTATTTGATTCTGACTGGGCCAGAGGATTGTCAGATTATAATAAAATTAGTTCACACACGACCGTTTGATCTCAAACTAGGCAGAGCCTGTGCTATGGTAACCAGACTGCTGATAAACATACTTATATGTTTCTAAATGCATACATTCATATCTATACAAATAAATAAAATTGGAGTGTCTGTTTGAAATATTAAAATAACCGCTTTTTACTAAATGCATATGTATGTTTACACGGTACATATGCCAAAATAACATTTTTTTCAATTTTTGTCTGTCTGTCTGTCTGTTTGTTCCTGGTAATCTCTGGAACGGTTGGACTGATTTCGACGGGACTTTCACTGGCAGATAGCTGATGACATAAGGAGTAACTTAGGCTACTTTTTTTAGACTAGCTTCGCCCCGCGGCGCTGCCCGCGGTTATAACAACAAACGCGGGTAACAATGCGGGCCTCAGCTAGTCTGTAAATAAAAGAAGAAACTGAGAGACTAATTCACTGACTGTTCGATCAACGTACAGCTAAAACCGCTGGGTCTAGAAGCATGAAATTTTGGACAAATGTTCCTTGGGTGACGTATGTGTACACTAAGAAAGGATTTTGAAAAAAATCACCTCTAAGGGTGCAAAATGGGGGTTGAAAATTTATATGAAACTTCGGTAGTTTGGTAGTAGCATTTCCCTCAACCGTTGTGACTACAAACTTGAACCTATTTCAACTGGTGCTGTTTTTTGTTGTAAGCACCTACTAACAAAGGATTCTTAGAAATTTTACCCTAAGGGGCTAAAATAAAGGATGATTGGTTGTATAGAATTTCGTCATTTTCAAACTAAGAAACACGAAATTAGAAATAATCACATTACACGAGAATTATAGATAAATTACACGCATTGTTTGCGTGTAATCTATACTAATAATAGGTCTTTACCTATGAAATTGCCGTTTTGTATGCAATAAGTGAAAGTAATTATTTTTTCAAACTTTTTTATTTCTGTTATTCGAAGTAATCACCCATGCAATCGACGCATCTTTGCCAACGCATTGGCAGTTTATTGATGGCCTTCTTGTAAAAATCAGCTAGACGGGAGGCAACAAACTCTTCGAAGGCATTTTGTACTGCCTCTCGGGAATTGAATTTTTTACCCACTAAAAAGTTGTCTAAATATTGGAAAAAGTAATAGTCGGCAGGTGGTAAAGACCTAATATTATAAAGCTGAAGAGATTGTTTGTTTGTTTGAACGCGCTAATCTCAGGAACTACTGGTCCGATTTAAAAAATTCTTTCAGTGTTAGATAGCCCATTTATCGAGGAAGGCTATAGGCTATATATCATCACGCTAAGACCAATAGGAGCGGAGCAACAAAGAAGAATGTTTCAAAAACGGAGAAAATTTATTACTATTGAGAGACGCAGACGAAGTTGCGCGGGTCAGCTAGTTTATCTATAATTCTCATGTAAGAAAAAATGATCGTACTCATGACACAATTATTTGTCCTGGGTGTGCATCGAACCCACGACCTCTGGCTTATTGTCCAGGGTCACTAATCACTAAAACAACAGGCCCGTCATATTATGTTACTATAGAGAGAGAAGAGATAACGATTTAAAAAAAAAACAAGTGTGGTGTCGTGGGACACCCGATAGGAACGAAGTTGTAACGATCGAGTAAAACTGATTTGACACGATTTTAATTACAACGCCATCTATGAAAGCGGCTATTACCTACATATTTTTCAGTTGGTTTCTAATTAAAACAATTTATACATTGGTAAAATCTCCTTGAGAAATGATGTCGAATACAATATTTTTGGCTCAACCTAAGAACATAAATTTTAATTTTACTATTCGATAGATGGCGCTGAATGACTGACAAGTGACAATTCAAAATAAAAAGTGTCGTGACCAATTTTCGTAAGAATTTTTTCCGTCTAGCCCCCTTTCACAACGCGCGATAAGGAACTTCGTTCCAAAATAAAAAAAATAAAAATGACAACCCCGCATTAGGAAAATATTCTGTGTCGTGGGGGACTTTACAAACATACATGTAACGGACACAAAGACCACCCAGACTCCGAACAACAATTTGTGGATCACACAGCGTCATCCCATGTGGGGATCGAACCCACAACTCTCTATTCTTATTTATACACTTATTTCTAACCCTTTACTACATGACGTTACCTCACGTTACCGTGGTCCTTTACTACCTTTTTTTTTTTTTTTTTAACTTTTTGTCCTTTACTACCTAACTTGACTGTAGTCGATTAATTGTCGTGATCATTAAAACGTCTTACTTCTTTGATCCTCATATTTTCGGTGCCAGTTAGCTTGAGAAGTCTCTTCTCAGCACCAGCATTCGTCACGACCTGGTTGAACCCTGACTCGTTACCGCCTTCCAGGTACCTGATGGCTGAAAGAAGATTTACATATCTTGTTAGGTTTTTGGTGCCATTCCGTGAAAGTGTAACCTGAATTTACTAACCGAAAAATATGGTAGTAATTTAACTGCATTTAAATACACTTGCTAAAGTGGTGTTTTCCACATACAACATTACTAATTCTATATCGCGCAATGAAAATTCTAGCGCCGATTTAAATGTATGCAACTTCCCAGCATTTGGGCCATGGTTCAACATCATTATATCTGTAGTGTACCTTACACTATTTTCACACACCCAATTTACACACATTAATATTATTTACCTTTCATTATTTTACACTTATTTATTTATATATATGAAGGTAATTTCGATACCGGATGGTCGATAATTCATTTCGAATATTATCGACTGGGTCCAATCCCTATTACCGCGCATGCGTGAGATTGTTGTGATGTCGCTTAGTTATGTTGAATGGTGACATTTTTCTGCCTTAGCTAATTTTAATGGTTGGCTTGCTTTCTTCAATTTCTACTACAAGATTGTATATCCAAGTTTTAATTAAACAATATATTGTTCTTGAAGTGTTTGTGATCTATTAGTGCGGAGTTATTCTTCTGATATACCTATTCCCATTACCTACACTGGTGATCCCGACGTGATCCCAAACTTTACCGACATGAGTATTTTGGGACGCCCTTATATATTTAAAGCTAATCTTTTTCAAGAAGTGAAGCATCCTGCTACCAAGGTGTCAGAAGTCACTCCGTGTAAAAAGGGCTCCCCAAAGTACTCACCGTATTATGAGTAAAAGCGGTTTCGCACTACATTCGATCAGAATCCGATCCGAACCCTTGCAAATACCGTCCGAAGTAGTCCTAGAACTATTTATTTAGTAGTTTAGGCATTACATGTCTTCCGTCATCCGATTTTTTTCTGTTATTCGTGAATCTGAATTCCGGAGAAGATTATTGACGGACCGATGTAGTGGGTAGTAGCGGTAGTCGCTTTTCCTTAGGTGAACCGTCTGCTAAAAAAACCCAAAGTAGCCATACTATTATTTGTATGAACGCACCCAGAATTCTTTGCTTGTTGTGTGTCGTAAGTATGTACAATAACAATACAATTGCCAGAAGTTAACGCCGACCGCAAGTACTAATGACGTGAACGCTCTGCTGTGGCTCCGCGTAAAATAACGTCTGCTAAAAGGTGACTCCTGAATTGCTTGGATTAGAATCAGAGATCGTAATAGTGCGTAAACAAAATATGAATTCAATTACTCAGACAGCTTCAAACTCCGTAATCACGGCTCAGAAATCGAAGGAAGTGCGAAAAGGAATATCCTTTTCGAGCACGAGATTTCTAGATCCGTATTTTCACGAGTTCGGATCGGGCGTATTGCGAAACCGCTCTAAGACCATACGTATTATGAGTGCATGTCTAACCTGGTTTGAAGTAGCCCAAGAATAAGCTGGATTCGTATCCCTGTGCCTCCCGGTGATGTACAGCTTTCCCTCCAAGCATATCATCCAGGGTTATAGTCAAAATGGCGGCCGATCCCTTTTTATCCTGTGTGGTGTTCTCGCCGATCCAGAAATGGGCGTCGTAGAACAGACTCGTCTGGTCAGTTCCGCTTGTCTAAAAGAAGATTATATAGTGTACTATGTGAATAGAGTTTCACATATATCACACGTCTGATTAAATCTGTCCGTGTGGTTCCCCTATTCATCGCAAGGGTGTCGTAATAGCCGGCTAAGGGAGCAAACTCTGCAGGACAACAGCACTGCAAAGAGAAGGAAAACTTGAAACAAACCCTATACCAACCCGTCTGGTCAGCGTGGTGTAGTAGGCCAAAACCTCCTTTTTAAGGAGAGGGCTATGTCCAGCAGTGGACTATCAAAGGCTGTTGATGTGATGTGATCAAAAAATAAGCAGGGGCCAGCAGTAAAGTACCATGGTAATCAGACTGCTGATAAACATACTTAACGGGACTGTTGGTTTAGTGGTTGGTCACCCTGACCAGGCCCGTCTTTAGCTTATTGGTGGCCATGGGCACATTAGGATAATTTGGCAAAAACAAACTTGACTGAGTACTATTTTCTTAGAATAGACAGAATAGAAACTACTCTAGTAATTTATTGTAACTGGATTTTTCGAAATAAATGTTTTTCTGTGATAAATATTGACTATCGATTAGTGATCTGGCAGGAATTAATGGGCCCTATCGATCGAGGGGCACGTGCCCAGAGTGCCTAGTGGGAGAAAGTGGCCTGACCCTGACTGCCAAGCCGGAGATATCAGGATCGTTTTGAACCCAGGACATTTGTCCTGCAACCTACTTGTTAACACATAGCCACCCCTCTTCGTTGCTAGAGTTGCCCGTTATGGTATGACAAGTAACATGTCAGATGTTAGACATTGTATGCGATTACTGTAAGACTGATTAATTATAATAATAATAATAAAAGTCTTTTATCAGGGGGCAACAAGGTGCGAGCCTGCAATGGTTGGGTCATGCCGGTTCTAATGTATTCCTTTGGTATACTTAGATGGACTCAGACCGAATTAGATGCCCTTGACAGGAAAGTCCGCACACTGCTGACTGCATCCCGAATGCACCACCCACGTTCATCAGTTATGAGATTGTATATCCCGCGAAAGCTTGGGGGTCGCGGTCTATTAAATATCAAGACCCTACATAATCGCGAGGTATGCAATCTCAGAGAATATTTTCTACATACCGACGTGGGAGTGCATCGCAATGTAGTTGCAGTGGATACCGGCTTCACCCCGCTCGCTCTGGGCTAAAGAGAATTGGCGCAGACCTGTAGTACTTGGTGTTTAAGTGATCGCAGGGAAGTATGGAAGGGCAAAGAGCTCCATGGTCGGTTTTATCGGGCCCTAAACGGGTCCGATATAGATTTAAAAGCATCTACGACTTGGCTACGGCATGGTGATCTCTTTGGAGAAACTGAAGGTTTTGTTGTGCGATTATGGACGAAGTTATCATGACGAATAACTATCGGAAATATATCCTGAAAGATGGTACGGTTGACATCTGTCGGGCATGCCACCGTCCTGGCGAATCAATCAGGCATATTATTTCTGGTTGTTCTCGTCTTGCTAACGGAGAATATTTGCACAGGCACAACCAAGTAGCCAGGATCGTACACCACAGCTTGCCCTTAAATACCATCTTGTGAATCTAGAGGTGCCATACTATAGGTATGTGCCCGACCCAGTTCTCGAGAATGGTCGGGCCACGTTGTATTGGGATCGATCTATTATCACAGACAGGACTATTGTTGCCAATAAGCCTGATATTGTGTTGATAGATCGATTAGAGCGCCGCGCAATGATTGTTGATATCGCCGTTCCTCATGACGAGAATCTCGTGAAAGTTGAAAAAGAAAAACAAATTAAATATTTGGATTTATCTCACGAGATTGTCGATATGTGGAATGTTGATTCAGTGATCATTGTTCCGATAGTCGTATCTGCTCATGGATTGATAGCCAAGAGCCTCGACCAACACCTTAAGAGGCTCACGTTGGATGGCTGGATCAAGGGTCTGATGCAGAAGGCAGTCCTCCTTGACACGGCTCGTATAGTGAGGAGGTTCCTATCTTTGGAGTCCTAACCACCGGTGTCTTGGTCCCTGTACCCGATGTCGGTGGTCTACTATTTTTTATATTTTTAAATGTATTTTTTTTATAAAGTGTATATTTAAAAATGTAAATAATATGTATATAAAGTAAATAAAGAGAATAATAATAACGTTATAGGAACGCTTCTTTAGCCGCCTGAAAAAAGTATTAAATAGTCTTTTATCAGGTGGTAATAAGGTGAGAGCCTATAATGATTGGGTCATACCAGTTCTAACTTACTCTTTTGGCATACTTAGATGGACTCAGACTGAACTAGATACCCTGGATAGAATAGTTCGTACATTGCTTACTGCATACCGAATGCATCATCCACGTTCATCGGTGATGAGGTTATATATTCCACGAAAATGTGGTGGTCGTGGTTTTCTAAATGCCAAGACCCTCCACAATCGTGAGATATGTAACCTTAGGAATTACTTCCTGTCTGTTGATGTGGATATCCATAGGGATGTAGTAGCAGTTGATAACGGACTCACTCCGCTTGGTCTAGGTAAAGAGAACTGGCGCAAATTTGCAGTACTCAACATTACTGATCGTAAGGAGATATGGAGGGGCAAAGAGCTGCATGGACGTTTTTATCGAGCCTTGAACAGGCCTGAGGTGGATCAACTAGCGTCTGTATTCTGGCTTCGATTCGGTGACCTCTTCGGGGAAACTGAAGGTTTTGTCTTTGCAATTACTGATGAAGTTGTTATGACGAATAATTATCGGAAGTATATCCTGAAGGACGGCACAATAGACATTTGTCGGGCATGTCATTGTCCTGGTGAAAGCCTTAGACATATAATTTCCGGTTGTTCTCGTCTTGCCAACGGCGAGTACTTGCATAGACATAACCAAGTGGCCAGGATTGTCCATCAGCAACTTGCTCTTAAGTATAACCTTGTCACTGTAAAGTTACCGTACTACAAATATGTGCCCGACCCAGTTCTTGAAAATGGTCGTGCAACGTTGTACTGGGATCGCCCTATTATCACTGACAGGACTATAGTTGCCAATAAACCTGATATAGTGGTAATAGACCGATTGGAGCGCCGAGCAATGATTGTTGACATTACCATTCCACATGACGACAATCTCTTGAAAGCTGAAAAAGATAAACAAGTGAAGTATTTGGATTTAGCCCACGAGATTGTCGACATGTGGGATGTTGATTCGGCAATCGTTGTACCGATAGTCATATCGGCCCATGGATTAGTTGCTAAGAGCCTCGACCAACATCTTCAGAGGCTCGCGTTAGGCAGTTGGATTAAGGGTCTGATGCAGAAAGCAGTTCTTCTCGATACGGCACGTATTGTGAGGAAGTTTCTGTCTCTGGAGTCCTAACCACCGGCGTTGCCCGCGGTTATAACAACAAACGCGGGTAACACCGCGGGTCTCAGCTAGTTCAAACTAAGCATAGACAGAATATAAGTGTTTTTTAATTTGTTAATATAATCTGTGTCAATATAATTATTAAGTATCGGTTTATACAGTATTAGCTGGTAACAGCGACTTCGTTCGCTTGGAATTTGAAAAGCGCTGCCTCAGTGGGTTCGATCTCGGACCGGGCAAAATTTTACAGGCTTTTTCTGAGAGGAATAATAGCCTAAGTCACTCCTTATATAGACAGCTACCTGAAAGTAACGTATTCCCGGAGCAAACAGACAGACGGACAAAAAAATTAAACTAGTTATTAGGCGTAGATATCGTGCAAATAACCGTGAGAACATTAAACAACATATTATTTTGACATTACAAACAGACACTTTTTTATTTTTTATTTTTTATTTTACACTTTTTTTTTAACACTTTTTAATTTTATTTATTTGTATAGATAGGTAAAGGAGCGCTTTCTTCTTCTTGTTTTTTCTTCTTATAAAAGACTACTCCCGCATTAGGAATATATCCTGTGTCGCGGGGGACTTTACAAACATACATGAAACGGACACAAAGAACACCCAGACTCAGAACAACAATTTGGTGATCACATAAAGTGGTGTCCCATGTGGGGATTGAACCCACAACACTCAGCGCAGTAGAAAGAGGTGGCCGCTTAAACCACTACGCCATCCCTGCTTCTTAATGGGACATCAATGTGTTTCTAACAGACTTGTACATTTATAAATATGTATGTTTGTATTTACACGATTATCTCAAAAATTAATTGGCCGTTTCTCATGATTGTTTTACTAACTTATTCTAGAAATTATTTAAGTAAGATTTCAATATTAAATACATTAGGTTTATTACTATTTATCACGCTGTGTCGGTTTTTTTGTTAAAAAAAAATGTTTTTTCTTTATGGTATAAGGGGGCAAACGAGCAGACGGGTAACCTGATGGTAAGCAACTACCGCAGCCCATGGACACCTGCAACTCAAAAGTCACAAGTGCGTTGCTGCCCTTGGAGTCCCTCCTGCTCGAGTCAGCGTGAGGGGGGTTTGGGCTCCGGTAACCTCACTCACTTAGTGAAAGGCAAAGAAAGAATTAAAGAAAAAAGAAGAAAAACTTGACACAAACCCTACACCAACCCGTCTGCCCCCCTCCCACCAACATCCCCTACACCAATATCATTTGAGAAGCCATTATCATGTTCATACTACAGAACGATAAGTATTACGGTAATGTAACGAGTATCAATATGATGGATATAAAGCATGCTTACCTTCAATACAATATACGAATCCCCATTGTAGAATTTACCATACAATTTGGAGTCTATTGCGACCGGCTCAAATTTCTGCAAGAAAATGTATTTATGTCTATATATAAAAGCCGTGTGGTGTCGTGGGACACCCGATAGGAACGAAGTTGTGACGATCGAGTAAAACTGATTCGACACGATTTTAATTACAACGCCATCTATGAATGCGGCTATTACCTACATATTTTTCAGTTGGTTTCTAATTAAAACAATTTATACATTGGTAAAATCTCCTTGAGAAATGATGTCGAATACAATATTTTTTGCTCAACCTAAGAACATAAATTTTAATTTTACTGAGATGAAAAGTAATGATTTCCTATCTATTCGATAGATGGCGCTGAATGACTGACAAGTGACAATTCAAAATAAAAAGTGTCGTTACAACTTTTCGTGAGAATTTTTTTCGTCTCGCCCCCTTTCACAACGCGCGATAAGGAACTTCGTTGCAATAATTAGTTGTTGGTTTATGTCTCTGTCTCAGTGATTTCACCAATCACAGGAGTGACATACAGACATAATCGACTTCTTCGATATACTGCAGTCTTAGCTTTCCATAAGAAACTTGCGGATTCCCATACCTTAGGTATCTCGCCTAATTTACGTTCTCCCCTAGTTCAAAAACAATATATTCGTGATGAATAAAATAAATATGTTTTTTTTATTTTTTATTTATTTTCTTTATGCACATGCCTGTGTACAAGGCGATGATTAAGAGGATTTTTTATGATATAGGGAGCAAACCAGACGACGAATCACTTGTTTGTAATGGACTCCGCCTTTGAAGACTTAAAAGAATTATGGAATGGGTGTTTATTTATTAGGATCTCCAGTGAAAGATATGCACAATTAAAAACACTAATAAACTAAAGGGGTATCAAGTCGGTGTACTCCTCCACTTACAGGAGACTACAGCAAACACAGTGAAAAAAAAAATACTTCCACTTAGCGAACTAACAAAGTTACAAATTGTGAATAAAAATTAAATGCTTAAAAGTATCAAGATTACAAATGAAAACAATTTTGTTTTGTTTTTGTTTTTTTTTACCACATTCACACAACGCCATCTAGTCCCAAACTAAGCAAAGCTTGTACTATGGGTACTAGACAACTGATATAAATACATATATACTTTTTTTGGAAAGAAGTTCCTTATCGCGTGTTGTGAAAGGGGGCTAGACGGAAAAAATTAAGACGAAAAGTTGTAACGACACTTTTTGCTATAGTAAGCTATTGTAAGCCGTGCGGCGTGCTCATGTTTCTCTGTCTGTCTCTCTCTCTCTCTCTTATAGAAACCAAGCCATATATTTTCGTTTCGTCTTTCTATTTCGCATTGAACAGTGTGGTGTCGCGACGATTGAGCTTACTGATTAAGTTTATATTACATTATATTTGTTAATAAAAAAAAAAAACAAAATAAAAAAAAAAAAAAATCGAAAGAAACTTCGTCCCTTGACACCTCTCAAGTTTTTTATTGTAAATACATAGTTATTATAGACATAGAAACACCCAGACCAAATCAAACAATAAATGTTCATGCACACAAATGTTTGACTTGAGCGGGAATCGAACCCGCGACCTTTGGAATAGCAGTCAAACAAACACAAACCACTAGGCCATTCGGTCGTCAAAACTGAAATTGAATAAACTTGGTAAAATTTACAAAATAAAATGAAAAAAATAGTGGCACTCCGGGATTGCCGACAGTAGTGAAAACTTGAAAAAAATTTTTTTTTTTGTTTTTTAGATTCGAAAAATACCTATATGTATATATATCTATATTGTACGTATATACACATTATATGTTTATATTATATATAGTTATATTATCAAAGTATTTCAACCCAAACTCAACTCTCGTGTAAACGGGGGCAATATATGTAGATATTTATACACAAAGGTGTCGGTAACGGTAACAGTGTCGCAAGTTCAATGATATTTTCCCATCTCAAAAAAAAACATTCTGTTTTGTTCAAAAATGCCCAACGCGCCTTAAGAAGTTTTCACTACAAAAAACATTAAGGTTCAACTTCAACTTCAACTTTTGGTTAATGACTTTGTGGTAGAGTGTAACCACAATTTCGCCAATGTATTGGACTGTCAAAGGATTTTATGTAGAGCTGTGGTAGCATTAAGGTTTATATTACATTAAAGTTTTCGGTTGCTTATGGTAATATGTGTTCTTGTCACTTACGTCAATAGTCCATATTTCTAAACCAGGTTCCGCACCAGCTTCAGAGAAACTTGGATGTTCCATTACTATATTAACCACGGAATGATTTAATTATACAGTTGAAGACTTGTGAATTTGCTGTCAGATACGGCAATACTCGTGGTGATACTAAACACATTTGGAACTTATCTTATCGTAAAAAGATATAAAATGAATCACCTGTGACACTGTTTTTGATTATCTAAATAATGAATATAATCCTAAAAGGATATCGCGCCGATTGTACCTGTAATAAAATCGATATTGTTTGGTATTCAACATTTTCCTTGTATGGTATATTGTAAATTTATAAATATATTAGCTGGACTTCTTTCGCGTGGAATTTGAAAATCGCTGCCTTACTGGATTCGATTAACGGACCGGGTAAAATTTTATAGGGGTTTTCTGATGGAAAAAATAGCCTAAGTTACTCCTTATATATAGACAGCTACCTGATGAAGAAGATTACCAGAAGATTACCCGGAACAAATAGACAGACGAAAATATTTTAAATCGGTTTTTTGGCATATGTATCGTGCAAATAACCGTGTGAACATAAAATAAACCCATTATTTTGACATTACAAACAGACAGACACTTCTATTTATTTGTATAGATTGTTCCACTAAGCCTTTTTTTTTCAACCTAGGTTGGGGTCTGTTTTAAATCTACTAAGATACGGGTGAACTTCGAGCGACTGCCGCCAGACCTCCGTAACTCAAGCACTAGTCGATATCGAAGTTCTGTACCCGTAACAATTGCCACAGATATTGGTATGGCAACCATGACCCGATGGCTTAACGTGCTCGGCAAGGAGGGGTCTCAATATGTTCAGAATGGTCACCCATCCATAAACTGACCTGGCTAGGGTTGCTTAACTTTGCAATGTGTTATAACCTAGTCGGTTACAGCCACGAGCCTATACATATACAGTTATTTAAATTGATGTTTTGTGTGAATGTAAATGTAAATGTACGAATTAACGTTACTAAAAGGTTATTTATTTGCTGTGGCCTGATACCCATAACACAACTTAGATCTTACCATGGGTATCAGTGTTCCAAACCATTGTCCGTTTCTCAGTTTTGTATAACTACTTTCATGTATGTATTTGTTGTAACTTTGGAAAATAAATATTTACTTTACCTTATATCTTCATCCCATCTAAACCCGTGGCGGAGTGACGGATTAAGAATACAGAGTATCATCATCCCTATTCATCCCGTGGGTGTCGTATGAGCCGACTAAGGAAAAATGAAGCAGAACAACAACACTGAACAGAGAAGGAAAACTTTGCCAACCCGTCTGGCTAGCGTGGTCAAAACCTCCTTTCTAAGGAGAGGCCTATGTCCAGCAGTGGACTATTAAAGGCTGTTGATGTGATGTCTAAACCCTAAAGTCGTTGACAGTAACAGACTAGCTCTTTCTTTCCACTCATTATTACACTTGGACCCCTCAACATAGTTGCCTCAGACCAATAAAGCCGCTAATTTGTACCTACTGTTTACAAAGCTAAAATTTAATTCTTTCAAATGTAATGTGTGTACAATGACTGGGGGTAGAATATAAATTTAATAATTATTCTTCAACACCCAGGCTGGAGGTCCAAGTGTAAAGGTGAGTGTCCATGGACACCCTAGGGGTCCAGGCGTACTCTTCCGGCCCGCCAAGCCCGGGAACGGGCCAGGTACCGCAGGCGACTCAGGCGCCGAAGGTCGCAGAACGACCTCCGTCCTCCATAAGCGCAGGCCTGGGGGTGACAGGTGAGGCCATCTGTCACCCTAGCAGAAGCAGGCCGGGGTGGCGGCGAGCGCGTTGCGAAGCGCGCCCTCTTCCAGGGAGCAGAGGGAACATGGGGTTCCCACACAGGGGGAGCTTGTCTATTCGTCTGTAGATGGCCCGAGGTATGTAGGGGCACCAGGGACTTCCTTTCTAGGGTATACCTGGTTCCCCGGCTATTAGTGCCCGAGACGGCGTGCGGTTTTAGTCGGTTCGAGTCCGACATGCCACCCACGGGTGGTATCAGAGGGGATTGCCGCACAAAAATAAAAAAAGAAAAAAAGGGGTCCAGGCGTGGGCGTTCTTCTTTCCATTTCAGATATACTTGCTTGAGTATATCGTGTATGTATATCGGTTATTCGTGTGGTGACGGAATAAGAATACAGAGCATCATCACCCCTAATCATCCCGTGGGTGTCGTAAGAGCCGACTAAGGGAGCAAACCAAAACGATGTTTTAATGGCAACAGAAAGAAAGAAAGAAAGAAAGAAAATACGTTTATTAGTCACAACACAAACACAGCCAAAAAAGGAATTACAGATATAACATAGAAGAGAAAAAGAAAAGAAACAATTTGCTCAACTGAAGAATAGCACATACAATAACAAAAACAAACAAGTACAAACGAATAAAATGATCACTGTGTGTGACTAAAGGGCTACAACTCAGCGTATGCTATAGTCCCTAAAAGTGACCACAGCGCTGATTTTCAGCTGAAGCTCAATGATGATTTTTTTAATTCAATTATAGCCTTATTTACGTTATTTTCAATACATAAACCATCAACTTACCTCTGAAAAGTAATTATGTTTAATTTATTATGGTTTTGTGACCTTGAATCGCTGTCTATCAAAGGCCGTCCCTGGCGCCCTACACTACGTTTACCTGATTACGGTCTCCACTGTAACACATATCGGCCAGTGACCATAAGTCCGCCTTCAGACATGACCGGCCCACTTCAGCGACTGATTCTCTGTGATATGCGATGTTGGTTCCTCTAATTCTCTGTCGAATAACTTTGTTTCAAATTTTATTGGCTAGAGAAATATAGGTGTGGTGACGGATTTAGAATACGGCATGTCACCACCCCTATTCGTCCCGTTGGTGTCGTAAGAGCCGACTAAGGGAGCAAACCACGCAGAACACCAGCACTGCAAAGAGAAGGAAAACTTGAAACAAAACCTTATACCAACCCGTCTGGCCAGCGTGGTATAGTAGGCTAAAACCTCCTTTCTAAGGAGAGGCCTATGTCCAGCAGTGGAATGCTAAAGGCTGTTGATGATGTATCGGTCAAATATTAGGTAATATAACGCTTGCATACAATATTAAAAGACAACAAATAATGTAATGTTTATATCTAGCCATTATCTCATTCGTTTATGGTTTGGAACAGATCGATATCGTTTTTACCTAGTTTTGTAGTTGTCCTTGGCAGTTTTGATAACTTATACCTATAATTTTTTATGGAAGAGGGGGAAATAAGCGGGTCACCTGATAAAAAGTGGCTACCGCAGCCTTGCTTGCAACTCAGGATTCACAAGCCGGCGGGCCTTTGAGGAAGAAGTACGCTCTTTTCTTACAAGTTTGAAGGTTGTTTCGGTCCGTTAATACCGCAGACAATAACTTTTTTTTTTTGTCTTGAAAAGCGCATGGTGGTAGAGTGCCAATTTTTTTTAATAACTTTTTGTAATGCGGATTTAATGCCTAAGGCATTCTCTGCTAGTCGAGTTATGAGGGAGTAATAAATGATAGAAGTTTTATTATATTACGTTTTAAGTATTATATATATATATATATATATATATAAATATATTTGTGTGTATATGTAGGTCTATACCTATATACACATACACCCACATACACATATATATATTTAAAAAAAAATATCTAGGCCACTAATTCAGAGGGAAGTCACATGCGGGGTTCCCCAGGGATCGGTCTTAGGACCACTTCTGTGGAACCTCGCGTATGATGCCGTTCTGAGGACCAGCCTTCCCCCAGGATTGAGCGTCGTCTGCTACGCAGATGATACTCTAGTACTGGCTGGGGGGCATGGCTTCCAGGAGGCCCTTGAGCTCGCCGAGATAGGGGTGGCTTGTGTCGTCCAAAGCATCAGTGGTCTGGGACTAAGGGTTGCACCTCATAAGTCGGAAGCCACAGGAAACGCAGAGGTGCAGTTCCCACTCGCTCACTTATTAGCGTGGGGGGAACAGAAGTCGAGGTTGGCCAACACATAAAATACCTTGGCCTCACCCTAGACAGCCGCTGGAGCTTCGGGGAGCATTTCGAGCGGATGATCCCCCGAGTTCGTGGGGTGGCGGGCTCCCTACAGAGGCTGTTGCCTAACCTAGGGGGTCCGCGGGAGGAAGTTCGCCGCCTCTATTGTGCGGTGATACGATCCATGGCCCTCTACGGAGCTCCGATATGGGCCAAGCGCCTATCGGCCTCCTCCCGCTGCCGAGCTAAGCTCAATCAAGCGCAGCGGATAGCGGCCATTCGGATCGTACGAGGGTACCGCACTATTTCGTCGGAGGCAGCGACAGTCCTGGCACGTTTCCCGCCCTTTGATATCCTGGCGGATATGGATGCGAGGGTCTATGACCAGACTCGCGCGATCCGCTGGGGTGAGAGCGGGGAAGACCAGGACGCGCTCGAAATGCGGCGGAACGCTCACCAACATGCACTGGTGCAGTGGCGCGTGCGGCTGGAACAGCCACAGAATGAGCGCCAACGCGCTGTCAGCGCTGTTCTGCCTAACCTCGAAGCCTGGGTAGGTAGGGAGGGAGGTCGCGTCACCTATCGACTGACGCAGGTACTCACTGGGCATGGTTGCTTCGGTGAGTACCTGAATCGTATCGGACGCGAGGAGACGGCACAATGCCAGCACTGCGCAGCCGACTGGGACTCCGCCCAGCACACGCTGGAAGACTGCCCCGCGTGGGCGTCTGAACGCGAAGTCCTGGTCGGCCAAATCGGAAGAGACCTGTCCCCGCCAGCAGTCATTGCTGCCTTGCTGGCGGGTGAGGAGGGATGGGGCGCAGTGGTCTCTTTCTGTGAAGCTGTAATGCTCCAGAAAGAGACCGCTGAACGGGATCGGGAGAGGGCCGATCCTGAGCGTAGAGGACGTCGGCGACCATACCAGCCGCCGACGGGGCCGCGGGCTGCCAGAGAGTGGGGACCTCTGTTCGCTGATTGAATGTTGCGGTAGGGGATAGGATGGCGGCCTGATTGCATTAAGACGAAATTGGGCCGCCACGTCGCGATTGAGGGGGGAAGTGATTTTCCCCTGGGATAGGGCCTGACTAGGCATGGTGTCAATTCGGGGAGGACCTGAAATAACATGGTCCGGGTCCTCCCAGAGTAGGGCACCTGAGGCCGGCCGTCGGGGTGGTTTTTAGTGGAATCACCACATACTCCTAGCTCCTAGCCCCGAGGAGCAGGATATCCGAAGGGATTTTCCACCCCGTCAACAAAAAAAAAAAAAAGCCACGAATTCAGAGCGATTGTCCAAGTGAAGGATGAAAATTTAGCCGTGTGGAACGATGGAATGCTGCACCGGTATAACTAGGTGCTTAATATGATCTCAAATTGTTTTATTATGATATAGGACCAAAAAAGTAGTCGTGCCATCTGTTCTGCTATTTTTAATCGACTCCCAAAAAGGAGGAGGTTTTCCATTCGCCGGATTTTTTTTTATTCACCGTTTACTACTACGTACTACGTTTTACTTCCCAGGTTAAAAAGGTCCTATTCAAATTTTATCGAAATTCGTCAAGCGGTTTTTGAAAAATCGACAAAAATCTAATAGTTGTATTTATTGATGATATGTTTGTTTACTTTCGAAAATTTTCTGTCTCATTGAAGCAGTGCGTTTAGTTGGTCTTTGTTAGTATTGTTTGAAGTCGGTTCAACTTTTTGTCAAAAGGATTTTTATGTTAACGCCGTGCCACTGTCATTCCATTGACACACTATTGAGATGCCACTGACATCGGTCAAAATATCAGTATTCTACTAACATAAAGACTGCCGATATAGTAATATAGGTCATCAATGGTGATATCAACAACATTGCCAAACCTGGAAAATTAAATATTATCGTTTTCTTACAAATTTAATATGTTAAAAAACTGTTATAAAGACATCGACGACATTTGTATCAGTGACAAGTAATCCAAGCCATCTGTTATACATAGTTAGTAGAATAGGAAAAGTGCAAATTGGATTTAAGTGTTTTATGTATTTGTTGTTTAAATGTTTTTATAATCCCACGAGGTGCGGGAATCATTCTTATTTGGGGGTATTCGTCTTAAGTAATAGTATTTGATATCCGCATTTAGACTCTGCCCATTATGATTGTGGATAAAGAGTAACCTACTTGAGTGTTCGTTGTACTTCTTGGGGGTTGGTCTATCACAGAAAGAGTTTAGGGTTTCTATTAACAAGTTGTGTACTAATTTACTTATAGTGTGTTGAGGGTTGTCTGGTCTTTTGGGAATGGAAAAAAATAGTCAACAACACAATAAAACATTTCGAACTAATAATAAACTTTATTAATATTAACACAGAATTTAACATACAAAATAACGTACACTTAACACAATAGAATTAAGTTCAGTTAAGTACTTCAACACGGGTAACTTTGTACCTGTAGGTAACTTTGAACAGTCAATGACTTTTATTAAGATTATTTATCCGGTTAATTATCCGACTAATGTTTAAAGAGATTAGAAGAACAGATAATTAATTTTACATTGCCTTCTAGCATTAGCTTGTACTGTGGGGTCTAGTATACAGATAAATGTACTCGAACACATTGTTTTGTGAACATATACATAATTATAAATACCATAGACAAACTTTAAGCAGTAAATAAACCTGCGACCTTTGAAGTTCAGTTATAATTTTAATACATGAGCTACTACTGCGCCATGTTTGTTTGCGTGTATTGGACGTGTCAAAATATTATTTCATGACAAGATAACATTGAAAAACAATTGCTTATAAAGATATGCCCTTTTGATAAAATTTAGTTTAGATTCCCTGTTTATGTTTCTGGTGGGTTTCATTTCTGTTATTATTTTTCTGTACAGACACATAAAAGTGACACTATCATCGCATCATAACGCCTAGTTGCAAATGTCAAATTGACAGTATAGGCTAAAGTTACCCGCATAAATAAAGTTACCCGATTTAAATGTACAGAATATTACGGAAAGGCGTGCGAAACAAAATTGAATAACGTTATGTGCAGAATAACAAATAGTTAAATATAAGTTATATAATAAAAGTAAATTTGTTATTTGTATTTAGAATATATCTAAGCCTCCGGTGACCTCACGTACTGCGAGAAATGCATTTAATAAAAATGTTGTACAGACTATTTAGAAAAATCTAGACATTCCATCTACATCCTCGTCACAAAACACCCATGTCTTGATTCGTTTCAGCCATCTTATTTTCGAAATATGTGATCCATTGGTACAATTTTCTAATTCAATTTATCATCAAGATTTGGTATAAAGTTGTTAGCATTTTACGTCATTTCCGGGGTTTATAATACCCTGGAACATGATCACATGTTTCTCTAACATTCTATATTTAAAAAAAAAAAAGATTTATTATATGCACATGGCTGTAAATAAAACTAGACCTAAATGCGATATTATCATAGGAACTTCGAATTTGTAGGAAGAATTGACATTTTTGAGCAAAACGGGATCATTTTTGTTAGGTTGCTGAAAAGAAGATAAAAAAGATAAATAATCTAAACTTATATAATTCGTGCGTGTAGAATTTAAAAAGCCGAGATTTAGTGTTGTAGTGCGGTTTTTGTTTTAATTAACTTATTACTATTTAGCGCCAAAAAAGCCGCCATTTTGTTTTTTTTCCTTCAAAAAGAAATCTAAAGACACTTGGGTTTCCGAGTCGGATAAAACAATACCATAACTGTCAAAATCCATCCAGTCATTTTGAAGATTCGAGGTAATAAATAAATTTACAAACAAATTCACGAGATACGCGCAAAAATGGTGAACCTTCTTTGGAAGTCGGGTAAAAATCACGCTACGATTAATAAGAGTAGAGTAACAATAAAAATGTTGCAAGAAACGGGGAAAATTTATTCCATTTGAGGTACGGAGAGGAAGTTTTAGATGAAAACCAGCTGGTTATAATTTTTTTTAATAATAATAATATTCTACCACACACACACAACGCCATCTAGTCCCAAACTAAGCAGAGCTTGTACTATGGGTAATAGACAACTGATATAAATACATTTATACTTTTTTTTTTGTAAATACATACATATTATACATAGAAACACCCAGACCAAATCAAACATCAAATGTTCATGCACACAAATGTTTGACTTGAGCGGGAATCGAACCCGCGACCTTTGGAATAGCAGTCCGTTACACAAACCACTACGCCATCCGGTCGTCCGAATAATATATAAGTCAACTAATTTAAAATAAAACATAAACATGTTTTTAAACATTTCAGTAATTTAGCCATTTATAAAATGCGGAACTAATTGTTTAACGAATAAACTTACAGTGACGCTGAGTTTCTGTCTGTTTTTGCAGCTTATCTCATCTATTGAGGTCCTGAACTTTTCAATTTCCGCCTTGCTCGTAGAATCTGGTGCGAACTTGAAGCTGCAATGTCGAAATTAATGTCATTAATACGCTTTTATTAGCTTGGTATGTATATATGTATGTAACGGAATCTTCGAACGTGATTTTGACCCTCTTCAAAACGTGGAATTAAATTGAAACATTATCAAGGACCGATACAATAATTTGATAAATTTGACCGATTATCCTGGAAGGATAATCGGTCAAATTTATGACGATTTGCGCAAGATGGCTGGCAGGAGCTGGATGCGAGAAGCCCAAAATCGATCTAAGTGGCGTGCAATGGGAGAGGCCTATGTCCAGCAGTAGACTGCGATAGAGATGATGATCCTGGAAGGTCCTGTAATCTTATTCACTAAAAAGTAACAGTCATTCAGTCGAGCCGGCCTTCAGTGTCACAGCATGACTCTTCCGCAATTATCTTAAACGATGTCGTAAAAGAAAGAAAACATATTTTATTTGTAAAACACACGACAGCTCTAATATATGAATTTTATAAACTTAAAAACACTTTTGAAACAAAATATACAACACAAATTACATGAAACATTCATAATAATAAATAAAAATACAGCTAGCAAACCTGTGCCAAAAACACACAGTTTCAAATGTGCCAGCCATGTCACATGTGGCAACACTGGCTACGTGACATTCACGACAACACAGCAGCACAGCCACACTGGCACATACGTGTCAAATGTATGACGTGGCAACAGCTCGTTTTTTTTAATTTCTACCATTCGTAAAAGGTAACAGTCACAAAATACTGTTGTGTCTAACCATATTCTTCTCTAGTAGAATTCTGGCTTTATGTCTTTACTTTCTTCTCTGTGCCGAAACCCCCTCGGATACCACCCACCGGTGGTTATGTCGGACTCGAACCGACCAAAAACCACACGCCGTCTCGGGTACCAGTTGCCGGGGAACCAGGTGTACTCTAGGAAGGAAATCCCTGATACCCCGACGTACTTCGGGTCATCTACGACGTGTAAATGTGTGAGAACCTCCTGTGTGAGAACCCCTATGTCCCTTTTGTGCTCCCGAAAGGCCACCTCCACAACGCCTTGTGCTAGGGTGACAGATGGCCTCACCTACCACCCCCAGGCCTGCGCTTATGGAGGACAGAGGTAATTCTGCGACCTCCGGCGCCTGAGTCGTCTGCGGTATCTGGCCTGTTGCTGGGTCTGGCGTTCCGGGGGAGTTCTAAACCTCTCCTGGTCCCGCCCCGCCATCTCCTTTAAGAATCTCGCCATCTTCTTCCGCAGAAGTATTTATGTATGTCTTTACCTGGAGTGGGTTATTCTATCCATCGCAAATCTGATGATATTATAAAGTTTGGGGGTCTTATTAAAAAGTATTTTTTCATTCTACCATCATTGGCTGAGAAAATAATCTAGTTTATGTACTAACCCATTCTTGGCTCTACCTATCGGTTTCTCTTCATCTTCTAAGGTGGATATTATGGTCGATGCAGTTTCTTTATCTCCAAATTTCTTTTCAGTTATGTCCGGGTAATCTGAAAATAACCAAATGAAAAGCATATTATTGAAAAACAAACATATAACCCGACTGCTTGAAAATATTTAAGTTATTAAAATTCACACATCGGCTGTTTTAATTTTTTCTATTTTCGTATAACCAGTTTCACTGTCACAATTAAGACCAATAAATAAGAAATCCTTCAAGCCGTTTAAACTAATGTAAAGTCTAAAGAAAGATATAGATAGTTCAACTCAGTTGTGCGCGCGGCCCTATGTGTGCGTGGGCTTGTAAATATACAACTTTCATTCGTGTGGCAGTCGTCGTCCGACTGCCGCGTCACTGCCACACGAATGAAAGTTGTATATTTACTAGTATATTATATTATATATTATTTATTATTATTATGTTGTATATTATTTAACTCGAAAAACATAACATAGTTTCTGTAAGGTGACACCGAACAAATAATGTCAGTAATAACCTCAGTAATTTGCTAACTTTACTTATAAATCACTAGCGGCTTCGCACGGTTAGTGTACCCATTTTAAAAAAATGACATTTGGTGCAATCGTTCTGAATATGCGCGTAATTATTACGGCGATTCATTTTTATTTATATGTATAGAAAGATAGTTGAGGTAGACATAATACATTCGTGTCTGTGAAACCGTGGCAATACACATTAGTTGACATACCGTCAGCAGCGCCATCTACCGGGTCCAATTGTATTTTTAAATCATCCAGGAATACCCATATAAAACTTCAACCCAATCGGTTCAGCCGTTTAGAAGTTATGTGAAAAAGATAAGCACGAAAGGATAATTCTTACTACCCGTTGTCTTATTACCCGTTTTCCCGTAGGAATGAAGCATTTCCCCGCGGTGAAAATAGCCTATGTTCATCAGGGATAATGTCGGCTTCAAATGGTAAAAGAATTTTTCTAATCGGTCCAGTAGTTTCGGAGCCTATTTAATACAAACAAACAATGAAATCTTTCCTCTTTATAATATTAGTGTAGATAATTACTCCTTCAGTACACGATTAGCGGTCATCGCGTGTGATCCTTCGCTCCTTTATATTTTCTTACCCGTGGTCCGTATAATATATTTATTTTATTAGTTAAATACCCGTATAATTTTCTAGCTTAGAAAACTTCTACATGGTCCTTCGAGCCGGTTGCGGAGCCTATGCTTAATATGTATGTATTTAAAAAAAAAGTCAAATCAAACTAGCTTTCATGGTATAAGCTCTACTTAGTTTGAAACTAGATGGCGTTGTGTGTCAGATATCCGAAAATATTATTATTTATCTATTATACCTTTTCTGGTCTCCCTTTTATTTCATAGGGGTAACAAAATCTAACACTCGGGCCTTAGCCAAGTGTGCCAGAAGGGGAAGATGTAAAATTAAGATGAGGTGGAGCGAGTAATTTCCGTGTGAGACGGACATGGATGTATTAAAAAGCACTGCTTTTTGTAAGAGTGAGGATGGACTTTATTTCAGTAGCTAAGTCTATGTATTTTGACATCTTTGCTGTGTGCGTCGTGAAGAGATTGTGTGAGAATCTATATTGTTTGTTTATTTCACTATCAAAAAAATAAAAAATTAAAATTATTTCACTATCAACATATATTTTATTTATTGATTTTTGACTGTTGCCCGCGACTCCGCCGAGGCTACCGACGTTTCCCCGTCGGAGCCGCGCCCAAAAGCGCGTATTCTTTAAAAGGATAAGTCAAAATAAGAGAGATTACACAAAAGAAGTGTTTTATGATTACTCACCGGAATCTTTATAAATCTCTGCCAATTCCTTCTCCAGCCTCGCTTCTTCGTCGTCGGGACCGGATCCATCTATTTTTTCTTGGTCTTTCAAATTTCTTCTGCCTGATGTCACCTATAACAGAGTTTAAATAATGGTTATTTTAAAAAATGACTGAAAGGTGAAGAAGTTTCTTTTGCTTTTTAAAAGACAACTTCCACACTAGGAATAAATCGTGTATCGCGGGGAACTTTACAAACATAATATATGAAACTAGCTAATGGCTGCGACTTCGTCCGCGTGGAATTTGAAAAGCGCTGTCCGGGTTTGATTCCCGGACCGGGAAAAAAATTATAGGGTTTTTCTGAGAGAAAAAATAGCCTAAGTTACTCCTTATATAGACAGCTACTCGGTAGTACAGCCGTATTGAAGACTACCCGGCACAAACAGACAGATAGACAGATAGACCGACAGACAGATAGACAGACAAAAAATATTTAAACTGGTTTTTAGGCATAGGTATCGTGCAAATAACCGTGTAAGCATGAAAGAAACCAATTATTTTGACATTACAAACAGACACTTCAATTTTATGTATTTGTATATGTATGGGCACAAAGAACTGTTGCCCATGTGGGGATCGAACCCCTAACACTCAGCGCAGAAGGAAGGGGCGAGGCGCTTAAGTCACTCTATGCAGCCATTGAAGTGTTTTGTAACAAAATACTGTTTAGTTTAGTACAAAGAAACAAAGATCAAAAAGAAATGGAATAAATGACATCAAATTCTGTTTTAATTAACAAAAAAAAGGAATCAAGTATCGTATTTGAGTGTCATACGTGGGAGAGCCATGCTTCGGCAAAAATGGGCCGGCTTGACCGGTCGATTCCACGGCCTCACAGAACACCGGTCGTAAAGCAATTTCTCTGTTGCATTTCACTGAGTGAGTGAGGTTTCCGGAGCCCAACCCCCTCCTGATAGCGTCGTTGAAAAATAATCTACCCCAGGGAAGTACCAGCTGCGTTAGCGTTGGAGAATCCCCCTCTGGACGTCCACGCTCAGAAGATCATACGTCTGGGCGTAGATGTCTGGGCTGCCCCGCGTATTCTGGGGGGAGGCGCAACAGCGCTTGATTTCCGGACCGATACGACTTTCAAACATCCAAGAAAAGAGCGTACTCCTTCCTAAAAGGCCGGCAACGCGTTTGTAACTCCTGAGTTGCAGACGTTCATGGGCGGCGATGGTCACTTACCATCCCACCCGTCTGCCCGTCTGCCCCCTCTAACATAAAAAAAAACTCGTAGATGTTTGGCGACTTTCACATGCAAGGGTAATCATAACGCAACACCATCTATCGAAGACACAGCGAACTACGAAGTAATTACCAATCTTGAATCGTGATATTAAAAGTTCTAGCGCCGATAAGTATATAAACAATTTCCCATATCCTCCGACAGGCATGATAACGTTTGGGGAGGACCCTCCATCTGTATTGAAGGGTCATAACGCCAGCTCCTTACTAAAAACACAACATCGTCATCATCAACAGCCTTTAGCAGTCCTCTCCTTAGAAAGGAGGTTTTGGACTACTATTATTCCACGCTGGATTTGTTTGAAGTTTTCCTTTTCTTTGCGTGCTGTTGCCCTGTGTAGTTTATTCCCTTTTTTTTTTTTTTTTTAACGTGTGGAAATCCCCTCGGACCGTCACCCCTCCGGGGTTTGCGGCGGGGTGGTGTGTCGGACTCGGACCGACTAAAACCACACGGTGTGCCACTCTGCGCCTGTAACAGGAGGGATCCGGGAACAGCTGTTGTTAAGACATCCGGACCCCTCCTAGCGCCAGCCCGCTCCTGGTGCGGGCTCCGTCTCAATGTAGATGTTCCTCTCTTTAGGCGACGTCCGGCACACGCGGACGCCGCCCCCTCGCGGCTGGCCAACTAATGCGGGTGGAGGGGAAACCCACCCCGTCCACCCGCGGCCACACTCAGGGCGGCATGAGGCTGTGGTAGGCGGGCCTCCGCCGCCCGGTTCGCCGGCGGCGGATCGGGTCCGAGTGGAGGTCGTCCTCCCGGGCCCTCTCCGCCGCCTCCTTCCGCGAGATTACTACCTCGCAGAAGGTTGCGACCGCGGTAAAACAACTGTCGCTACCGGCCATGGAGCGTACTACGGCCGGTAGCGAGAGATCCACTCCGATGACTGCAGTGAGGGCCCGGCGCTGCGCCGCCCATGCGGGGCAGACCGCCAGCGTGTGCTGGGCCGAGTCCTCACTGCAGTCGCAGTGGTGGCAGGCGGGACTCAGTTCCCTCCTAGCGACCGTGTGCAGGTACTTTCCGAAGCAACCGTGCCCGGAAAGCACCTGCGTCAGTCGGAAGGAAAGGGTCCCGTGCTGCCGCCCTGCCCACTCGGCGATGACCGGCTGGAGAGCCTCCACGGCGGCGAAGCCAGTGCGTGGAGTCTCCAGCCGGAACGGTCTGCCAAGTGGTTGAGGGCCAGGGCCAGCACTCTTGGAACGGATCCGTAGAACAGCCGCCCCTACCTCCGAATCCCGGACGGGCGGAACATTTTCCTCCCCGTGTTCCTGTAGTTTATTCCCTAAGTCAACATTATCGAAACCCACGGGATGAATAAGGTTGATAACACTCAGTATTCTTAATCCGTCACCACAACATACAGCATATTAAATATTTATAAATTAAACTCAAAGACAGAACAATTAAACTGAAATCATTATAAATAATATATTATTTTTACACTCACTCTCACATACCACAGATATACATCATGCTCTTACATCTGTAATAATCACCATCAAAAGGAACAAATTTTCCTCGTTTTTGCAACATTATTTAATATTTTTACACATTTCACACACGGCCATTTGATCCCAAACTAGGCAGAGATATACTACGGTAACCAGACTGCTGATAAACATACTTATATATTTGTACATATTATAGATAAACACACATATTATAGATAAACAGGTAACCTCCTTGTATAATAAAGAATATTCCATTGTCTACATTTAATATCTTACGGTAGTAGTCTTCTTTGTTTCCTTTTTAGTAATAGCTGAGACGGTGGAAGAGAAAATTTCATCGTCGTCACTATCCGCGCCTGGTTCCTCTTCCAATCCTGGAGGCAGCTCTGGAAAATACATAAACATATATTGAAATGGTTTTGACTGCTTTCTGTTGTGATTGGAGTGATGGCAACCTTCCTTGATAATGAAAAAAGAAAAATATGTGCAGAACGAAATCGTTGCCAGGGTAAGAAACCAAAAGTCTTTTAGGTGAGAGCGGTACTAAGACTGCAATAGAATCCACTCAAGAGTTCCCTTGAAAGGGATTGACTGAATACATCATGGTATCGGATGAAAACTACGAGACAGGCCACAATAGGAAAGTGGACTGTCAATATAATTAGGATTCCCAAACCCTAAAACTGGAGAAAACTGAAAAGCTTCAATATTGGGATGTCTGTAGAGTCCGACATTTGATTTGGTGGTCCTGGCGAACCTACCACGTTCTAATATTGAAGCTTTCCAGTTTTCTCCAGTAGAACCAGGTGTGGTGAAAAAGAGAATCCTCTCAATCAAATCCAACACCATGGGATGTGATAACATTAACCCTAGCATGATCATCCCTATCCTTGATCACCTTCTTCCCGTTTTTCTCTCAACTCTGGGACTTATCCCATATGGTGGCGTAAGGCGTTTGTCATACCCCTTCCCAAGACCCCGAATCCAACACTCCTGAATCACATACGATCAATCTCCATTCTTCCCTTCCTGTCCAAAGTCCTCGAGGCCTGTGTGAACCAATAACTACCCCAATATATTTCCCGTAACAACTTACTAAGTCCTTTCCAACCAGGGTTCAGGCCCTTGCATAGCACTACTTCGGCACTGCTAAAAGTGACCGGCGATATCCGAGCAGGAATTAACAAATCCAAAGTTACTGTGTTGGCTTTGGTTGATTTTTCAAATGCATTTAACACCGTCAGTCACGATATCTCTCTATCTATATTTTCCTATCTTATGATTGCGCCTAAAACACTGGAATGCTTCTCCTCACATCTTCAGGGTCGCCAACAGTCTGTCCGCGTCGATAAAGCCTCTTCAAGTTGGCGTGAGCTTGACTGTGGTGTCCCTCAAGGTGGCATTCTCTCTCCTCTATTATTCTATAATCAAGCCTCGACAGATGACAAAAATGAGGCCATTTTTATGGTTAACAATGACCGGGAGGCTATTAGCAGTTGGGCTGATGGGTTTGGTTTGGCAGTGAATCCAGCGAAGTGCCAAGCCATCATCATAGGCAGGCACCGCATGACTGCAAGGATGGACCCTATCTCCTTTATCAACAATCAAACTACCTCAATACTAAATTTCACCAGAATTGGTTGAGTGGCTATTGATTCCCCATACGTCACCCCCTTTTTCACCTACTTAAAGGATGATAAAAACTCAGCGCTTTAATCTTGAAGAGGTAACAGACAGATACACTTTCGCATTTATAATATTACTAGCTGACCCGGCAAACGTTGTATTGCCTAAAAAAAAAATTAGGGATGGGTCACCCTTACCATTTAGGGGTATGAAAAATAGATGTTGGCCGATTCTCAGACCTACCCGATGTGCACACAAAATTTCATGAGAATCGGTCAAGCCGTTTCGGAGGAGTACGGGAACGAACATTGTGACTCGAGAATTTTATATATAAGATAGTACACAGTATGGGATTACCTTTCGGTCCATCTATTTCAATAATTTCTTGTCCATTGGATTCCGTCAAAGTTTTCACACTGGTTTTACAAAATGCTATGGTAAATAAACAAAAATATAGTACTATAACTATGTAACGCATGGTTTATGTAATTATATTAATTATTTAAATAATTTTGTTAGTACTTGTTTCAGTAAAATATCAGTACCAACTGGAATAGCGATGTCTGAGACCATCTGGATTGGGAATTCCAAATATTGTATGAAGTTTTACTAATATTACGATGATATTACTGCACGGATGGCTTATTGGATTAGGCGGTCGCCACGCCGCTTCCTACTATAAATAAATAAATAATATTGTACCACATTCACACAACGCCATCTAGTCCCAAACTAAGCAGAGCTTGTACTATGGGTACTAGACAGCTGATTTAAATACATTTATACTTTTTTTTTGTAAATACATACTTATTATACTTAGAAACACCCAGACCAAATCAAACATTAAATGTTCATGCACACAAATGTTTGATTTGAGCGGGAATTGAACCCACGACCTCTTGAATATGGGACGACACTTTGTGTGATCCACAAATTGTTGATCTGGGTGTTCGTTGTGTCCGTTTCATGTATGTTTGTAAAGTCCTCCGCGACACAGGATATTTATCTAATGCGGGAGTTGTCTTTTTACAATATTTTGAGCGAGATCAAGAAACAAGTACGCTATAGAGAATACCTATTGTTATTTCTATTCAAACTTTATTACTTATATTGTAAATGAGTTTGTTTGTTACGCTCTCACGCCTAAACCACTAATGTAAATGAGTTTGTTTGTTACGCCTTCTAATTACTTTTACTTCTATACCACTAATTGATTTTAAAAACTCTTTCACCAATGGAAAACTACATTCTCAGCGAGTAACATAGGTTTCCTTTTTACCGCAATAACTGGGCGCCGACAGAAGCTAATCTATACTAATATTATAAAGCTGAAGAGTTTGTTTGTTTGTTTGTTTGAACGCGCTAATCTTAGGAACTACTGGTCCGATATAAAAAATTCTTTCAGTGTTAGATAGCCCATTTATCGAGGAAGGCTATAGGCTATATATCATCACGCTAAGACCAATAGGAGCGGAGCATCAATGAAGAATGTTTCAAAAACGGAGAAAATTTATTACTATTGAGAGACGCAGACGAAGTTGCGCGGGTCAGCTAGTTTTAAATAAAGTACGATAACTTACACACTGTGTGGCCTGACACGCCAAGAGCGTTCCTTTTCAGGAATTCCGTACCCGAAGGGTAAAACGGGACCCTATTACTAAGACTCCGCTGTCTGTCCGTCTGTCAACGTGCTGTATCTCATGAACCGTGATAGTTAGACAGTTGAAATTTTAACAGATGATGTATTTCTGTTGTCGCTACAACAAAAAATACTAAAAACAGAATTAAATGAATATTTAAAGGGGGCTCCCATACAACAAACGTGATTTTTTTGGTCGTTTTAGTTCGATATTGATAACGTCAACAGGTAGACGCTGGAATTATTCACAGAATAATTAGTTAAATAAATAATTAAATTAAAATAAAACAAATATTTAAGGGGGCTACTTTACAACAAACGTAATTTTTTAGCCGTTTTATAGATAACTAGCTGAGACCCACGGTGTTACCCGCGTTTGTTGTTATAACCAACGCCGCGGCGCGAAGCTAGTATAAAAAAAGTATCCTAAGTTACTCCTTATGTCATCAGCTATCTGCCAGTGAAAGTCCCGTCGAAATCGGTCCAGCCGTTCCAGAGATTACCCGGAACAGACAGACAGACAGACGAAAATTGTAAAAAATGTTATTTTGGCATATGTACCGTGTAAACATACATATGCATTTAGTAAAAAGCGGTTATTTTAATATTACAAACAGACACTACAATTTTATTTATTTGTATAGATGGTACGGAACCTTCGTCCCGCACCTGGCCGGTTTTTTTATCATTTAAATCCAATGTTATTACTATGTAAATAAATTATTTTAAGAATGTTCGTACTCCGAGGTACTGCGGTGTCAGCATCTGGGGTCATAGGTCCAGCTACCCAAATAGAAAGAGAACTAGGCTTGTTCTAGATAGCTAGTTAAAAATTGTGTCAAATAAACAACTGCCAACAAAGTGTCTCAGTTAACTTTTAACTGTGAATGTGATCAGTGCTAGTATCAACGACACAAGGTGAGTTCTATAATTCTGTAATTTGTTATTCTTACTTTGAAAAGAGGTTGTATGTGTAAAGTCTCTTTAAAAGTAAGAATTTTTTAGTTTAACACATCATCATCCGTGTGATGACGGATTTAGAATACAGAGTGTCACCACCCCTATTCATCCCGTGGGTGTCGTAAGAGCTGACTAAGGTAGCAAACTACGAAGGACAACAACACTGCAGAGAGAAGGAAAACTTAAAACAAACCCTATACCAACCCGTCTGGCCAGGGTGTCACAGTAGACCAAAACCATAAAAAGGATTTAAGGAAAGGGCTATGTCCAGTAGTGGACTATTAATGACTGTTGATGATGATGAACATTTTAAATAGGAAAACTGTAGTTTTGTAAGATTAAAATTAATTTTTAATTAAAAGTAGTTTTAAAATCTTATAATTTTTATTTTAAATGGCTCCAAAAAAAGAACGACGTTCTTAAATCGTTTTTTTAATGTTTCTTTTAACTCAGAAATATTTCATAAATGTACGGATTCAAAAAATCTCTTTTCATTTTGGGGGGTATACGTCTCGCTTCGTCCCATATGAAGATTGAACGGATGGTATAGTGGTTTAAACGGTGGTCTCGATGCTTCCTACCGCGCTGAGTGTTGTGAATCAGCCGGGATCCAGACAGGACAACACTTTGTGTGATCCACAAATTGTTGTTCCGAATCTGGGCGTTCTTTGTATCCGTTTCATGTATGTTTTTAAAGTCCCCTACGACACAGGATCTATACCTAATGCAGGAGTTGTCTTTTTAAAAAGAAAAGGGAATTCAATTTAAATTCACTATCAACTTAGTACCGTAGGCAATTATTTGTTAAGACAGTTTCGTTTTTCTGCGTGTAGATGGCGCTGGACGTTTGTTTAACTCGAGATACCCACGAAAAATGGGGCTTCGAGTTCGTCGGCGGAGCTGATGAGGATATACCTTTCACTATTGTAAAGGTAAATTGCACCATATTGTCAGCTGTCGTGGGTTCATTTTTGCTCACTGCAAATATTTGTATGCATGAATTTGTATTTCGGCTGGGTGTTTCCTTGTTTAGTATGTAGTTATCTATACAAATAAATAAAATTGGAGTGTCTGTTTGTAATATTAAAATAACCGCTTTTTACTAAATGCATATGTATGTTTACACGGTACATATGCCAAAATAACATTTTTTACCATTTTTGTCTGTCTGTCTGTCTGTTTGTTCTAATAGTTTGGTAATCTCTGGAACGGCTTCACCGATTTCGGTGGGAGTTTCACTGGCAGATAGCTGATGACATAAGGAGTAACTTAGGCTACTTTTTTTAGACTAGCTTCGCCCCGCGGTGTTGCCCGCGGTTAAAACAACAAACGCTGGAAACACCGCGGGTCTCAGCTAGTGTATTATAAAATTGAGCTAGAGGTAGTGGGTTCGATTCCCACCCAGGACAAATGATTGTGTACCAAATACGATAATTTGTTTTGTGTACATACATGCATATATCTCCGCGTGGTGATGAAATAAGAAAACAGAATGTCACCACCGCTATTCATCTCGTGGGTCGTAAGAGCCGACTAAGGGAGCAAACTACACAGGAAACAGCACTGTAAAGAGAAGGAAAACTTGACACAAAACCCTATACCAACCCATCTGGCCAGCGTGGTATAGTAGGCCAAAACCTCCTTTTTAAGGAGAGGCCTGTCTTCATCAGTGGACTATAAAGGCTGGTGATGATGATGATGATGACAACACATTGGTAGTATCTACATTGAACCCGTGTGAAGCCGAGGCCGATGGCCAGTAGTAGATGAAACAAGGAGAGGCCTTTGTCCAGCAGTGGACTAGTAAATGCTGTTGAAGTTCATGATATGCATATTTACATTATTAACTCACATCTGTTACGTAATTGTCTCAATTGCCGTATGTACATTTCGTAGTTATATTTTATTATTATTCTCTTCATTAAATTAAATACATATTGATTACATTTTTAAATATATTCCAAAAGAAAAAACCGGTCAGGTACGAGTCGAACTCATGCGCCGAGGGTTCCGTACCTACACAGATTTTACGTAGATTTTGATACTACCAAGTTTTCGCGAAATTCGAAATTTGCCAATATCTTTTTATCGTGTTGACTCAGGACCTGGATTTTTACCCTTGGAGAAAATCGGTGGTGACACACGGACAGACAGACAGACGGACAAGAAAGTGATCTTATGAGGGGTTCCTTTTTTACCTTTTGAGGTACGGAGCCCTAAAAAAAATACATTTAACAATATAAAAAATAGTAGACCACGGACATTGGGTACAGGGACCAAGACACCGGTGGTTAGGTTAGGTTAGTTAATTCTACTTATTATTATTAATGTTTGAAGTGGATTGTATACCAACTCATCCGTATGGTGACGGATTAAGAATACGGAGTGTCACCACCCCTATACATCCCGTTGGTGTCGTAAGAGCCGACTAAGGGAGCAAACTAGGGACACAGGATATATTCCTAATGCGGGAGCCGACTTAAAAAAAACATGGTCTATACTAAGTGGGTATAGACAACACATCAATATATATTTAATCATAAATTACGCAAGATCAAGTGCAGGCCAAGATGGCGTAGGCATCCTGCCAAAGTATCGACACGGAGCAATTTATTTTCGTCTTCAATGGACAATGTCACAACAATGATTTTTGAACTTGTTTGTTTTAATTTATTTATTAGTTGTATATCTTGCTATTTGACTGCACGGATGGCGTAGTGGTTTAAGCGGTCGCCACGCCGCTTCCTACTGCGCCGAGTGTTGTGGGTTCAAACCCCACATGGGACGACACTTTGTGTGATCCACAAATTGTTGTTCTGAGTCTGGGTGTTCTTTGTGTCCGTTTCATGTATGTTTGTAAAGTCTCCCGCGACACAGGATTTATTCCTAATGCGGGCGTTGTCTTTTAAAAAAAAAATAATAAAAATACTATTATTAATAATAATAAGGCAGTTGGATTAAGTGCCTGATGCAGAAAGCAGTTCTCCTCGATACGGCGCGTATTGTGAGGAAGTTTCTGTCTCTGGAGTCCTAACCACCACCGATATCCTGGTCCCTGTACCCGATACCGATGGGACACTATTCTTTATATTTTTAAATGTATTTTTTCTTGTTTTTGTATATAAATATATTTAAAAATGTAATTTTTATGTATATTTAATGAAATAAAGAGAATAATAAGTTCACACATCTCACACACGGCCGTCTGATCCCAAAATAGACAGAGCCTGTACTATGGTAACCAGACTGCTGATAAACATACTTATATATTACTAAATACATACATATTATAGATAAATTACACCCAGACAGAATAAATCATCGTGCTCATCACACAAGTGTTTATCCTGTGTGGGAATCAAACCCACGACCTCCGGCTTAGCAGTCAGGGTAACTAACCACTAGACTAACAGGCATTGTATTTTATTTTATACTGGTATCTATACAAATAAATAAAATTGGAGTGTCTGTTTGTAATATTAAAATAACCGCTTTTTACTAAATGCATATGTATGTTTACACGGTACATATGCCAAAACAACATTTTTTTACAATTTTTGTCTGTCTGTCTATCTATCTGTCTGTCTGTTTGTTCCGGGTTATCTCTGGAACGGCTGGACCGATTTCGACGGGACTTTCACTGGCAGATAGCTGATGACATAAGGAGTAACTTAGGCTACTTTTTTTAGACAAGCCGTTGCGCGCGGTTATAACGACAAACGCGGGTAACACCGCGGGTCTCAGCTAGTCTATATCTATAAAAGAAGAAACTTACAGATTAATTCATTGACTGATCAAGCAACGCACAACGGCCGCCGCTGGGTCTAGAAGCATGAAATTTTACACAAATCTTCCTTAGGTGACGTAGTTGTGCACTTTTTTTTTTTTTTTTTTCGTGCGGATCCAACCTCGGATACCAACCGATTAAAACCGCACGCCGTCTTGGGTACTTATAGCCGGGGAACCAGGTATACCCTAGAAAGGAAGTCCCTGGTGCCCCGACATACCTCGGGTCATCTACAGACGAGTAGACGACCCTCCCCCCCCCCCCCCCCCCCGTGTGGGAACCCCACGTTCCCTGTGCTCCCTGGAAGCGAGCGCCACCCCGGCCTGCTTCTGCTAGGGTGACAGATGGCCTCACCTGTCACCCCCAGGCCTGCGCTTATGGAGGACGGAGGTCGTTCTGCGACCTCCGGCGCCTGAGTCGCCTGCGGTACCTGGCCCGTTCCCGGGCCCGGAGAGTCCTAAACCTCTCCCGGTACTTAGTTGTGCACTCAGAAAGGGTTTCATTTAATTCTACCCCTAAAGGTGGTTGGAAATATGTATAAAACTTCGTTATTTTTAGTAGTAGCGTTGTCAAACTCACAGTAATTAATACTCTTTATTAAAAGTAATAAAAAACGTTGTTACAAATTTTTCATAACTACCCTCAAATAATAATAATTAGAAAATAATATTAATTATTTTTTTAACTTTTCAGACCCCTTATAAGTGACTAGCTGACCCGCGCAACTTCGTCTGCGTCTCTCAATAGTAATAAATTTTCTCCGTTTTTGAAACATTCTTCATTGGTGCTCCGCTCCTATTGGTCTTAGCGTGATGATATATAGCCTATAGCCTTCCTCGATAAATGGGCTATCTAACAGTGAAAGAATTTTTCAAATCGGACCAGTAGTTCCTGAGATTAGCGCGTTCAAACAAACAAACAAACAAACAAACTCTTCAGCTTTATAATATTAGTATAGATTAAGTGGTTTGTTAAAAATTGGGTTGGGAATTTTTACACACATATTATACGAGTAGTAAAGAAAATACGAGAATTTCAAAGATTTATAATGTGATGTCATGCATTGCACCCGCGCGAATCCGGGGTGGGACGCTAGTTTTTTAATAAAGAGTTCGTTGGTTTAAAAAACGAGGCAATTAATTTATTTTTATTTATTTATACTTTTGATGGTGATGATTACAGATGTGAGAACATAATATATATATGCATGTCATCAGCATCAACAGTCTTTAATAGTCCACTGCTGGACATAGGCCTTAGAAAGGAGGTTATGGCCTACTATATCACGCTGGCCAGACGGGTTGGTATAGGGTTTGTGTCAAGTTTTCCTTCTCTTTGCAGTGCTGTTGTCCTGCGTAGTTTGCACCCTTAGTTGTCTCTTACGACACCCACGGGGTGGTGACACTCCGTATTCTTAATCCGTCACCACACGGACAATTCGAACTGGTTGACTTTCTAAAATACTATATTATATTCCAGATGGACTCATCATCGCCGGCTTCTCGTGCCGGTCTACAGAGCGGAGACACTATCTTCACTATTAACGGCGAAGACGCTGGTGATTTCACTCATGAGGAAGCCTGTAGGAGAGTAGCTGAATGTGCTGACATACTAACATTAGGCGTGATGCGGTCAGTTAAGTTAAAAAATACATAGACTTGACGACCGGACGGCGCAGTGGTTTGTGTAACGGACTGCTATTCCAAAGGTCGCGGTTTCGATTCCCGCTGAAGTCAAACATTTGTGTGCATGATACCACGGCCTCACAGAAAACCGGTGTTAAACAATTCTTTCGTGCCTTTCACTAAACGAGGGTTATCGGAGCCCAAATCCTCCGACTCGACTCGAGCGGGAGGGACTCCAAGGGCGGCTACGCACTTGTGACTTTTGAGTTGCAGGTGTCCATGGGCGGCGTTAGTTGCTTACCATCAGGTGACCCGTCTGCTACCATAAAAAAAATACATATATGCTCCCGGTAGACTTAGAGGTCCTCGTACATGTATACTGGCAGCTCAAGGCCAGTGTACATAGGCGTCCGTAGCCACTGCTTGTTTGCTCCATTAGGTGTGAGAATTTTATCTTAATGAAATTTATTTTCCTTTGCCAACACAAATTAAGCACGTAATGACAGATTGATCTATATACAGCATCAAGGCTTATAAAAATAGACATGTCCTTATGTCGATATTGATCGAAATGATATTGTGTTCGCCGTACACTGTATTTGGCTTTTTACTTTAATCGCGCGTAGAGTACACAACGAAAACGATCGAATTCAAACTTATTTTTATTTATTTGTGATTTTAAAACATGAAGTTTTACTTGGTCTATAAAAATCAGTGAGTATTTTTTTTCAATACGCATTCGTTCGAAAGTATTTATACCTGTTACTAGTTATTTTTTAATAATACTTGTACATAACCTATGCATATTATTATAAAGTTGAAGACGGTCCTTTGTTTGGTTGAATTGTCAAATCTCTGGAAGTAACAATCGGTTTTGAAAAATTATTTTTGTATTTTTAAACTATAAGGTCGATCCCTTGGCGTTACGTAGAGATGTGGCTTCACTCTGCATTCTCTATCGCATATATCAGTGAGAGTGCCCCGAGGAATTGTTCAGACTAATACCAGCACGGCAAAATTTTCATCCTTATTACCTGGATAGTTGGCGCTCCACTACTGTGCGCTTTTCGAGACACTTCTTGCCCCGCACAACCAATCTGTGGAACGAGTTATCGTCTCCGGTATTTTCGGACCGAGACGACCTTCAAACCTTCAAGAAAAAAGCGTACTCCTTCCTAAAAGACCGGTAACGCGTTTGTGACTCCTGAGTTGCAGACGTTCATGGGAGGCGATGGTCACTTTCCATCACGTGACCCGTATAATCGTCTGCCCCTCTAACATAAAAAAAAAAATTAGATAAGTGTTATAGGTTATTTACGGTGCGACCTTTAGCTACAGAGCAGTGTCTATACGCGCGGGTGAAACTTCGGAAAACAAATTGTCAATTAATACTTAAAACCTCTAGTATTTAGTAGTTTAATGAAAAACTTGATCTCTCTTAAATCTTGAGTAACAGTTATAAATATTAGCTGTAATATATTCCTAGAAATATGAGTACCGAGTGCGCTAGTGATGTAACCTTGTTATCTATAGTGATCTCAAGATATTACAGAAATGCTCAGAATGTTAGTATTTATTAAAATATTCTCATAAATTATTATTATTTTTACGTTATCGTTATATTACGTTTATCACTACTCAGTGTTTGATAAATTTATACTATTATTATAAAGTAAAGAGTGTGTTTGTTTGAACGTGCTAATTTCAGGAACTATTGGTTAGAATAGAAAAATTCCTTTAGTGTTGGATAGCCCATGTATCCAGGAAGGTTAGAGGCTGTGTAACATCACGATAAAACGGATGACTGCACGGATGGCGTAGTGGTTTAATCCCCGTTTTAGCAGTCGCCACGCCGCTTACTACTACGCTGAGTGTTGTGGGTCCGATCCCCACATGGGACGACACTTTGTGTGATCCACAAATTGTTGTTCTGAGTCTGGGTGTTCTTTGTGTCTGTTTCATGTATGTTTGTAAAGTCCCCCGCGACACAGGATATATCCCTGATGCGGGAGTTGTCTTTACAAATAAAAGTAAATGTTGCAAAAACGGGGAAAACTTAGTTAACGGCGCAATTGGCGCGGCGTCAGCTGGTTTTGAATATTTTTGAGGTTAAGTACTGCCGCAAAACCAAAATACTTCTACTGCACCACACTATAGTCATTTTTGTAGTTAAAATTAAACTCATAAATAATAGTTTATATTAACTATGTAGGTATTGCGTGGTCCGTTCGCTTTGCAAAACAAAGAACGTTCTCTTATTTTTAATAGAAAAAACTGCGGTCAAGTAAATAGGTAGTTTTCGAAAGTTAACATTTTATATTTTAACCCCTAAATACAGTCACTCCATTACTAACCCGAATGATTCACCAACAATAGAGAGATAGAATTTATTTTTTTAGAATTATGCCTTTATTTGTGCTGTAAGACGTTTCTTTTTGCCAAATTTCGTGATTCTAGGTCAACGGGAACTATCATATAGGTTTTCGACCCAAAACCTATTGGGTACTTCCGGTTGACCTAGAATTGTCAATTTTGTTTAAAAGCAAGGTCTTACAGCACAAGTAAATATAAACTTCTGAAAAATAAAAAAAGTTGAAAATTAAAGTAAACTATTACTTATAAGTTTTCGCGAAAATCGAAATTTGCCCATATCTTTTTATCGTGTTGACTCAGGACCTTGATTTTTATACACCTAATAGGGACCATAGACCTCAGTATCTGGTATAAATTTCAACTTGCTAGGTGTACCTGTTCCTGAGAAAATCGGTGGTGACACACGGACAGTCGGACAAGAAAGTGATCTCATAAGGGTTCCTTTTTTACCTTTTGAGGTACGGAACCCTAATAGATAAAAACAATCTTTGAAACGGTTTGTATATCGTGTCAAAGAACCTAGTTTTTGGAGTGTACACAAACCAAACTTAATATTCTTATATTATAAACTAGTTTTTCTCTGTCATGCTTCGTACATTGTAACACATTGTAGCTGTATTGAAAGTGACGCTGAAACTAGATAAATACCATCGTGTCAAACTCAATCGGTTCAAAACTAAGAAAATAAAATAAAATATAAAGATTGTTGTTGATTGAAGGACACACACACACACACATATAAATACACTTACACACAAAAACACACACACACAAACACAGGCGCGCAATCACTTGCGCGCACAGGCGCATACACAAGCGCACATACTTACATACGTACATATGCAAGCATACTATGTCATGTAGAGTTTTTTTTTACTTCTTTTTTTTTAATTCTTTGTATAAATAATAATTTACTATGTTTTTTCTTTTTCTTTTAGAATATTGATGTAAATGCTATTGCTAATACATATATTGGGGGAAGACACTGGCACCTGCAACACAGTAGATACTAGCGCGGGTGTCAGAATCCTGTTATAGTTGCACAATATTTATGTCAATAAAGAATATTATTATTATTATAATTTGAGCTCAATCGGTTCAAAACTAAAAAAAAAAATATATAGATTACTTATTTTTTGTTACAGTGGTCTCTACGACCCAGTGTTGGACGACCAAGACCCGATACTCTACGAACCGGGCGATTTCGACCCCGAATCACAACCGACTGAGGTATCATTCAAAATTCAACAATTTATAGAACCCGCAGACCTAGGAAGTACTCCAATAGACTATGGTGACACAAATACCCCTATAGGTACTCCCTTCGATCCAAGTATATTACTTGCAGAATCCAGATCTTTAACTGCATCTCCTTTTATGAACCCCGCCAAACCTTACAGGCCCTTTTCGACTGAACCCTTACCTGAAGTGCCACCTTTAGAAGATCCAATCATCCTCAATCCAAACTATAAGGATCAATTCGGTAAAAGTCCCGACGATGTTGACCCAGATTATATCTTAAACGCTCACTGCAAAAGTAAGTTTAAGCTGCCGATTTCCGAACAATACGATCCAGATGGAACTAGACACGTTAAGAATGTTGAAATTGATAGTGTTTTATCAAAATACACAAATATGGAAAAGCTGTGTAAGAAATCACAGACTACTGATGAAAAAAATACAAAAATTACTAATAGTAAAATTGCTGAAGATTCTAAAAAGACGGCAACAGAAAATACAAATTTTAAGAGTAAAGAAAGTTTTTCAACAAATCTAACAGAAGCAAGTTCAATATTGACAACAGAAAAACTGCATATTAAAGAAGACAACTTCAAAACAAATGAAGAGACGTCAATTAGGAGAGACTTAATTACCCAGGATGTAGAAGAAAATATGATTACAGAAGAATTAAAATACATTGAAAAAATGAAACACGAAATAGATGTAGACCAAATAGAAAGGACGGCCCATTCTGTTGTGGAAGATAGTATTGAAAGAGCTGTATCCGTTGCAGAGGAAATCAAGAAAGAAATGGCGGTAGACCAAAATTTAGTTATAGAGGCAAAATCTGACAGAGTAACTAAGGCAGTTGAGAAGAAAATATCTACATTAAAGAATGAAAAACAACTAAAAGAAGAATTAGAATCGAATGAAATCAAAGAAACAGACTTTGAAGTCATCGATAAAATAGCATCCAATAAAGAACACTTAAAATATGTTGAGGAAAATATTGAAGAACAACATAGCAAGACCGAAGGTCAAAATAGATCAGAAAGTGTTGGTAGAAAAGATAACAAGCAAACTTTAGAAGGTAATATCGGACAATATAAAAAAGTATCAAAAACTGTTACTGCCGACACTAAGTTTGATAAATCTGGATCCCAACAACGAATATATGAAATAGGTCTACAGACTATACCTAATATAAGAGGAGTGGTCCATTCTTCTTATCACTATGATTTGCTGCTCCGGACATTTTTTATTCATTTAACAGACGTAATGGTGGCATTATCTCGATTTCTTTTATCTCAACCTATTTTTGATACCAGTTGTTATGAGACACAGAAAACCGTAAACAAGTCACAAATCAAAAGCGAAGAAAAAGATATAAGGAAAACTCAACACGAAGTTGTTGAATCTGTTAAAACAGAAAGACGAATAGTTGATGACGCTAGGACGAGTGTTAATGTAAAGCATGAAAAAATAGTGGAAAAGAAGGTAGACATTCCTGTACAAGAGAAACATGCACATAAAAGAGAATTAGTTACTCCAATTTCAATGAAAGAAACAAAGATAGCATCACATGAAGATGTGACGACACTGACGAAAAAACAAGATGTGAAAACTGATTTAAAACATACTAAAACAATTGAAAAATCAGATGTTAAACAGGAGCGAAAAAAAGAAGATGATACAGCCATCATTCAAGTTGAAGGGAGGAAAATTTCTGGAGCTCAAATGGCTCAGCGTACAGAAAAAAAACTAACTAAAGATATGACACAGAAAATGGATGCTGTGATATCAGAATTTGAAACTGTAGCAGTTGAAGAAGATAAGAAGGAGATGCTGCAGCGTAGCAGAAGATCAAGGAGCAGAAGTCAAATAGAAGAAGAAGTAGCTAAAGAAAGTGATCCTTTAGAATGGCTTGCTAAAGTTGACAGTGGAAGGGCTTCTCAAGAGATTAGTGAAGAGAGACTTTCTGAAAAAGAATGTTCTTCAACTGAGACTTTTGAAAAAAAACGTTATGAGAAACTTGAAAAACAAGAAATTAAACACAAGAAGGCCCAGACTCCTAAACAAATGTACGTTGCCATAGTAGAAGCACACGTATATACGAACAAAGACGTCATTTTTGAAGACGCTGCTGAATTTTCTGAAACATCATCTGTACAGAGTGCTGAAGAAGTAAATACTGCCTTTGAGGCTATGGAAGCTATGCAGTCTGAGAATGTACTACTTGAGAGTGCAGTTCAGCAAATCGAACAAGCCAATGTAGTTGAAGAAACACAAGACCTGTCTAGGGTGACTGCACAAAGTAAGGCTACGGTACAAAGAATTGAAGAAGTTGTTCATAAGAGTAAATCTATACAAAAAGAAGAATACAAAAAAGAAACCGCCGTACAATCTACAGATGTCCAAGAAGTTGTTATTCACGAAACAAAACAGGTCATTGAACCGGTAGTTGAAATCAAAGAAATGATCAAAAAAGAAAATTTGACCGTAGATATTAATGAATCTCTGTATGTAGCTGAGTCAAGTGAAATCAATGTCCATGAATCTAAAAGTGAATTTACTAATATTGAAACAAAGGAAGAATCTATGGCCATAATTGAAGAGGATAACAGCGAAAGTGCTGTAGCTCAGCCTATAGTAGAAGTTAAAGAAGATAAACAGGAGATTGTCAATGTTAAGACTGAAGTAGAATCTCAAGTTCAGATAGAAGATGTCACAGAAAAGGTCGTGGTCAAGGCAGAAAAACCGGCAATCACAAAAGAAGAGGAATACGCAGCTCTTAAAATTGTAAAGGAAATTGAAACAGAAGAAGTTGCCTCCCCTGAAATTATTGAAGTAGAAGAAGTAGAAGTTAACAAAATACAAATGAGCAAAGAGTTACAGCTGGATCAATCAGCAATACTCAAAGAAAAATCTAAAATTAGTTCAGAACTTGAAATGTCAAAGGAATCACAATCAAAAATGACTTCTGAAATTGACATTTCAACAACATCAAATCACATGTCGATGGAAAGTTATCGATCAGAAAATTATATGTCAGAAAGTAACGTTCAGGAATCATCATTTACAGCAAAATCGATGGACAAAAAGTTAACTGTACGGACTGATTTAAAGACACAGGAATCTATACAAAGCGAGCCAAGTACCATAGACACTCCGACTCCATCTACTGTGCCACCAACGCCTTTAACCGATGAATATGTTTTTAAACTTACAATTCCTTTGCCAAAAAGCAGAAGTACAACACCAGTTCCCAGAGACTGTAGTCTAAGCCCTAAAGAGGAAGATCCACACATCGTTAAAAAGAAACTAATCCCACACATTGAAACGACCATAAATAGAATTGTTTACGACCCTCCCTTACCTACTCCCCCTGGGGAATGTCCCTTAACTCCGATATTCAAAACTCCAGGATTATTTGGCGGTTCAAGCAAACCGATTTATAAAATTAAATTTCCAATGGTATATAGAAAACCGGGTTTATTTGGTGGTGCTGATAATCCACAGCTCGACAAGGTATGTCAACATAATGTTTTATAATCATAAGTTTTTTATGAACTTCATGTCCATCCTAATAAAAAGCCTTCTTCATTTTGTAAGCCGCCATAAAATACGCTAATTCCCAACTTGGTCACTATTACTTCGTCATACTGTAAAAGCATCTATGCAAAAACATTAAATTTACATATTTGTACAGGAGGAAATCAGAGAAATTGAACGAAAGTCATCGTTACTGGCATCGGCCATTGATGAAACAATAAAAAGCATAGAAGAATATAAAGAAGAAGTCGGCATCGAAACGAAGAAGAAAGTCAAAATAGCAGAGTTCAAAGAAGATACATATACGAAAAGTTTTCAGGCAAGTTATGGTGAAGAAACTTTTATAGAAGCAAAACGAAATAGTTTTGAGGAATCTAATACTTCAATTAAAGAAATTGTTGAAAAAAGCGAAACGGCTAATGATAACACTGAAACTTCTGTAGCTATTGAAATAACTGAAGAAGAAACCACTGAAAAGATGAAAACAGATATTCAGAATCAGAGTTCTGAAACTGAATCAGTTAAAGAAATTGAAGTAAATATAGAACAAGAAACTAAACCAGAGGAGATCATTGATGAGAGAATTGAGGTTAAAAGAACCACAAACATAACTGAAGTTAAGAAAAACGAGATAATGAACAGTGAAGTTTATATGGAAAGTGTAAATGACTCTCAAAATACTGTTATTGAAAGCGAAAAAGAAGTAACAGAAGTGAAATTGGTAGAAGAAGACAATAAAAAAGATCCTATGACTGGTTTTAGACCAGTTGTGTTTGATCCAGAGACAATACAAAAACGGAGTGTCCCACATTTTCTTGTACAAGTAAGTACGGTTACCAAAATACCTAAATAAATATGGTTTATTTAGCTAAATCGTCTAGTTATGAGTATTACTCGTTATAGATAGAATAGAATAAGCTTTAGTGTACACCAGTTTAGTACATCTTATATATAAAATTCTCGTGTCACAATGTTCGTTCCCTTACTCCTCCGAAACGGCTTGACCGATTCTCATGAAATTTTGTGTGCACATCGGGTAGGCCTGAGAATCGGCCAACATCTATTTTTCATACCCCTAAATGGTAAGGGTGACCCATCCCTAATTTTTTTTGTTTTGCAATACAACGTTTGCCGGGTCAGCTAGTCATATGCAAATACAATGGTATATCAAGATGTTGACCATGTACAAATGGCGGCCTTATTGGTAAAAAGGAATTTATTACACCTTTGTATTGACAAATAGACTGTAAATAGATAAATTCATGGGAAGTTACGGTGTGAGAAAAAATGAAATAGAATCATACATGATATATAGTGAAGACCGGATGGCGTAGTGGTTTGTGTAACGGACTGCTATTCCAAAGGTCGCGGGTTCGATTTCCGCTCAAGTCAAACATTTGTGTGCATGAACATTTAATGTTTGATTTGGTCTGGGTGTTTCTATGTATAATATGTATGTATTTACAAAAAAAAGTATGTATGTATTTATATCAGTTGTCTAGTAGCCATAGTACAAGCTCTGCTTAGTTTGGGACTAGATGGCGTTGTGTGAATGTTGTAAAAAAAAAAAAAAAAATTGACCATATACAAATGGCGGCTTTATTGGTAAAAAGGAATTTGTTACACCTTTGTATTGACAAATAGACTGTAAATAGATAAATTCATGGGCAGTTTCGGTGTGAGAAAAAATAAAATAGAATCATACATTATATATAGTGACGACCGGATGGTATAGTGGTTTGTGTAACGGACTGCTATTCCAAAGGTCGCGGGTTCGATTTCCGCTCAAGTCAAACATTTGTGTGCATGAACATTTAATGTTTGATTTAGTCTGGGTGTTTCTATGTATAATATGTATGTATTTACAAAAAAAAAGTATATATGTATTTATATCAGTTGTCTAGTAGCCATAGTACAAGCTCTGCTTAGTTTGGGACTAGATGGCGTTGTGTGAATGAATATATTATATATTTAAAAAAAAAACGGCAAAATATCATTGGATATTGATTAAAAGGAAATTACAAAGTAGGATAGCTAATAATGCAGCTAAACCTACTTATACAGGGTTACAAGAAAAGTCGTGCTAGATCCGTTAAGGGCGTGGAGTACCCATCATTTCTGACATATTTCACTATGAAACACCCTACCCTAAACTTAACCCTTTTCGAGATAATCGTCTTTTAATTTTTTTATTGAAATTTGCTGATTTTTAGGCTACTACATTTATTTTTGTTTATTTTGTGTATCTTATTATTATTATTTTTGCATTTTTACATGTGTAATAAGATGCTTTAGGACTTCAGTCATTAAAATAGTTTATAAGTTAATTGAATAGATCGTAGTAGACAAGTGAAAGTAAAGAAATAAAATAAAATATTAGAAAATTATTTTTCTTTAACGGATATCTAAAAACAATATTATGGTAATTGTTCGGCAGATGTTTTTTAAAGTATCTACGTTTCATCAGCTATCTAACGAGGTATAATAATCTAAGGTTTTATTCAAATGCATTGAAAAAACTTTAGTTTCATAGGCGACAGTGGAGAAGAAAATTTATACTTAGCTTAGAATGGATAGGACGAGGTGGGCCGTTGCCATGGCCAGCAAGAAGTCCGGACCTAACCCCCATGGATTTTCATGTGTGGGGGTGCATGAAAAGTCTTGTGTACAGCGAGCCGAATCCAGTTTCGTCTGTGGAAGACTTACGAGAAAGGATTGTGGATGCAGCAAATAAAATGAGGACCACGTTGACCACTGGAGTAGTGAAGACTGGTCTCCGTACAAGGATGCGACAATGTATCAGAAATAGAGGCGGACATGTTGAACATGAACTGTAGAATAAGAAAAAGTTGTGTGAAAACCTTTAATAAATGACATTTCATGCTTAACTATTGTTTTATTTTACTTTTTTGGGCTAAGTATAAATTTTCTTCTCCACTGTCGCCTATGAAACTAAAGTTTTTTCAATGCATTTGAATAAAACCTTAGATTATTATACCTCGTTAGATAGCTGATGAAACGTAGATATTTTAAAAAACATCTGCCGAACAATTACCATAATATTGTTTTCAGATATCCGTTAGAGAAAAATAATTTTCTAATATTTTATTTTATTTCTTTACTTTCACTTGTCTACTACGATCTATTCAATTAACTTATGAACTATTTTAATGACTGACGTCCTAAAGCATCTTATTACACATGTAAAAATGCAAAAATAATAATAATAAGATACACAAAATAAACAAAAATAAATGTAGTAGCCTAAAAATCAGCAAATTTCAATAAAAAAATTAAAAGACGATTATCTCGAAAAGGGTTAAGTTTAGGGTAGGGTGTTTCATAGTGAAATATGTCAGAAATGATGGGTACTCCACGCCCTTAACGGATCTAGCACGACTTTTCTTGTAACCCTGTATACTCGAAAATACACATTAATACATACAGGGTATTGTCAATTTGCACGGAATACGCATATAGTTATTACTTTTGTGCGATAAATTCGTGTGTGTGCGTATGTGTGTGTGTATGTATATGTATGTGTATATGTACGTCTATGCATATGTGTATGTTTTTATATTTACAAATATAAATTTTAATAAATAAATCACAAAAACTAAAAAAAATAAAAAAAAAACAAAATCTCAAGTCTCAATCAAGTATAAAAAAAAAAAAATATTCAGTAATAAAAATAGAAGAGTGTAGTTACCATCTGGATGCCACATCTAGTTAATAATTTCAAGTTACATCTTTGGTTCAGTTGCTTGGATTCCCATTGTTTTCTGTGTTCGAGTGTTTTGCAATTTCGTAATCTTACGCAAAATATATTTGACTACCCACTTTTATTTTATGTTATATTCAAACGCTCTATGGATTTATTTTGTTTACTTTTATGTATGTTTTCTCAGTAAGTGAATTTTGTAAATTCTTTTGAGAAATAAAGATTCTTAAACCAGAATGACCTATACCTTTGACAGCTGATTGTGTAATAAGTTTAATTTTCCAATGATTTTAGACTCAGAATGATGTTCTGCCCCCTAGAATAAGAGGAGAGGGGGCATCAGTAACTTTACACTGGTTTACTGTGATTAGTATCACGCCAGTCGAGACTGCCCGTGTGTACTTAAGGAGGGCTCCTTTTCACCCTTTTCAACTCTTTTCTATGAGTACCAGCTTTTGCCCCGGGCTTCGCAAGAGTTAATGTCGGTCGTAGTATCTCCATACCAAATTTCATCTATATCGGTCTAGCGGTTATTAAATCCCCATACAAACTTCCACCCCCCCTTTTCACCCCCTTGAAGGATGATATCTGAAATAAAACTACCCTATGTCCTTGCCCGGAACTCGAACTATCTCTTTAACAAATTTCATATAAATCGGTTCAGTGGTTTAAGCGTGAAGAGGTAACAGACAAACAGATAAAAAGACACAATTTTGCATTTATAATATTAGCATGGACAAGTATGGATATGCGTATGCCTTAAAGGATCTTTATGTTTGTGGTTAGTTTTCTTCTTTTGGAAATCTGCTCCAGAATTGATATTATTAACAATAATGTGTGCTTTCCCTTTATTATTATTGTAATCTTTTTTTTTTTTTTTTATCTTTTTTAAAAAAGACAACGCCCGCATTAGGAATATATATTCCTGTGTCGCGGGGGACTTTACAAACATACATGAAACGGACACAAAGAACACCCAGACTCAGAACAACAATTTGTGGATCACACACAGTGTTGTCCCATGTGGGGTTTGAACCCACAACATTTGGCGTAGTAGAAAGCGGCGTGGCAACCACTTAAACCACTACGTCTTAAACCACACTAAATCTTTATTTTCTAACTTTTAGGAACTACCATCTCAAGAACCAAGAGGTTCTCCTTATTTGACTGAATCTGGAGAAATTATTGGTACAGTCCAAGGAATCGTGGATGGATTAGAAGAACCCGTCATGGATCCTGAGTTGGCTAGTAGGTATCATTTTCATTAGGTATTATTGCTTTACTCTGGGAGGACCGGGACCATGTTATTTCAGGTCCTCCCTGAAAGGCACCATGCCTAATCAGGTCCTATCCCAGGGGAAAAGCCGCGAGCATAATGCAATCAGGCCGCCATCCTATCCCCAACCGCAGCATTCAATCTACCACCAGAGGTCCCCACTCCCTGGCGGCCCGAGGCGGCACAGAAACGTACTTATACAGATGGATTGGGGAATATAAATGACAGTTAGAACCAGTCAGAGCACCACATATTATGCTGTAACTCGAAATAAAATGCCGAATGCCTAGGCTCTCTAACGTTACAAATACTACATTAAAAATTATTATCTGGAATAAGTCGTAATGTAACTCGAACTGATATTTGATTTTATCTTTTCAGAGGAGTTAGGAAAACCTGGGATATCTGAAGAAAAAATCGCAGAATTAATTTCCGGGGAAGCAGAGATGTTGAGAGAGGCACACGTTATGGGGTAAATATATAAAATTATGTATAATATTCGCCATTTATCCATTTTATGTATGTTTTGTAGTTAGAAATGTAAAATTTCACATCAAAGGACATTATGAACCTCAATTTTTGATTTGTGGAACAACCACAATTACCACAATGCCATGTAGCCAGAGGGGGAACACCCAAATACTCCGAAATATTTTATGCCGAATTTTGATGTTCCGATTTCTAAAATACCTAAGACGCTAAGGGCCAGAATATTAGACGTTCCGAATATCATTAAGTCGAACTTTTTATTTTTCGATCTATTGAAACTCCGGACAGCCAAACATTGAAATTTTTAAATTATAAAAATAGGATGAATGATAAATTGGAGTTGTTATATTCGGAGTTTCGAACCAGTCGGAATTATGAAAATCGATTTTTGAAATTCGTATTTGTGACTGACGGAATAAAGTTTTTCGTATTTCAGTAATGTACCATGCCAGAGGAATAGTTATTTCGGGGAATGGAATACGAAATATAGTGTTTTGTAATTTTTTACTGGCACAATAAATAAAATACGATATGATATATTTAATCTTGGAACACTGTGGTAAATTTTGACAGCTGTCAAATTTTATTCGATTTAATAATAATATCAAGGCCATGTTTGAAAAACAAACATTCTAGTTATAATTTGATACAAGACTATCTTACACTAGATTATATTTTCTATTTCTTCATGCACTAATCTTATTTCTTTAGCATTATTACCATAAAGAAGCGTTTTCAAACCATTTTGTAAATGCATTTATCAAATAGCATGCACAACTGTTCATAACAATCAAACACCACATCAGATTTCATTATAAAAGAAAATAATCTACAATTACAACAAGGGGACAAAGTGAACTTGTAAATTCTAATAAATACGTAGTTTGGTTGTTCTTAAAATGCTAAACAAGAATTTTAATAGCTGCTAATTGTTTTATTTGGCGTCATTTCTCTTTACGAAACGAAATGACGAAATCTACCCCATTCGCTTTAAACCATAGACAAGAAAAGTGACAATTAAACAACACGGAGCTTGCAACGTCAAACATAAATTTAAGAGTGTTTTACCCTTTTATTTGGAAGATAGAAAACCCTACATTTGTCTACAGCCAAAACTACATTTAAAAAAAACCGTCCTAGACCTATTTATATATTATATACTAGCTGACCCGCGCAACTTCGTCTGCGTCTCTCAATAGTACCTAATAAATTTTCTCCGTTTTTGAAACATTCTTCATTGGTGCTCCGCTCCTATTGGTCTTAGCGTGATGATATATAGCCTATAGCCTTCCTCGATAAATGGGCTATCTAACACTGAAAGAATTTTTCAGATCGGACCAGTAGTTCCTGAGATTAGCGCGTTCAAACAAACAAACAAACAAACAAACAAACAAACTCTTTAGCTTTATAATATTAGTATAGATTTATATTTCTTCTAACAGGGTCCATTTTTAAAAAGATGTTCTTCTTCCAGGACCTATAGAGTCCTAGTTCATTACAGTTCAAAAGGGCGGACATACTCCGAAGCTTCGCCTTTTGTATATTTAAATACACCTCTTGTTAAATTTAAATAAATACACCTCTTAAATAAAAAATTGGCTGAGATTCTTGGAAGTTTGTCCATCGGTACTCATCGCCTTGTAGATTCATCAATAGCCTTTAATAGTCCACTGCTGGACATAAGCCTCTCCTTAGAAAGGAGGTTTTGGCCTACCTTGTAGATTGGTTAATTCATATTCCACGAATTAACTCTTATTTCGAATATTTTCGCCTTGCCATTACATATCTTTCTCTCTTACTCTTTCTCTATCTTTTAAATACTCTACACTGACACTATTCTTTTCAAAATGGTTGAAAACAGCCTCTCCAGGGTGCTAAACTCCCATATGCATCGTGCTGACGATTCCAGTGTGGACTTCCAAAAGATCAAACCAATGATTGACTCACTGAAAGACTCTGAAGTATTAAAAGCTTTGAATGAGGAACTGGCGAGACAAAAAAAAGAAGAGAAAAAGAAGGAGGAAAAGAGATGGACGACCTTCCTACAGAAGCCTAAAAGACCACCTCCAAAAGTAAAATTTGGATATTATGGCATGACAGATGCTGAACAAGCAACTGTAGAGGTAAGTTAAAACTCTAATTCGTCCGTACATTTAATCTGTTTAAGAAATTGCTTTCTATTCTTTAAATTATCCGTATAAATAAAAAAAAAGAATAGCAAATTCGTTTTGAACTCACACTCGAAAGTCATGCAAAATTTAACCAAGACCTTGAAAAAATGACGTCTCTCAAGGCGGTATCCTTACTATGAACTTTCCGTCATTAAATAAAACCTTTCATGTATTTAAAACAATTACTAATTTATTACCAGGCACCTATTTCCCAAATTCCCCTTCAGTAGTACTTTTATTACATTGTAGAAAAAAATTAAACGTCTCAATAACCATGAAAAACAATAGCGACTCATGCGAATCATCTAGAAGCTCAAGGAAAATGACCTTTATTTGCTGTTTTATCTGATAAATATGACATACTGCAACAGGAAGTCTATTCAGAACAGCCTCGGTATCAAACCTATTGCCAAATAATTCAAACTCACGAGCTATATTTATTGTGACATCCGCATCAATATCTAACATTAACGTTTAATTACGTGTACTATGTAATATATCAGACATTCTTGGCGACATTTCAAAGACAAAACTCTAGGTGGATGGAATAAATCATAGTGTTCACCTACGTTTTGCTGTGGGCAGTCGTTAAGTTGTAATTTTAAATTGTAAGTACCTATGGTATTCAAAACTTTTTCTATTATTTTCAAATCAATTTCAATGAGACACAGGTCCTCAATGTTTTATTTGTGTATCGCGTAAAACTCGTATTTTTTTAAGTGATTTTAATAATAATTATCAATTGGAATTTGAAAACTCGTCATTTCGTTTGTCCAAAAAGTTAATTATATTTGAAAATCTCGAAAAAGAACTTTCCTTTTTCGGTTTATAAACATTATTACATAGTTTAGTACTTTTTTTACTCTTTTAGTCTTCATAGTTTGAATTACCATGACTTATGATCTCACATCCAGGTGTTAACATCCATGATTCACGTCATTACATATAAATATTTTATGTGTTTGTACGTGGACTTGGATCCGGACCTAAGATGTTACCTTGAGGTACTCTTGCATAAAATCGAAAGAGTAAACCATGATTACTTAGAACTATTCATCATCATCATCATCAACAGCCTTTAATAGTCTACTGCTGGACATAAGCCTCTCCTTAGAAAGGAGGTTTTGGCCTACTATACCACGCTGGCCAGACGGGTTGGTATAGGGTTTGTGTCAAGTTTTCCTTCTCTCTGCAGTGCTGTTGTTCCGCGTAGTTTTCTACCTTAGTCGTCTCTTACGACACCCACGGGATGAATAGGGGTGGTGACACTCTGTATTCTTAATCCGTCACCGTCATAATCATTACATATTACTCTAAGTTTTGTATCTTACTAAATAGCTCATGCATTAACATCACACAAATTCGTTACTCTCCAGATAAACACATTTTTATCTTACTCTATCAAAGGCTTGAGACATTTCAAGACTAGAAAAGCCAAGATTATCAATTTTGTTTTGTTTTACTATATTTTATAGAGTAATTTTTTTTTCCTTTTCTTTTTTCAGGAACCTTATAAAGTGAAAATAGTAAAACAGGCAAAGCCAAAAGTTGCACCGGATTATAAACCCGAGGTATAAGATAAAAATATATTTTATCCAATTGTATCATTATTACATTATTATTGACGGGCCTGTTGATCTAGTGGTTAGTGATCCTGACTGCTAAGTCGGAGGTCGTGGGTTCAATTCCCACCCAGGACAAATACTGTGTGATGAGCACGGTCATTTGTTCTGTGTCTGGGTGTAATTTATCTTTAATATGTATGTATTTAAATCTATATAAGTATGTTTATCAGCAGTCTGGTTACCATAGCACAGGTTCTGCCTAGTTTGGGATCAGACGGCCGTGTGTGGGATGTGTGATGTATTATTATTATGTTAAATTTGTTCTTTCTCAGCTTTCGCTGGTAGTATTTTGTGACATTTACGGACAAAGTCAAGTAAATGCCACGGGTTCTTGGGCGAAGTTTATTATGTCTATTCGTCTATTGCATTGTTTATTTGTCCACCTATTTGCAGAAATTTTCTTATATTATTATTATATTTATGAATGTAGGTCTTGCTAAAGAGAATATTGGATTTATCTATTAGTAATGTAAACGTTGTCACGGAGACTTTTAAAAGATCCAAATAATATACACTCTAAGTTATAAACTTTGTTATAAAATATTTTAAAAGTAATTAGTAACATTGTAATAGCTTATTGTTTCTGAAAATATATGTGTTTTTGGATTGTTTGTAACAAATAAAGTTGGTTGTTTTGAGGCGATTTTAAATAAATAATATACAATGAATCAATAATTTAATTTATTTCTACTTTCAATTTTAAAGTTTCAATGTATATATGTCATGCAGTTGTGAGATTCATCACGCGAACTCTTCAATCACAGCCAAAAACTCCATCTCTGATAGAATATGACTAAGACATTTCCCCACCACCCAAAGGTAGACTGGGAGAAAATGTCTTTGGCATTAAGTCCGCCATTGTACAATGCTTTGTTGTTTGTGCAAAAAGAATTAAATAAAAATAAAATAAATAATATCAAAAAATTTACGCTAATCCCATTTTACAAAATTTTTTATAAAGAAAACATTTAACCCATCTCAATTGTAAATGTGACATTCCATCAATCATGCCTTCGTTCCCAGAACTTCGATACTGGACCACTCCCGTGGGAACAGGGCGCTGAAATCGAATCCACTCTACCACCAGTAGAACCTGAGGAACCAATACTTGTACCAGAGCTTCCGGAGTATCTTGAAGCTGTAGACAATCTTCCAGAAAGTGAAGTTCCTGATCTAATAGATACAGGTAAAAATATTGTAATTCTTTACATTGATTACTTCCTACTGTTTGCAGTAGAAGTTATACTGCACATACAGCTAAAACAGAGTAATACCAGCCGCAAATTTCCGCCATCGTTCCACACGGCAAAATTTTCATCCTCATTACCTGGATAGTTTGCGCTCTTCACTTTTTGCCCCACACAACCAATCTGTGGAACGGGTTATCGTCTGCGGTATTTCCGGACCGATACGACCGTCAAGAAAAGAGCGTACTCCTTCCTAAAAGGCCGGCAACGCGTTTGTGACTCCTGAGTTGCAGACGTTCATGGGCGGCGATAGTCACTTTCCATCAGGTGCTCGTCTGCCCCCTCTTACATAAAAAAAATGTAAGAAGAAAGCAAGCAACACTACGTATATAATGATATGAAAATTCTCCCGCTGATTGGTTTATATACAACTTCTCTATAGGATTTAGTTTGTACATACATACCATCTGTTTTTACGTGCTCTGAGCTCTAATAATTTACATTATTTATCTATCAGACAGAAAACTCTTTTATTTCACACACAGGTCTTCCGCTGCCTCCACCTAGAGAACCGACCCCACCGCCAGTGACAAAAGAAATTCTAGAAGAAGAAGAAGCAGTAATAGAACAAGAAGTAGCAGCAGAACAAGTCCAAGAGGCAATAGAAGAAGAAAAGCAGGAAACAAGAGACGACATGGAGAACAAATTAGCGGAACAGCTAGTGAGAAGCGTGCAGTCTATGGTTGGTGAGTAAAATCTCATAATAAGTTGGAGAAAGTTATCGGTTGGATCAGTGTCTCTTACACTCGTAAAATTTCTCGTAATTACTTGGCACCCTTACCTGAATCCAGCAAGAGAAGTATTTTAATGTTAGAATAAGGATTTTAATTGTTGGAGAGTGCGGAAATTATTGATTGCCTTCTCTTCTTCCCCATACTCCTAATTTTACCATATGTTATCCACAAGAGCCCAGTTCCAGCATCCAGTATAATCCGTGCGTTTAGGCGATTCTGCCATACATATTATAGAAATCAAACATAGCTCACGTAGGACCCGTAATATTTGTGGCCGTGGTGCTTCCCTGTTTAAAAGGGTGTGTGCCCTTTTTACTTCATTTTGTCTCCCGCTTTGCTAAGGAGGGAAGTGGATTTACTGTATTTCCAACTCCTCCAATTTTCTTCTGATTAATTTCGTTGCGGGTACCAAGACAGTTTAATTTCTTCCTGGGACTTCCCGAGTGTCATAACTCGGTGTGTTCGTGGGTCACTGCTGTGGATCCTGGTGTACAGGAGTTACAGTGGTGGGCGTGTGGGTGGGATTAGTCCCAATAAATCCAGTATAATAACACGTTCAGGGCGTGGGGTTGCCTCGCTTCTGCAGCGCATCAGGGATGTTTACAGAGTCTCACGTTGACTGTTTCTATACCGTCATGCGAAAACGGTGCGCATCCCTGTCGCGCAGGGTACGGGTCAGCTCCAACAGCATACTGATGATGATAGCGAGTAGACTAGATTGTCTATATATGACTCATTGCATCGGGGTTTCAGCCGCGCCTGTTACTGCGAGGCAATGAGTCTAACCTTAATTTATAGAACATACTAATATAGCTGTAAGTTCAAATTGTTACTAACATCTGTGAGTCTTATTTACTATAATAAATAATTTAATTATAAAAATAATAATTATGTGAGTAAACCAATTTATAGTTACCAAAATGTGGGCGTTAAAGTGAGTGTTATGGGTTCGATCGCTACATGGAACAACACTTTTTGTAATTTACAAATTTTTAGTTACTTGGTAAAGAAGAAGAAAGAAGAAGACTTTTTTTCATGGCCTTTGATAATTATAATTGACTGCAAGGATGGCGTAGTGGTTTAAGAGGTCGCCACGCCGCTTCCTACTACGACGACACTTTGTGTGATCCACAAATTGTTGTTCTGAGTCTGGGTGTTCTTTGTGTCCGTTTCATGTATGTTTGTAAAGTCCCCCGCGACACAGGATATATTCCTAATGCGGGAGTTGTCTTTTTAAAAAATAAAATAAAAGAAATAATCTCCAGATCCCAATGCGCCGGTGGAGCAGCAACTCTCGCAGATGCGCGCTCAGCTCGCAGCCCTCGCTCAGCTACCTGAAGTCATACAACACACTCTAGACCTAGTGTCAAGACAACTTAACAAGATGGGACACCAGGTAATTCATAATCTTAAAAGTCTTACGTGGGAGAGTCGTGTTGTGTCATGTCACGACCACACAGAACAGTGTTTAGCTCCTTTAAACCAGGGATTCGCAAAGTGGTGGCCCTTAGGGGTCGAAATTGGTTTCCCAGGGGTCGACATAAACAAAAAAACCGGTCAGTCGAATTCGTGCGCCGATGGTTCCGTACCTACCCAGATTTTACGTAGATTTTAGCGAAAATTCGTAAGTACCAAAGTTATCTTAATTTTCAACTTATTTTATTTTTTGAAATTATTCCTTTGTTTATGCTGTAAGACGTTTCTTTTTGCCAAATTTCGTGATTCTATGTCAACGGGAATTACCATATAGGTTTTCGAACCAAAACCTATAGGGTACTTCCGGTTGACCTAGAATTGTCAATTTTGGTTAAAAGCAAGGTCTTACAGCACAAGTAAAGAGAAAATTCTGAAAAATAAAAAAAGTTGAAAATTAAGGTAAATTTTGGTACTTACAAGTTTTCGCGAAAATCGAAATTTGCCCATATCTTTTTATCGTGTTGACTCAGGACCTTGATTTTTATACAATAGGGACCATAGATCTCAGTTTCTGGTATAAATTTCAACTTGAGAAAATCGGTGGTGACACACGGACAGACGGACAAGAAAGTGATCTTATAAGGGCTCCTTTTTTACCTTTTGAGGTACGGAACCCTAATAACTGATTTTAGGGGTCGATGAGGTCTTGAAATTGTCCCTTATTAATCAACACAAGTTCTTATGCGAAACCTATTAATTAACACAAGTCTTTACTTAAAACTTTCAAGATACCGTATTAGTTGTTTTGTGTACCAACTAGTCATTGTTATTAACTAATATTTTAGTAATGTATCTTTGTTGTACTTTTTTAAAACTCAACAAGTCAATAATAAGTCTGCAGTAATTTGGCTATGGGGGCCTAAGGTATCAGTTTATTTGAAAATAGGTCTCTTGCCCAAAATAGTCTAGGAATCCCTGCTTCAAACTTTAGTTCCATATCACCGATCACCCCTGATCCTGGGATGAGGTCTCAGAAGGTGCCAACGCACTTATGACTCTTGCGGGTGCAGGCGTCCATGGGCAGCGATAAGAACTTTCCATCAGCCGATAGGTCTGCTCGATCGCCCTCTATTATTTAAGTATTTTTGTTTATTTGCAGGGAACTCGCATGGAAGTTTCAGCCTCCCATACTGAGAGCCATAGTCATCAAGAAATGGAAGGTATGTATCAGTTAACATATCAAAATACGCTTTAATATATCAGGTACGACTGAATAAGTATAGCCTAGGCTAAATAAACTTTCTGGGCCTCAATTAGTGCCACAAATAGTGCCTTATTATTTGAAAATATATTACGTTTTTTTGAGGAAAGGATTTATTTATTTTTCCAAATATGGCAATATTTTTGATATCACCACTGATGAGCCACTGCCAATCCATCGCCACTGTAAAGATACTGAGTTAGTGTAGACTACTGATATTTATACCGATGCCAATGGCCACTCGATGGCATCTCAATAGCGTGTCAGTGGTATGACAGTGGCTTGGCGTGAACATAAAATAGCAGGATTGAGGCACCGGTGAGGTGTACACTCAAGCCTGTAATCTTAAAGGTACCGGTAAACGTTCATACTTTGCCTACTATAGTTCAAGTGACATGTCCAGAATGGTCACACGTCTATTGCTGTCATCTTTTAGGGATTAAATGGGAAAATTGGGCGTTATGTTACGTTACGTTAACAATCATCGACTCTAGTCACTCGTCGACTTTAGGACTTGTTTGAAGACGAATTTGATGAAACATCGACAACCTTTAATAATCCACTGCTGGACATAACCCTCTACTTAGAAAAGAGGTTTGGGCCTACTATACCAACGCTGGCTGGTTTGGTACAGGGTTTGTTTAAAATTTTCATTCTCTGTTGAAAATTATTGATGATTTACTGAAAAAAAAACAGAAAGTGAAAATCTATAGGTACATTTACAACATTTTCAAAACGGATATTTTAATTTTAATGTACCCAGTGTCACTTTCAAACTTGAGTTGAATCTAACGACACCTCAAGTCGCCTACGCCGAGTGTTGTGGGTTCAAACCCCACATGGGACGACACTCTGTGTGATCCACAAATTGTTGTTCTGAGTCTGGATGTTCTTTGTGTCCGTTTCATGCATATTTGTTAAGTCCCTCGCGACACAGGATATATTCCTAATGCGGGAGTTGTCTTTAAAAAAAAAGAAAATAAAGCCGTTTATACCATAGAGCTCTGTATTCTTAATCCGTCACCACACGGACCAATTAACCAATTAGGAAATAAAAGGCTTTGTTTATTTATTTACTGATTTAAAACAAATAAATACCAAGTATATTTTAATTTTATTCAACAGTAATTCAAAACCATGAATTCGAAAGTACGCAAGAACAACAAACAACACACGGTTCCGACCAATCTGAAATAATTCAGAATGGCAACACCACTGCTGAAAACGATGGACATCAAGTGATGATAGAAGAAATGCAGGAGATTATGGAGCCAGAGGAGACGACTGGACATGTGACACAGGAGTGTAAGAGAGTGCAGACACCGCAGATAAAAGAAGATGAGATAAGAAACGAGAAGATGCAGAAGGTTAGTAGAATTTTAATAGTCTACAATTATCTGAAATTGATTTTATTCTGTGGTTAAAATATTATTTAGTATTAAAATAACTTGACATAAAGAAATGACAGTACCTAAATCTTTTGAACAGTGGTAATGGTGTTGGTATCATTTCCACCGAGGAATAATAATTGTGTGATGATCATATGACTGCCTCCGTAGTGCAGTAGAATCGTATGCGACTACTCTGCCGTGCCAAACCAAAAAACTGTAACTCCACTTGCAGTGTTGCGTGACTGCACGGATGGCGTAGTGGTTTAAGCGGTCTCCACGCCGCTTCCCAATGCGCCGAGTGTTGTGGGTTCAAACCCCACATGGGACGACACTTTGTGTGATCCACAAATTGTTGTTCTGAGTCTGGATGTTCTTTGTGTCCGTTTCATGTATGTTTGTAAAGTCCCCCGCGACACAGGATATATTCCTAATGCGGGAGTTGTCTTTAAAAAAAAAAAAAACGCTCAATCAGTTTCTTTACGTCGGTTTAGTACCCCTGATCAACACTTTTTTTATTCTTAAGTGTATTTTAGAAGAGACAATAATATAAAAAATACTGTATTGTATTGAAATTATGGTGTTAACATGGTAAAAAACTGTAACAAAGCTTGCAAAGTCATAACTCGTTCTCAAAAGTTACAGTGTATTGGATTTGAACTTCAGTACTGTGCTAAGGTCTCGAGTTAGATTCCCAGTTCGGACCAAATGTTTGTGTGATCTAAAAATATTTACTTCGGAGTTTGGGTGTTTACTATGTATAATATGTATGTATTTACAAGAAAAAAAGTATATAAGTATTCTATCAGTCAATCTAGCTTTCAGAGTACAAGCTCTGCTTAGTTTGAAACTAGATGGCGTTGTGTGTCCGATGTCCGAAATATTTATTTATTTCTTTGTTCGGTGAGGTGGTTAAAATTGACATAAAAAACCATTGTCAAAGTGACATAAGCATTTATTATATTTAGCTAAGCTAACAGCATTAAGAAGACTATTATAGTAAACCGCCGTAAGCTTGGCCCTCCTGATGGTTTGCAGGACGCGGGGCGGGTGATGCGCTCGGCTATACATGACACGATGTACTAACTCGATATCTTCAGATTTATTTGTTGGAGATTTAATCTACACACGATGTAATAAAATTCGAATTTATTTCCATGTATTATAAAGTCAGTGTATTGTAAGTTTTTATGATTAATTGTAAAATTTAATACTGTAAAATAATTTTAATAAAATCACCTTATCTTCATCATGTAAATTATATTCAGATACAATTTAAAAATTAAGTAAAATAATAAATATTCTTTATTAGAACTTTAACAGTAGAACCTCTGTGAGCCGAACTTCAAGTTTTAAAATCTTTTTGTGACGCAGAGTCGGCAGATTATCCATGTTGCAAAATAATACCGTGTGTAGCAGCCTTAAGAAAAATAACACGTACAGCCACGCTTTCACGTCACTCACTGCCGGCGTACAGCGACGCACTAGCTAATTGGTTGAATGCACCCCCGCCCCGCGTCCCCCAAACCATCAGGAGGGCCAAGCTTACGGCGGTTTAACCTATAGTTAAACCGCCGTAAGCCGTTTGTGATATATATCAATAATATGCATTACTACCTAGTGCCCGCGACTTTGTGTGCGATGAATTTGAAAAGCGCTGTCTTAGTGGGTACGATTTCAGGACCGGGCAAAATTTTATAGGGTTTTTTTGAGAGAAAAAAATAAGCCTTAGTTATTCCTTATATAGACCGCTACCTGGTAGTAAAATATTACCAAAATCGGTCCAGCGGTTTTGAAGATTACCCGGAACAAACAGACAGACAAAAAATATTTTTATTAAAATATTTAATTAACCGTGTTAGCATGAAAAGCCTATTATTTTGTAATTACAAACAGACACTTAAATTTTATTTATTTGTATAGATAGAATCATCAACAGCCTTTAATAGTCCACTGCTGGACATAGGGTTTGTTTTAAGTTTTCCTTCTCTTTGCAGTGCTGTTGTCCTGCGTAGTTTGCTCGCTTAGTCGGCTCCTACGACACCCACGGGATGAATAGGGGTGATGACACTCTGTATTCTTAATCCATCACCACACGGATAGATGAATGTGTAAGAGAAAGAAAAAAAAATAGGATGATACTGACACATATCAAGGAATTGACTGCACGGATGGCGTAGTGGTTTAAGCGGTCGCCACGCCGCTTCCTACTGCGCCGAGTGTTGTGGGTTCAAACCCCACATGGGACGACACTTTGTGTGATCCACAAATTGTTGTTCTAGGTATGGGTGTTCTTTGTGTCCGTTTCATGTATGTTTGTAAAGTCCCCCGCGACACAGGAATGTATTCCTAATGCGGGCGTTGTCTTTTTAAAAAAAAAAGAATAAAAAGAAAAGAAAAGGAATTTTAAACGCCTCGCCGTGTTAATTTAATACGAAGATTTTCACATACTTTACTCATGACTAGCTGAGACCCGCGGTGTTACCCGCGTTTGTTGTTATAACCGCGGGCAACGTCGCGGGGCGAAGCTAGTCTAAAAAAAGTAGTCGAAGTCGAAGTAGTAGTCGAAATCGGTCCAGCCGTTCCAGAGATTACCCGGAACAAACAGACAGACAGACAGACAAAAATTGTAAAAAATATTATTTTGGCATATGTACTCGTACCGTGTAAACATACATATGCATTTAGTAAAAAGCGGTTATTTTAATATTATAAACAGACACTCCAGTTTTATTTATTTGTATAGATATATTATCTATGCAAATAAATAAAATTGGAGTGTCTGTTTATAATCGCACACCAAAGACATATTGCTTGACGAATATAATTTTTTCCATATATAGCTTTTACATAAACCTATTAACCGAAATATATAGGAACAACGCCATCAGTTCAAGCTAGAAGCCGATGCTCGCCAAATAAAGCAACGCTCAGCCCCACGCGTAGGAAAACCCACAAGGATGTTCGGACCCTTGGACCCTGACTCCAGGCCTGTGGTGCTCCCAGGAGGCAGAAGATGGCGGAAGGCTTCTGACGTATATAACGAGCAATTGATTGCTGAAACTCTTCAAGCACAATCTGAATTGATTCGCGGGAAGACTATGGGGTATACTTTTGTAGATTTTTTGTTGTTTTATAATGTTTTGTATTCGTGTTTTTTTTTAACAAAAGTGAAGCAATACTTAAAGAAATAGGTACTTGAAGAAACCCGGTAGAAACTTAATAGAAAAATATGTTTTTGTCACATCATCATCACATCAACAGCCTTTAATAGTCCACTGCTGGACATAGGCCTCTCCTTAGATAGGAGGTTTTGGCCTGCTATACCACGCTGGCCAGACGGGTTGGTATAGGGTTTGTTCCAAGTTTTTCTTCTCTTTGCAGTGCCGTTGTCCTGCGTTGTTAGCTACCTTAGTCGACTCTTACGACACCCACGAGACGAGTAGCGGTGGTGACACTCCGTATTCTCAATCCGGCAACTCACGGATAATTTTGCCCACGGACTAATATACATATGACTAATATAAAAAAAAAAGCCGTGTGGTGTCGTGGGACACCCGATAGGAACGAAGTTGTAACGATCGAGTGAAAAGTGAAAAACTGATTCGGCACATTTTAATTACAACGCCATCTATGAAAGCGGCTATTACCTACATATTTTTCAGTTGGTTTCTAATTAAAAAAATTTATACATTGGTAAAATCTCCTTGAGAAATGATTTCCTATCTATTCGATAGATGGCGCTGAATGACTGACATAAAAAGATAGAAATTAAAATATCTGGCTTGCTTTCTATAAGAGAGAGAGAGACAGACAAAGAAACATGCGACGCCGCACAGCTTACAATAGCTTACTATAGCAAAAAGTGTCGTGACCAATTTTCGTAAGAATTTTTTCCGTATAGCCCCCTTTCACAACGCGCGATAAGGAACTTCGTTCCAATAATATATATGTTAAGGAGTCCCATCAGAGCACTTACACGTCGTTCCTCACGCATAATTCATAAGCTTGTATTAACACCTAGTGTCCTAGTCAGTACACCTGAAGTCAGACACCAATTAGTTAGGAGCGACTCGAGAGCGTTTAAACGGTGGTAGATAAACTGTATTTTATTTGAATTAAGAACATTTTTTTTATTGTTTAATTCCCAAAAGCTGCAATAGATGGCGATCATTGTATTTGAAATATAAATTCCTATAAAGTATTGTTTCACTTTTAATATCATTTTAATTTTATCTTTTACCATGAGGATACAATAGCCAATCAATGCGTAGTGAAATGGGCCGAATTTATAATTTGACTAATGGTTTTTTTTTAATAAACATGCCTTAAGTAACGTTACTAAGTCACACAATTATTAAAAAAACTATTCCTTTATAATCTGTATTGAAATTGATAAGTTGGCAATTGGCATTAATATCAGAAATATTAAAAAAAAAAACCAGTTTGTTTATAACATTTGGCCCATGTGTAACAAACATTTCAAATAATATCATATATTATTATAAATAGAAATTACATATTATTTAAATTAAGTCTTATGTAGTTGTGAATCAGTTTAGTTTTCATTAATGTCATTTTGTGTCATTTTTAGGTTCGAAAGCGACATACTGCCATACGATGAAAGGTTTGACATACCATTATATGCTAAGTTAGTTAAGTTACTAACTGACACGTAACTTAATTTCAACTTAAACTATAAATATTAGTGAATTAGTATGTTTCTTGCACATATACTAAGATATTCGAATGAAAACCACACAAATAAAAATGATCTTAATTTCAAAAAAAAATCTAGATCTTTCGCTTATGGTTTTTAATATATTTGATTGACACCTATGTATTTCTCTATCATATCTATATATATATATCACAAACTGTACGTAAATGAGAAGGCCAATTCTCGTAATAAAAGTTCGATCACAATTAATTTCCGATCAACTTTCGATCTCACAACTATCATAAAAGGTATTTTCGTTGTAAAATAGTAAAGTATTACTAAGACTAGCAGATTACCGATTCATTCCTCGATCACAACACGATATAATCACGTTACTGTTTAACGTTGGATGTTTAATACTTTACTACGAAAATATATTTTATGATGGTTGTGAGATCGAAAGTTGATCGGACTTATGATCGAACTTTTATTAAGAGAATTGACCTTCTGTTTAGCTGTTCGCTATGGCTTGAGGACATTACCAAATTATTTACTTATAAACTTAAATAATAACTTTGCATTTGTAATGTTAATCGAAAATTCAGGTAAGTAATAGATAATTACTATATAATAAACTTAAATAAAACCTTTATGTAATAATAAGTATAGGTTCTAATTTGACAAAACAGAGATTGTTTGTTCTGTGTGTGTTGATCTATGACTTTATAGTCTACATAAAAGACGATTTCAAACAATTTTTTTTTATGAAATAAAGATAGCTTGTGTTTGAATTACGTGTCAGTTGGTTTAGTTTTATAAGTTACTAGCTGGTGTCCGTGACTTCGTTCGCGTGGAATTTGAAAAGCGCTGCCTTAGTGAGCTCGATTCCCAGACCAGGCAAAATTTTATAGCGTCTTTCTGAGAGAGAAAATAGATTAGGTTACTCCTTATATAGACAGCTACTTGGTAGTAAAATATAATTAAAATAACAACTAATAAATAATTAAAATAATAAATAACGGACAATATTTTATTCTTTTATAAACTACTAGCTGACCCGCGCAGCTTCGTCTGCGTCTCTCAGTAGTAATAAATTTTCTCAGTTTTTGAAACATTCTTCATTGGCGCTCCGCTCCTATTGGTATTAGCGTGATGATATATAGCCTATAGCCTTCCTCGATAAATGGGCTATCTAACACTGAAAGAATTTTTCAAATCGGACCAGTAGTTCCTGAGATTAGCGCGATCAAACAAACAAACAAACTCTTCAGCTTTATAATATTAATATAGATTAAATCAATTTTAAAATTATGAACATATAAAACTAACAATATTGATTATAATTAAAAATATAATAATACATGACATGTATAGTGACCATGATTGTATCCTACTACGAGTATATTAATTAGAAACAAAATATTCTACTGTATATGTGGTTGTGTTATCTTCCTCTCTCCCAAACAAACTGTGCTGCGCCCGACAGGGTCCATAATTGTTGCCGCTTGATTGTTGTCACCTCTGTATTCACATTATGGAAGCAATAAAGTTATTGAGTATTGAGTATTATTAAAATCGGGAAAGCCGTAATGAAGATAACCCGGAACAAACAGACAAAAAAGAATTAAACTGGTTTCTAGGCATAGGTATCGCGCAAATAACCGTGTAAGCATTAAAAAAACCTATTATTTCGACATTACAAACAGACACTTCAATTTTATTCATTTGTATAGACTAGACTAGCCATAGAATGTGCCACAGCGAAGGGTACACCTTCGCTGTGGCACATTGCGGTTGCAAAAAATATATATGAGTAGATAAAAACCATCCTTGTATCGTGTCAAAATTTCAGCACAATCGGTTCAGAACTTTGAGTATTTGAAGCGATAACTTGAATTGATAATTTTCAAGGCCTAATAAGGCCCAAATTTGCTAATAGATTTAGGACAGGCATTCCCGTCATTTGTCGGTGTTTGCCGATCTGCTCTTAACTGAAGTAGCGTGATTTTAAATTGCCCTTGGAATATGGGCACCTAATTTATGTGGAACCTCTAAAATAAATTTGTAACATAATCAATTGACATGTAAATATATTAGTTGACTCAGTACAAAAACACGTCTCATGCTGTCATTAGACTATTTGTATGACAACTAGTAGTTTTAGGACTTTTAAATATAGGAATTTTAAAAAAATGAGTTGACAATACTAGAAAAGCCAGATTAAAAAAAAAACTTTTTGACACGTCGTTGTTGGCGCGCTTTTAAAAAATAAATTGATATATAACTAACCTATAAATTGATATAAATATAATGAGATTTATTGGCTCACATAAATTTGTTGACGATTTGCGATTGGCAATGAAATCAAAACATTTGGCAAGTGTATAGTATCGACAACGCTGCATACCTGTTGTGTAATATTTAAATAGCAAACAACTGATGTGTTGGTCTAATAATAAAAAAAAAGCTTTAACTAATTCGGTAGTTGACAGCTTTCAAGTCAAATCCATCACTTTTTTATTAAGTACTAGATTGTGCCCGCGGCTCCGCCCGCGTGTATGTTGGTTCGCGGTAAAATGTAACCTGTTACTCGCTGATAATATAGCTTTCTAATACTGAAAGACTTTTTAAAATAGTGGTTAAAACAACTCATTTTCACATTTATAAGTATGAATATCAAAACGGTACTTCTGTAGAAAAAAAGTTGTGTGGAATAACAACCTGTGACGTCATATGTTGCTATTTCTTTACTTTGAACGCGTCTAATACATAAAGATCAATCAATAGGGCCGCAACGCACCCTGTGACTCTTGCGTTGCGGTCGTCCTTGGGCGGCGGTAGTCACTTACCATCAGGTCACCCATCTGCTGCCCCCTGCATACCATAAAGAAACATTATTTGTTTATCAACAGTGTATGACATGTTGGCGTTGCAGTATATTCATGTATTTTATTTAATGTAAATATAGATTTTGTTTATGATTGAACACATTTTCCGCCTTAACTTTTGGAGTTTACTCTTTAAGAATCGATTTTCAAATAAGAGAAGAGTAAAATTTAGTGATCGAATGACCTCGTTACGTTTTTGTTGCGCAATCTATAGTGTGCACCTTTCACATGTGTGTGTATAATTTGTATACTTGTGTGCAGTCTAAACGTTCTTAACAAGTAAACTCCAGTCGTGCGTCAAAGCTGACACACACTCTTTTTATTTTTTTTATGCAATTCACAGTGTACGGATCACAGTTTTTTTTAACTATTCTCATATTCACTTAGTTATGTTGTACGTAATTTAAGTGTGTATTAATAAATCATAAACATCAATGGGTATGTGTAGTGTTTGTAAAAAATAAGAAGTAAAGGTGAGCACAAACGAATCATTCAAATTAAATTTATTAATTAATAAAGAAAATAGTGTGGGTCTTTGTAGTGAATTGCTTTCATATACTTGGTCAACTCACTACAGATCTGGCGTAGAGCATAGAGATATCTTTTCTCGACCTTGGCTCACGCAACTAGAGTTGTGTAGCTCCTGAGTGAGTGATATAAAAGATATATATCATTCACGACGATAAAATCTATCACTCACTCACACTTGCTCCGAATATATCAGTAACTCACTACTAGCTCACTAGATCACTAGCTCAACGACGCCGATCTTTGTTTCATGAGCGAGTGAGACTAAAGATAAATGAGTGAGATAGATGATGGTTGAGTTCACGCTAGTTTCTTTATGCAAAATGTACATTATTTTTATAGGATCAAAGTTTAAAATTACTTAAGAATTAAGCCTGACAAGTACAAGGAAAATTAAATTATAAATGATTTCTATTATACAACCTAAAAAAAAGTACAAGAAATAATTTCTTATTTTTAATTATTAATTATTATATAAAAGGCTGTTAATAATTATGCTATCTTATCAAAATGAATAATTTTGTATTTAAAAAAAAATAGGTTAAAAATGTAGTTTCCAAAAACTGAATTTAGGTTTATAAGAAAATAAAGAAAGATTTGTGAGGCGAGAGATGCTTGAAGTGAGTGATATACGAGTATACTGAGCTAAACGATCTAGATGAAGAAATGAATTAATTGAGAGACCAATCAATTGAATCGGATCAATGAGCTAGTGAGCTAAAGGAGTTAGTGAGCTAAATGAGCTAGTGAGCTAGATGAGTGATATATATCTTTAGAGCGAAATGATATGTATCAATCTTTTCAGCTCAGTGATACATTTTGCGCATCACTACACGCAACACTGACTAATATGCGCTCTCTACAGTAAACAAAAGACACTATATGTAACCATAGAGATATAAGGATAGAGAGAACACTGGGTACAGCGGCCTGAGCCTAGAGAGATGGATACCCGATATCTCCTTCTGTCTCTGTTTAGCTAAGCTGCCATTGGCTACTTATTAACCATATTCTCCAGCCAACCACAGAGCTTAACCAGAAAGAGATGGAATGGACTATCTATTATCAATCTCTCTCGTTGCCTTTATAGCAAGATTGGGGCTCTTGTTCTTTCTAGGTTATATCTCTATGGTTTGGTGCCAATCTATATGCACTATGGTAATAAATTCTTGAGTTCAGCAGTCAGCTTTTCATTGAAATGTATATTTAAATTGATAATTAATTATCATACGTCTTACCTGGTATTTCTTCAACATCTAATATTTTGTATATAAATAAAGTTATATGTATGTATAATTAATGTATTTATTGTATTGTTATGTAAATATTATATTAGTTTTAGTACTTGACATATTAGTTTACGTATGCAATATACATTTACATATGTATTGTAACCATAATTTTATCCGAGCTTTGTAGACAATCATAGTTAGGATGTTGAAAATTAATTGGTACAACCTTTTGAATAAGAATTATAATATTTAATACATTTATACGTAAATAAGTGATTGAAAATTTGTTCTTTTCTGATTTATTTGAGTTTATTTGGTACTTTTCGTGGCTCGAGACTAAGTGTTAACTAAGCAATTAAAAGTTACAATAACCAGAGATACAAAGAGAGGTTTTTAATAATACCTAAGTTATTTTTACAACAAGACTTGATTCATTTGGCATTAGTTTTATCTCTAATAAATTGTTAGTTTATAATAATATGTTTACGGGAATTTACGAACTCACGATAGGTATTAAGTACATATCTATGCGTAAACTACCTCGGTGGTGCAGTGATAGCGAATGCGACTGCTGTGCTCTCGGGTTCGATTCCCGGGTCCAGCCTTGGTCACAGGCTAAGCGTGACTGGTTATTCTTCGAAATTAATCCCAATTCAATTACCGTAAACATAAATATATGTATATATTATCGAACTCGATAATTTAAAAATCAATAAATCATTGGTCTATTAGCAATTGACATGTTTATTTATCATATATTTGTAATTTAAAACAGCTGTAGGAAAAGCTCTTCAAAATATTAGTCTTAATAATAATTGACGTGTTCATTGGTTTGTGTGTTTGTCTGTATGTTCACATGTTTGTTTGTCTGTTTCTTTGCATGTTTCATCTCAATCGGGACTGCAGATTGAGCTCTGGAATGAGGCTTGGCCCTGGGGTGATACCAGGTCATATTGTAGACAATATAGGTATGTAATACTTTAAGTACATGTTTTTGTTTTGTAATTTAAGAATACAAATATGCTATAAAATGAACGGAGTAAAATTGACAATGAAACCGAATACTTATAAAAAGGAACTTGCATAGAGGTCGCCACATTATCGTAATTTAAACAAGGCCCGTCGAAGACAATATTAAAAACATTTTCTAATTTTGCTTATTAATTACAAAGATATCTGAAAGTAGTTATTTAACTCGTGGTATTACCATTATAAATAATATAATATATTTATTTAAATTATAGTTCTAAAACTTAAGTGTCATATTTTTAAATGATACATAGAAAAAAAAGGAGATTGTCTATTCACACATGTTTTAAGCTTGGGTATTTGTGAACCAACTGTAATGTTTAAAAAAAAACTTTTTTATTATATTCCCATTTAAATTTCAACAAAATATTCCAACTAGTTAGGGTGGAACTTTAAGGAATGAAGAATTCAATATTTTTATTTAAGATAATTAGTTTTCAATCCAATTTCCAGAGAGTCAAACTGTCACCTCGTAGATTTTCATGATCTTCGAGAAAATATAATACAGCTTATAACAAAGTAATTGAAGTGAGTGACGCATGATGATTACTGCATTAATCATTGATTGATAATAGTGCTAATCGAAAACTCTCTTAACTAATAATCACTAAAAATCTGTTGTCCTGTTAAACAACTTTCCTATTCTAAAAACTTAGTATTTGACAGGAGTAAAGTCTTTTTAGTGTTTTTTAGTTTAGTTTAGAGAGTTTTCGATTAACAGAATAAGCACCAATATCATAATTTCACTCAATAAAATAAAAATTTTGATATTTATTTTCATTGATACTAAATTTAATGTAGAATCATAAGTTTTCTTCATTTAGTAACAGTTATCGGTATCTAGGTTTACGTCACTATAAGTCACTTAGTAGGTATTTGAAAAGTTTGATTTTTAATTTATTTATTTTTACTTCAAACTCAAACTATTCAACACTTTACATAACAAAGCACGCGGAGAATTGGCACCAAGAACAGTCCCATTTGTGTTATAAATACTAAAAGTGAGAGTCAACTCAGCTATTTAGCAGAGAAACGGTTTGAAGGAGAGCGGAGTCCCCCTCCTGCCAGCAATGTCTGCGGTAATACCGGCCGGGTTCACTTGTTTACCGCCCGTTTAGGAGTGACACAATTTGCAATTTTACAACGAAAATACCTCTTATGACAGTTGTGAGATCGATACCTAGTTGATCGGAACTGAATTGTCACCGAACTTATATATACGAGAATAGGCCTCCTGGTTTATGATTCGAGTCGTTTACTGTTTTCAACATATTTTCTGTCAGCGCTCTTGAAGTTACTGTTTATCGTGAACATAGCTACGTTACGTCACAAATCATGATATCCCTTAAATTTCTGCAGAATCGTTTGACATTTCAAAAGTCAAACTCGTTGACAGTTAATTAACATATTCAAACAATATGTAGTCAAAATATTACGTATAAATACAGTAAATACAACCAAACCTGCCCAATATTTAACATTAAATTATTTTATATTGTCCATTTTCAATCATAATACACAAACATACCACGAATTATTATCCTTGCATTAATAAAATTATTATGGTGAGTTATTAACACTATTGCTGCGGACATTTTATGATGATTAATTAATAAAGTATCCGTCGCACTCTGTAGAATAGAGAACGCAAAAATTGAGAAGAAGTACCGTTTAACAGCAGATTTGATCCTCTCTTAATACTCAACTGACAGAGCTGTCAAGTGCAGTGACATAACTATATTTGACATAAGTCAAATTTGACAGGTCTGTTAGCTGATTCGAACTCTCGACAACTGTTTCAATTTAGCTTGTCTTAAAACTTTTACATATATTATTCATATTATTTTTATTAATTTATGATTTACTCTTTAACATAACTCTGAGAAAGAATCATCCAAATCAGTGCAGCTGTTTTGCGCTGAAAAACTTTCAGCATTTTATTATTAAATTATATGTTATATTCATTTATGTCGCTCTGTTCACCTCAACTCTTGAGTTCTCTCTTCAAATTATATCTTCTTCTACTAACTGTAGACTTTACTGTAATAATAATAAATATATTTCAGAATCAACTTCATGAAATACGAAAAGCCGCCTGTTTCTCTGGACCATCTCCAAAACTCGGAGACGTACAAACTAGTCCATGATATGGACCAGCCTCCGTTGAAGAAGGTGGAAATGCTGAGGCCTGTCATTGCTGAAGCAGATTATAGAGAAGTAAGCGACGGATTAGGAATACAGAGTGTCACCACCCCTATTCATACCGTGGGTGTCGTAAGAGGCGACTAAGGAAGCAAACTACGCAGGACAACAGCGCTGCAGAGAGAAGGAAAACTTGAAACAAACCTTATACCAACCCGTCTGGTCAGCGTGGTATAGTATGTCAAAACCTCCTTTCTAAGGAGAGTCCTATGTCCAGCAGTGGACTGGCAAAGGCTGTTGATGTGATGTGATGTGAAGAGACAATAGAGTATTGCACTATAGGGAACGTAATCATATTACGTGACCCATTATTTCCTATTTGTAACCCCTCCCTCCCTCGGTGATCTCGGTATATGCCAAAAAACACCTCCCGAGTTTGTAAATAAGGTTTTAAATTGTTTTTGACGTCCCATTAAAAGTGCGTCAGTGTTGCCACCTGTGAGTTTAAAAAGCGCTAAAACGATCTACGCCATTTTTTTTAAATATAGCTCGAAATAGCGCGAGATTTATTTAGAGGATAACGTGACGTAAATCAAAGCCTTTCCCTCGCTCCTGTGCTGAATCGTAGTATTTTGAAGCCCCTCCTACTTCTGAACGGGTCAGGTACTATGGGTACGTTCCCGTATGTTTGTAATGATAAAAAAAAAACACAAGTAAAATAGTTTGGGGTAATCGAAAAAATGAAAGTTCATTTAATAGATATTTATTAATCGTTCTACAAATATGAGAAAATAACGCTTTAATAGCATTTCATTATCAAATCACTTAAAAAAAAACACACACCTCTGCATCAACCAAAGGTTGACAGGAAGAAATGCCAGTGACATTAAATCCGTGACTTGCAATGGACCTATTTACAGGAACAAAATGTTTTCGTTACAGAGATGCCGATCAGCCACGCCATCTGGTGCCATGAAACACCTGCAAATACCTCAACAGTTTCACCCTTAAATACTCAGTTTACCCAGCTACCGAAAAATGAGAGTTATGTGTTTGATTTGTATGTGTGTCTATCTTGTATCTACTAAACAACTGAATCGATTTTCATTTTTATATTATTGACATGTAGTTCGATTTGTCTTTATTGCGCGTGTCTATGTCCAATTGTCTACAAAATGTAGTGTCTTTCTTTTTCTTTTTTAAAAAGACAACTCCCGCATTAGGATTATATCCTGTGTCGCGGAGGACTTTACAAACATACATGAAACGGACACAAAGAACACCCAGACTCAGAACAACAATCTGTGGATCACACAAAGTGTCGTCCCATGTGGGGTTTGAACCCACTACACTCGGCGTAGTAGGAAACAGCGTGGCGACCGCTTAAACCACTACGCCATCCGTGCAGTCATATCAACAATGGTGATCAACTATACATCAGCTCCTTCGTGTATTTGACACCTTAGTAGTGTAAAATCAACATAATATCTACTAACGATTTTAAGAATAATTGGAATATTAATATCGCCATTACGAAATATGTATCTATGATCACGCCATATTCATGTACGGGGTTGGCAGAGATACATAGACATTCGTCAGACGTTTTATCAAATAGCGTGTAAACAGCACATATATATATATATATATATTTTACTTCCTACATAATAATATTTTGTGTGCCATGTTATCTTTTGTACTTCTATTTGCAATAGTTTTGTTTTTTAAATAATAAAAATGTTATTTTTCAAACTTATATTGTTTTATTCACTACTTTTTCTATTAACTACTTAGTTAGTGTGGTGACTAGGGAATTCAATCTCGTTCTCACAAGAATCGGCCTTTTTAGCGGAATTGATCTCGGACGAAAAAAGGGCGAGATCTCGCGAGTTTAACGAGCATAAAAACGGATTATTCGACGACGAGTTGCGATCTGTCGGTCTCGTTCGGTGCGCGGGAGGCGGTGGCCTGAGTAAGTGGTCGTGGGACCAGGTAGTAGCCCCAGCGGTTTATGAAGAACCAGTCAGACAGGGCAAGTTATTTTGAATGTATGGAGGAACAATAATCTATACTTCGATACTAATATTATAAAGCTGAAGACTTTGTTTGTTTGTTTGTTTGAACGCGCTAATCTCAGGAACTACTGGTCCGATTTAAAAAATTATTTCAGTGTTAGATAGCCCATTTATCGAGGAAGGCTATAGGCTATATATCATCACGCTAAGACCAATAGGAGAGGAGCACCAATGAAGAATGTTTCAAAAACGGAGAAAAGTTATTACTATTGAGAGATGCAGACGAAGTTGCGGGGGTCAGCTAGTAAATAATAAAAAAATATGTATAAAATGATTTATTATATTTACAATATTACTTTATTACAAACATCATTTCTTAGGGTAAGGCAAAACGAGTATAATTTACTGAGACATCGCGACGGTCGCGTATTTTGAGATGCGCAATTTACGCTGCATTCAGTTTCATACAAAACTTATGTTTGTACCACACGGCGGTACAAAATGAATTGTCTGCTGCTGCTCATTCATTATAACAATCGAATTGTCCGTGGGCGAATACAAGGAGCGAGATATATACGTCCATTCGTCTGGCAGCTAAACCGGATAAATTGCGCAACTAAAAATACGCGACCCTTAGATAAATCATCAAAATGAATTAAGCGTATATTATTTTTGCAACAGCTTAACTTAAACTATAAAGGCCAGTGTTAAGAAGAATTCCCTATATACGAAATTATTTCTTTCTTTTAAAAGACAACTCCCGCATTAGGAATAAATCCTATGTCGCGGGGTACTTTACAAACATACATGAAACGGACACAAAGAACACCCAGACTCAGAACAATAATCTGTGAATCACACAAAGTGTTGATTCACACAATGTGTAATGTGTGTGGGGATCGAACCCACAGCTCTCGGCGCAGTAGGAGGGTCACCTCCTACTGCGCTGAGTGCTGTGGGTTCGAGTGCTGTGGGTTCGAGTGCTGTGGGTTCGAGTGCTGTGGGTTCGAGTGCTGTGGGTTCGAGTGCTGTGGGTTCGGGTGGCTTAAACCACTACGCAATCCGCATATGAATTACAAAGTAAAAAGAGATCCTGTCCTCTTTCTACCTTCATCATCAGACCATCATTAATGACCATTTTAGCTAGGACTGTCGTTATACAGACAATCCGTCATATGATAGGTCCTGTAGCTTTTTATAACCGTTTTCGCATTATTTTTAAATTAAAACACATGCTTAAAATTTATTTATTTCCAATAAGCTTATTGTAGCTATTCCAAATGTAATTTTCGTCAACGTCTGGACCCAAAGCATGGTTTGTATTATCATATACACGGCTACCCTTATGTTACAATAAAAAAAAATCTATACAAACATACATCATGCATGGACACAAAGAACACCCAGACTCAGAACAACCATTTGTGGATGACACAAAGTGTTGTCCCATGTGTGGATCGTACCCACAAATCTCAGCGCAGTGGGAAGCGGCGAGGTGACCTCTTAAACCACTACGTCATCCATGAAGTCAAATTTAGAGATAATCTTTCCGTTTGGGCCTATGGCTTTGACGGGCCATTTAACAGACTTGCTGGTCTTATGTTTAGTGACCCTGACTGCTAACCCAGAAGTTATGGATTTGATTTCCGTCGATAATTATACTCAGAAGCACGACCATTTTGTTCTGTATCTGAGTATAATTTATCTAAAATATGTATGTATTTAGTACACGGCTACACTTATTTTACTATATTTTTTTTTTACATTTAATTTACTTACAAATCATAATTGTAATAGTCACAATTTTGGAAAGCCTATCTCAATCATATAGTCAAATATATAGGCTATTTCACAAAATACGACTATTTATTCTTCGTTACCACGACCACGACATATTTACTAATCGACGCGAAAACATTAATAGCGCGATATAGGATTAGTAGCTACTTTGCAGTTCGTCTTTTCTTCGCTAGATGGCACGAAACTACATGTAGTTAGACGTTAATGTTACCATCGTAGCAAAAGACATAGACAGTATAAGAGGACACGTCTTGAGGGTCAAATTTTCGAGAAGAATCGAATTTTCGAGAACTAACAAGGCAACAAGAGACACTATTCAATATCTCGCTCGCACTTAGCCATATCGTTGTCCACAATTTTAAACCACCGTCACATGCTGCTGTTAGTGGCTTCTTCAAAGCATGTTTGAGTTTCTGCCGAACTGAAACTCAGAAGGACGTCAGAACGAATGGCTGTTCTGAAGTCAGAAGTCTGTGTCTCAGTAGATATGAAGTTGCCTGAGGCAGAATTCGACGGCAGACTATCAACAAAATGCCCGAAGTTAAAGTTTGGTGAATCAAAAAGGCAGAAACAAGTCTGAGTCTCCTTGATGCTAAGATCAGGAGATTGGGTCTGAGATGTACAAGACTGGGTTTCTTTATTACACCGAATCAAGCCAAACTCGAAAGGAGCTGTCTGAGTCTGGATGTCTGATAAAGATACAGATTCAGAGAAGTAAATTTCTTCATCGCTGTTTTGGGATCTCATTGATAACATGTCTTCGAACACAGTTTGTGTAGATTCATTTTGTAATTCAAAATCATTTTTATTTGACCATGCAGATAATGACACATCATTAGTGATGTCCTCAGGGATTTGAGTAGCTGATGATTTTTTTAAACTTTCCATTTCGTTATTGACATCTACGCCATCTGATCTTTTAGAAATATGCCGGTCTAGTGATTCTTCTCCGATTTGATTAGAATTTCTTTTTTCATTTTCTGGTATAACTTTATCATCAGTCTTTTCTTTAATAGTATAAGCTTCAGCGACAGTTAGGTTTTCAGCAAAAGACTCCGCGATTGATTCCCCACAAATATTTTCCTGTATTGTATACTCTTGAGCAACAAAAGGCGTTTCCTCAGAGTCTATTTCTGCTATGTACTGCAACGGTGGAATTGAAGTCTCAAAAACATCAATATTTAACTCCAGTGGTGTGAACCTTGTAATATTTGACTCTGTTTGTTGCAGAAAACTTGATTCTACTAATTTGTTTGGTTTTATTTCTTCTGTCATTTTCTCCTTTGTCTTTTCAACAAGATTGTCCTTTCTGATTTTCGTCGGTAGTTGTACATTATTTACATCCGTATCTTCATCACTTTTCTCTGTAAGTCTCTTTTTAGCTTTCTTCTCCTCTTTATATTTTGCGTGTAAATCTGGATGTCTTCGCAGCAAATGGACCAGATACGACTCATGTGAAGTGTAACTACTATTACACGAAGAACACACATACATTAAATTGCAAGATTTTAAATGTCTATAATAGTCTGTGACCTTGGGAAACTTTTTGTGGCAAGACTCGCAAGAATAAACCTTATCGTTATGCATTTTGCTGTAATGCTGATTCAAGAATTTACGCCCCGTAAAGAATTTACTAGGTTCTGAAGTCAAGTTGTACACACAATTCTTTTCTGTGCAGTAAAACTGTTGGTGTATTTCAAACTCGGCGCTGATGTTGTGGGCTTTCCTAAGATGGGTGATCACATGGATTTTTTTATAAAATTCAGAGTTGCAAAATTTATGCGGACATTTAAGAGGTATTTTGTCTTCTGGATTAGGAGCCGTTATTAAATATAACAGCATTTTGTTACGTAACACTGATGTAACATGAGCTTGACTCACTGTATTACGGGAAGGTGTTTTTTTCTGTGGACAATGATTGATAAAAACATTAATACTCATATATGTATACTTCAGCTTTATTAAATTTGGTTTATTTTAGTTCAATGATCAGAAAACTTGAGTTGTCAATAAATTGACCTCCAGTATGTATCTATTTAAAAAAAAATCGGTTGTCTGTAAAGTCGGTTTACTGACGATAGTTGAACGTGACAACGTCATAAGAAAATACTGATGGAATGGTAGCATTTTTCAAAAGTGTATTATTGTATACGAGTAGCAGCTGTCCACGCGGACGCATCGCTCACTCAAGTAGGAGAGCGACAGATGTCGAACGCTGCCGAACGCGGATGCCGATTGTGCCTCTTTGTCACTCGTTCCGCGCTCTCGCTTGCACTTCACGCCTTAAATGGAACGCCTCAGAGCGAGGTAACGCCGCATGAGTCATGTTTTTTCGAGCGTGCAGCCGGCTCCATCGAATTATAAGACGTTGTCACGTCAAAAATATATAAGTATGTTTATCAGTAGTCTGGTTACCATAGTACAGGATCTGCCTAGTTTGGGATCACACGGCCGTGTATGATATGTGTGAGGGGTATAGTATCACGACAGGTCAACGTATACACTGGTCAATGAACTATACATCATTTTCATCATCACCAGCCTTTATTAGTCCACTGCAGGACATCAGCCTTTCTTTACAAAATATGTTTTCGCTTACTATACCAAGCTGGCCAGACAGGTTGGTATAGGGTTTGTGTCAAGGTTTCCCTCTCTTTGCAGTGCTGTTGTCCTGAGTAGTTTTGCTCCCTTAGTCGGGTCCTACTACACCCACGGGATGAATAGGGTGGTGATACTCCGTATTCTTAATCCCTCACCACAGGGATATTGCTGTTACCATACTATTGATAACAAAGTTAAGATTACCGCAATTCCTTTACATCTTATCTTTAGCTAAGTATTTTAAAAGCTACATTCGTTCATGTTTCGACGGGCCTGTCGGTCTAGTGGTTAGTGACCCTGACTGCTAAGCTGGAGGTCGTGGGTGCGATTCCCATCCAGGAAAAATAATCGAGTGATGTGCACGGTCATTTAGTCTATGCCTGAATATGATATATCTGTAATATGTATGTAATTAGAAATATATAAGTATGTTTATCAGCAGTCGGGTTACTATAGCACATGCTCTGCCTGGTTGGCATCAGGCGGCCGTGTCTGAGATGAGTTAGGATATTATTATTACCTCTGCCAGGATCAGAGATTTTGAGAAAGCAAGCTATAAAAATGTAAAACCACAAGAAAATCGCTTTTCAATAACTTTAAAAGGGTGATGTATAATGCTAAGTGATGCTGTACATTCTTCGAGTATACCTTCATATTTGACCTTAATATAATGTCCGACTGCTGGCATTTGATTTTGAAGTTCTTGGCACTCTGAAGATTAGCCTCACACCCGTCACATATCAGCTCCGGCATTCCTTCAGATGGATCCCTCTGCAATCAAAATTATTTAACGTAAAAAAATATATTAAATTATCAATCATTGCAATTTTATATGGTGTAAGGGGGCAAACGAGCAGAAGGGTCACCTGATGGTAAGCAACTACCGCCGCCCATGGACACCTGCAACTCAAAAGTCACAAGTGCGTTGCCGCCCTTGGAGTCCCTCTCGCTCGAGTCAGCGGGACAAAACTCCCGGGGATTTGGGCTCCAGTAACCTCGCTCCAAGTGAAAGGCAACGAAAGAATTGCTTAACACCGGTTTTCTGTGAGGCCTTGGTATCACTCCAGTCGAGCCGGCCCATTCCAGCAGCATTTTCAGAAGCATGAAATATTCGTTATTTATATTTCTTTAAACAAAATACAAATGACTTCATTCATATATCATCATCATCAATAGCCTTAATGGCCCACTGCTGGCCTCTCCTTGGAAAGGAGGTTTTGACTTACTTTACAGTGCTGGACAGAGGAGTTTCAAGTTTTCCCTCTCTTTGCAGTAATTATGTATGTATGGACATAATAAGATAATTAAATTAATACTAATGTAAAAATATACATAAAATGTAATCATGATATATTGCTTTTTTTATTTTTTTATTATTTACTTACAATCTTTTGTTTTCAGATTTTTCTCTATACTTGTAATATAAGACGGTATCACTTCCCAAATTTATTAGTTCTAGGTCAGAGGAAAATAAATACCCTATAAAATGGAGCATGTGATTTTTTTAGAAAACTTGTATATTGCATTTTAAAACAAACCCTATTTATCGCTTGTATGCCAAATTTCATAATTAAAGATTTAGAATTAAAAAAATTATGTCAAAAAATAACATGATTATTTGAAATGGCTATTCTATGACTATCCGCTTTGCCAGAATGTTCATATTTTCTCTATTTTATACAGAACTCTGGTCTTCCCACATACCCAATCCTATCTCAAAGAACGCTTTGAGATACGTTTGGGTATTTTTACACAATTGTCATTGCAGGTGATTGAGATCATCAGAAAAGCTGAAGTTGAAAATGCTCCGGCACACCACACAATATACCAACAAGTCATTCTCAGAGCGAACAGTTGGTCTGTGGCACTACTTACATAAGGCAATTAGACAAGCTAAACCTTGCAAATATTTAAAAATCACGTCCCAAATCACTACTTGACGTTATGGAGGGGGTTGTGTGTATGTGAGTATGTATGTATTAAAATATGTTACTAGTATGTATACGTAAAGATATACCTTTTTTTTTAACCCACTTCAAAAAGGTGGAGGTTGTCAGTTCAGATGTTTTTATTATAATTTTTTATGATGTTCAGGCATAACTCTGACATATATAGACGAATTTGTAAAATCCTTTTTTTGTTCCGAAATGGTGCCATTTAAATTTCATATAGATCTGATGATGAGTTTCGGAGACAGACAACGGAACTCTTCATAAAATGACAGCAAATCTCTTTGTTACTATTGTTTGAAGTCGGTTCAACGTATAAATAAAAAGGATTTATTTTTATTATTCATTTTTTTAATTTATCCTAATTCAAAATTGTCAATTGCGATAGACGTGAGTGATAGGACCGCCTATTGTGCACCAGGGACTTCCTTTCTAGGGTATACCAGGTTCCCCGGCTATTAGTACCCGAGACGGCGTGCGGTTTTAGTCGGTTCGAGTCCGACATGCCACCGATAGGTGGTATCCGAGAGGATTTCCGCACGAAAAAAAAAAAACAAAAAACCGCCTATTGTCATACCGAAATATAGGTATGATATATGTACGGAATACTGGTGCGGTATACAATACAGATAAAAACTATACGGTATACAATAAAAAGAAAACAAAGTTTTGTTAAACTAAAAGTTAAATTACCCTCATACTGTCAAATCACTATCTTACACCGAGTTACGGCACCTTTTAAATATTATTCTATTTATTTATTTGTCTCTTTATTGTATACCGCGTCAGTATTACGTACTGCGATACTAAACCTAGGTACCTGCGTAACCCTAAGTTAGCATTGAGCAGGTTTCTGCTGTAGATACACCAGAAACCTGCTAACCTAGGGTTGAAATATGCAATTAAATTGATTATTACTTACGGGTACGTCGGTGTAAGCAAAGAAATCAACATCTAATCCCCATTCAACTAGGTTTTTCATTACACCGCTTCTTTTCAAACAACCACGGCAAACCAAGTTTGAATTATAATAAACAGGGTCATCAATATCAACTTTTGTACTTTGCGTCAGGTCAACACTATTTGACATTTTGAATAATTTTAACTAGAAATTTTGCAAATTTTACGAACAACAAGGAGTAAATAGTAAATAGCGAGTTTTTATTTTTTTAATTGTCAGTTGTCAATAATGTCATTTCAATCTTAATCTTGAGAATCGTTCCAATATACGTAAAAAAGGTAGCAAACTACGCAGGACAACAGCACTGCAAAGAGAAGGAAAACTTGAAACAAACCCTATACCAACCCGCATGGCCAGCGTGGTATAGTAGGCCAAAACTTCCTTTCTAAGGAGAGGCTGACGTCCAGCAGTGGACTGTTAAAGGCTGTTGATGATGATGATGATGATATGTAAATATTGAAACTTAGATATGTGATTGCTCTACTTAAAATAATCCTACGTTAGTCTTATACACAAAATTCGTTACGCATTATTATGTAACAAATTTTCTAATAGGTATGTTATAATCGTTTCAAGATAATGTAAACAACATTATTATAAATAAATAGTACTTGTTGTACCCCATGCTTCGCTGTGGCACATTGTGCTTGCATTGATGAGAAATGAGAAACAAAACTAAAGCGAAAAATAGATAAAAACAATCTTTGAAGCAGGTTGTATATCGTGTCAAATTTTCAGCTCCAGTGGTGCAGAACTTTTTGAGTTATTGAAGCGTAAACAAAACAACCTTATATTTTATCCGACTTCAAAAAGAAGGAGGTTATCAATTCGGCTGTTTATATGAACTTCGTCATACATAGAGGGATTTGCAAAATTGTTTTTTCTTTAAAAGGGGTTTATTCCACAATGGTCCCATTTAAACATATAGATCTGATGATGAGTTTCGGAGACAGACAACGGACCTCTTCAAAAATGACAGCGAATCAACCGCGATTTCTGTAAGGTTTTTAGTGCTCTTTGTTAGTATTGTTTGAAGTCGGTTCAACTTTTGTTTAAAAATGATTTTTAGAATTAGAGATAGATTTATAGGCACGCCTACCTACTTACACCACATCCTACGAAGTTATTAGCCCCGCTCAACTTTCGCAACTTGGACCATACACCCGAGGCAGTAAACAAAAGGATGGCGTGTGACGTCGCACCGGCCTAGCGACCGGCAATGTACGGACCTACCTACGCACTCCGCGTTCGGCGCTCACGCTTACTACCGCTCATTATTTTTGTATCGAGTTAATATCTAAATATCTTTTAATTTTGTAAAGTTTCTTTTTAAAATATAATTGTTGGAACTACTAAACTAATATCGTTCATTTTTCGACTTCCACCTCAGTGTAGTGATATTTTTTTTTCAAACGTCCTACCTACCTTACTGGATAAGGATCCCGGTACGAACCTGGGAATTAATGTGGTGGCGATTCTCCCACATATTGGTGACCCCGATTTTTTGAAGGTAGAAGATTTTTCAAGGTTTGTGGCTGAAAATCGGGAATATCCAGGATTGCATCAGTGCATCAGTCTTAACAAGGGAACCTGTTTCTAAGGTACTTTTTTGAAATACTTGGTGTAACTATTGAGAAATTACTTAGATACATACCAGTTTCACTTTGATAGAAATTTTAGCGTGTGGTCCAAGTCACAAGCGGCAAGCGACTTAATATTTTTTTTAAATTAAAGATGTCTAATGAGGATGGTCCTATTCCGAACGCAATAGTGGAGGAGCCTCAGGTATCGCGCGTGGGAGTGCGCGTCCCACCTTTTTGGCCTGCGGACCCTACTGTATGGTTCGCGCAACTGGAGAGTCAGTTTATCCTCTCTAGGGTAGTCACCGACGAAACCAAATTCCATTATGTAGTTTCACAGCTCGACACACAATACGCAATGGAAGTGAAGGACGTAATTAAAAATCCTCCAGCATCGGGCAAATACGAGAAAATAAAGACTGAACTTATTAAACGATTATGTGCATCGCAGGAAAAGCGTTTGAAGCAGCTGCTGGAGCGAGAGGAGCTAGGAGACCGGAAGCCCTCGCAGTTCCTGCGCCACCTAGAGGGTCTAGCAGGTGCAGACGTGCCCAGCCAATTCATGAAGACTATCTGGACCAGCAGGTTACCCCAGGAAATCCGAACTGTTTTAGCCTCTAGGAGGGACGAGCCACTGGAGTACCTGGCTGATTTGGCTGATTCTGTCTACGACATCGCTGCACCATCTCCTCAAGTCGCTAGTACATCATCCTCAGGTGTTGATCGGTTCGACGAGATGACTAAGCAGATAAGCGAACTCACTAGGCAAGTAGCTTCACTTACCTCTCACATGTCTAGGAAAGGGCATCCCGGACGCAGTCGTTCCAAGTCGCAGCGAAGCGATCGCTCACGCAGTCGCTCGAGACCACAGCAGCCACCTCCGAATCATCCTCACTGCTTCTATCACTTCACATACGGAGCTAAAGCGAAGAAATGTAAGCAACCTTGTACCTTCACGTCGGGAAACGCACAGGGCGGTCGGAAGTAGCGGCCAACGACTGCCCACCTTCAACATCATCAGGCCGTTTGTTTGTGACAGATCGTGCAACGAAAATGCAGTTCCTTGTGGACACTGGTTCCGACCTGTGTGTTTTCCCACGTTCAGCACATAAAACGCCCTGCTCACTTACCAAATACGACCTGGTAGCTGCAAACAATAGCGTCATCCATACTTACGGACCAGTTCAGCTTCACTTGGATTTGGGACTTCGGAGAGATTTTGCATGGACTTTTACAATCGCCGATGTATCTCGACCCATCATTGGTGTCGACTTGCTCAGTTTTTACAACTTACTCGTGGATTGCAGAAACCAACGTCTCATTGACGGTACTACAACCTTGTCAGTAGCAGCCCTTTCTTCTTCGGTTCCTGATGAGCTGTCTTCAATCAAGGCGGTCACTGGTGATTCGGATTTTCATCACATTCTTCGTGATTACCCTGAAATCACCAGACCTGCAGGTATTCAGTCTCCTCCCAAACATAGTACAATGCACTACATTAAGACTACCCCTGGACCTCCAGTCTCGTGTAAGCCTCGTCGTCTTGATCCTGTTCGCCTCCAAGCTGCGAAAAAGGAGTTCGAGGATATGCTCGCCAGTGGTATAGCTAGACGCTCTGAAAGTCCTTGGTCCTCTGCACTGCATTTGGTGAAGAAGAAGGATGATGCCTGGAGACCTTGCGGGGATTACCGTGCCCTAAATGCTAGAACCGTTCCAGACCGGTATCCCGTCCGCCACATCCAGGACTTTTCACACCAACTGTCAGGTTGTTCCATCTTCTCTACTATAGACCTAGTCAAGGCCTACAATCAGATTGCCGTCAATCCAGAAGACATACCTAAAACTGCCATTACTACTCCTTTTGGGCTTTTTGAGTTCCCGTACATGACCTTTGGTTTAAGAAACGCGGCTCAAACTTTCCAAAGGTTCATCGATATGGTTCTGCTGGGACTCGACTTCGCTTATGGGTATATTGACGACATCCTCGTATTCTCCAGTTCTGTGGAGCAGCATAAGGAACACCTGCACATCATCTTTCAGCGCCTCAAGGAGTATGGAGTGTTAGTAAACACTTCCAAAAGTCATCTGGGTCAGTCTGAAGTTGTCTTCCTCGGATACAGAGTATCAGCTGCTGGAACACAGCCTCTCCAGTCTAAGATCGAGGCCATCCAGAACTTCCCGGAACCTAAAACGGTCAAAGAGCTTCGTCGATTCTTGGGTATGATCAACTTTTATCATCGTTTTCTACCCCACGCAGCTCAACTTCAAGCACCTTTGAATGCCGTTCTATCTGGTCCGAAGGTTAAGGGTTCACATCCAGTGGAAATGACTCCAGAACGTCGTAAAGCTTTCGAGGACTGCAAAGCTTCTCTCTCTCATGCAGCTCTCCTTGCTCATCCAGATCCTTCTGCAGAGTTAGCGATCGTCACGGATGCTTCTTTGACTTCCATCGGAGCTGTACTTCAACAGAAGAAAGGTGAGGATTGGCAACCTCTTGCGTTCTATTCACACAAACTTTCCAGCTCACAGATGAAATACAGCCCATACGACCGCGAACTCTTGGCTGTCTATGAGGCTATCAAGTATTTTCGGCACATGGTGGAAGCGAGAACCTTTACTGTCTTCACGGATCACAAGCCGCTTACCTACTCCTTCTCCATGAGCAAAGAAAACTGTACTCCAAGACAGTTCCGCTATCTGGACTTTGTAGCCCAATTTACTACCGATATACGCTACCTGCCAGGACGAGACAACGTGGTTGCGGATGCACTTTCTCGGGTTGAGGAAGTATCACTTACCTTAGACTATCAGGCTCTTGCACGTGCTCAGGACGAAGATCCAGAACTGCAAGACCTGCTACTACGTGGTTCTGCCCTAAGACTACAAAAGGTACTTACCTTGAACAGCACTCTTCCAGTCTACTGTGACATGTCTGTTCAGCCACCTCGACCATACATTTCGCCGAGTTTCAGGAAAACAGTCTTCGCGATGCTGCACAACTTACATCATCCCGGTTGTTCTGCTACAGTGCGACTGGTCACGCAAAAGTTTGTGTGGCCAGGAATCCGCAAAGATTGTAGAGAGTGGGCTAGGCAATGCTTGCAATGTCAATCAAGTAAAGTTACTCGCCATACTACCTCTCCTCTATCCACATTCCTGACTCCTTCTTCTCGTTTCTCACACATTCATCTTGACCTTATTGGTCCCTTGCCATCTTCCTCTGACTACATGTACTGCCTCACCGTCATCGACAGGTTTACACGTTGGCCTGAGGCGTACCCGCTTAAATCAATCACCGCTGAGTCTTGCGCTGCAGCCCTCGTCTCTGGGTGGATCGCCAGATTTGGTTGTCCAGCCCGGATCACTACCGACCGTGGTCGGCAGTTCGAGAGCCATCTCTTCAAAGCTCTCTCCTCCCTTCTTGGTGCCAGACACTTTCGCACAACTGCTTACCATCCCGCCGCCAATGGCATTGTCGAACGCCTACATCGACAACTTAAAGCTGCAATAATGTGTCATTCTTCCTCTCAGTGGTTAGAAACTCTTCCGCTTGTTCTTCTTGGCATGCGTAGTTCTTGGAAAGAAGACCTTCAAGCATCTCCTGCTGAGTTGGTTTATGGTGAATCTCTCCGCTTACCTGGCCAGTTTCTTTCCCCTTCAGACTCTTTCACCGCCGCTGACGTCACTGAGTATGCTACTCGACTCAAATCCTACATGGCTAAGCTTACGCCACGTCCAACTTCTTGGCATACTTCTTCTCCATTCTATCTGCCCAAAGATCTCTCTTCTTCTTCCCACGTCTTCCTTCGACAGGATCGCGTGCGAACTTCTTTGGAGCCACCTTATTCAGGACCTTTCAAGGTTATCAGCAGACATGCCAAGTTCTTCACTATAGACGTCAACGGCAAAACTACTAACGTCTCTATTGACAGGTTGAAGCCAGCGTACATGACGAAGGAAGAACGCTCATCCACTTCCCCGTCGCTTTCTGCTGTACCGCTTGCTTCTACACCCGCTGCTACTACAGTGCCTGCATCCCAGCCTACTCCTGGTGATGAAGTGGAAGAACGAAGAACGAGGAGCGGTCGTCGCGTCAAGTTCCCCGAGTTCTATCGACCGTAGTCACGGTCTGGCCGGGGGGAATATGTGGCGTACCTACTTACACCACATCCTACGAAGTTATTAGCCCCGCTCAACTTTCGCAACTTGGACCATACACCCGAGGCAGTAAACAAAAGGATGGCGTGTGACGTCGCACCGGCCTAGCGACCGGCAATGTACGGACCTACCTACGCACTCCGCGTTCGGCGCTCACGCTTACTACCGCTCATTATTTTTGTATCGAGTTAATATCTAAATATCTTTTAATTTTGTAAAGTTTCTTTTTAAAATATAATTGTTGGAACTACTAAACTAATATCGTTCATTTTTCGACTTCCACCTCAGTGTAGTGATATTTTTTCTCAAACGTCCTACCTACCTTACTGGATAAGGATCCCGGTACGAACCTGGGAATTAATGTGGTGGCGATTCTCCCACAATTGTCATCTAATTTTCTAATTGGTTAGTATCTATTTGCGTATTTATGTTTTTATTTAAATTTATATGTATTTAGTTAAATGTATGAGTTCTAGTGTATGATAGGTTTATATATTATGTGTATTTGATTTATTATTTAGTTTGTTTATTCCTACTGCCTGTTTTCTCTGCTTCACCCAATGGTTGACTGGTAGGCCGCCAATGTGCAAAAATAAAGATAAACCTTCTTCTTGAATCACTCTCTCTATTGCAAAAAAAACGCATTAAAATCCGTTACGTACCTATGTTGAAAGATTTAAGCGTACAGAAAGAAAAACAGACATCATTTTATGCTATGCAAAGATAAAGGTGCCTTACAGTAAAGTTAATGTTCCTTGCGTGGAATGAAAGGTATAATAGTTGCGTTCTAAAATACCAAATATTTTAATTTATGCAATTTTGAGTGGTATATTATACTAATCTGTGTTTTGAGTCTTTAACACTCAACAGTGTTGTAAAAACGCTTTCACTTTTATTTACACAGATGTTATTTATTAAGGTTCAATATATAAAATTAAGACTGAATTCAAAATTGGAGTCAATATTTACAATGAAATTAAAAAATGTCAGCAAACCTGTAATCAATCACGAACCGCAATAACATTGAAAAGCCATTAGATAATTTGAACAAAGAACTCACTCGTCATTTTGACAACTCTTTTGGCTTAGTTAAATTTACAAGAGTATGATTGTCTAGTAGAAAGGTAATAATATTTTTATTTACATTTAATGTATTTCATAAAATCTATATTGTTGTATAAAATACGCCGGTTAGTATTTTATAACGAAGTTGGGTACAAAATGTACGTGTTGAATCACACGGACTTCAGAGCGGTCGCCATTTCCGCCACGAATACTGGCTGGTGATCTTGTGTGTGGAATAGTGATATTGGAGGTTATAGTGCTTATTTTATAGTTATTTGTGCGTATGTTTTGTTGAAACCAAATTTTGAGGACAAAATTTGACTATAAGATATAGTAGGCACTATAAGTGCGCCGAATGAGTGAGTATATTATCTAGATTACGTAGCATCGCCTTGAATAGACGACGACACGTGCATAATGTTACAATATTTTTCAATTTAAATTGCATTTACACGGTCTCGACATTAAATTTCCGATCGTATCTGTAAACGAACGTGTCGCCGAGCGATTGTGATATAAGATCAATTAATATGAAAGTCGGTCAATTAATTATTTTAGTTTGTAGGTTGAGTTATTTTTGGCGATCTGTCGTTGCACCATTAATTGTTTCGATTTCAATTTTTTATTTACATCTGTGAGGTGTCGTGTAGTAAACAGCGTACGTGGAAAGTTCCGCTTTAAAGTAGAAAGTTGAATATTTAAAATCAGGACACCTTTCGTTTGTTGACATTCGGTTTCATAATATTATCGCTGTTAGATCTACAAATCCAAATTGAGAATTACACATAGACAAGTTTAAATTCATATAACTTTTTAATTGCGTTCTGTTACGTTACGTATGTTGTTCTAAAACAGCGAGTTGTTGACCTTTTCACTATATGCACCAATGCTTGTTGTGATTTGAATTAAAATGACCAAAATATGTTAATAAGTTAAGAGAAATGTTTTTTGATTACATTTCCTGGTATGTAAGGTAACTTTCTGCGCTTATTATGATGATTAATTAATCTATTAATATTCGTTTGTATATTATAAATATTTTTAGTTTATCTATTTCCTTTAGCTGTAAATTCATACATACACTCAAACTTTATTCATGATGAAGTAGACAGAGATTTATTATTTATTTAATATTTTATGCACAAAATGTCTGCTGACTTAATGCCATAGGCATTCTCTACCAGTCTACCGTAGAGTGGTGTGGAAATGAATGCAAAGGTGAAAATGCAGTGAAATAATATACAAGAATACATAATATACTCCCCCTTTTTGCCAACTCCATTTTTTTTTGAGGTTGACCCTTAAGTTAATAAAACTATTTAAGTACTTATTTGAAATTGCGATCCATTCAGTAGCTGCTAAACAAGTTTAGACAAGTCACAGTTCGACATTTGGTGTGTCCCCTTGCTCATCCCCGCCCAACCTTCCCGCTTGTCTATCTATCACTGATTAAATCTAAACTATCTGAAGATGCATTCAATTCAAAATCAAATTAGATAGGAATAAACTCACTGAACTCTGCACATATGGCGCCCCTGCAATGATAAGTGTACAGTCAAGCTTGAAAGGAAAATAATCCCGCGTTAGTTGAAATACATTGTAGTAATTCATTGGCAAGATCTGGCCTCAAAAACATTGCTGCAGAATTGATGCCAGATTTTGTACTCGGTTATAAAGATCGTTATAAATTATAAATATAAAATAAATCAATAGTAGCGCTTTATGCAGTCAGTTATTTGCTTTACTTTGCGAGGATCTTAATCCATATCACAAGGTCCTCCTATTCCATACAGAAGTGGCTGGTTATCTAACATGTTAGCTCCCCTTTATGAATTAAGAGGATAGGTCATTTCTGAGTTCGAAAAATGAACTTGTCCAACAAAAAAATTAAAACTCAGTGGAAGCTGGCTATTTGACTGATATATTCGAAACCCTGAATCAGCTAAACCTGAAACGTCTGGGGAGAAGCGGCACTTTGATTAGTAACTATGATCATATTCATGGTTTCATGTCAAAGGTCCATTTTTGGAGAAATAAGGGGTCTGCGGAATTTTTTTTCCCTTTTCACGCTTATTTGATGCAATGCATAATCAAAAATTAGATTAAGATTTAAAATCTGACATAGAAACTTACAAACGTAGGAAAACAAATTTAGAGATATTAACTCCAAGTCACTACCCCAATTCGTCCCGTGGGTGTCGTAAGAGCCGACTAAGGGCGCAAAACAACGCAGGACACCAGCACTTCAAAAAGAAGGAAAACTTGACACAAACCCTATACCAACCTGTCTGGCCAGTATGCTATAGTAGGCCAAAACCTCCTTTCTAAGGAGAGGCCTATGTCCAGCAGTGGACCACTAAAGGCTGTTGATTATGGTGAACATGACCAGAAACCCATTTGTTGTCAATGTTTTACAATTACCAGAAGAAATGAAGTGTGATTCGACCATAAAAAATGACTTGTACCTTTTGAAATTGAAGAGTTTTGGATCAAACAATTACTTCGTAATCCCAAAGTTGCTTCTCTGGCCTTGAAAATACTTGTTCCATTTGCGAGACATGTTTTTTGGCTCTAGTTTTAATCAAAACTAAACAGGGAAATCGCCTTGCTGTCGATTGGGATTTAACTATTGCTTTGGCAAAGACCAAACCCAGAAACAATTAACTAGTGCAGAACATGCTAGTTCAAGTATCTCACTAGTACTTGAAAAAAGTATTTTTTTAAAAACAAACATACAGACACAGACACCTTTATAGCACCAGACCTTTATAATTTTAGTGTAGTGTGTGTATTTTAATATTAGTAAGAGGAAATGGAGAAAAAATTATGAAATTTTTTAAAAGAAACTGTGTTAATCTGTTACCTAACTCATAAACGAAAGATATGTGTATTGTCTATGGCCTAATACATTTTCTTTTCTTCCACAGCTGCCGGTAAACCCAGAAATGAAGATAGCCAGCAAGCAAACACATCTAACTAAACCTCTTATGATAACAGTGCCTATAAATTACAAATATAATTCATCGTATTTTTAATATCTACACCCCACACATTTTTTTTAAGCTCAAAAACTCAGTATTCTAAGCAAAGGTTAAGAAGATTTTATCTTTTAGTTTATAAGTGGATAGATTATAAATTGTTTGGTGTTGCAAGTATGAAAATTCCGGAGACTTCTGCTAATGTTGGTGCTTACTATGGCAATGAAGAAAATGGCCAGTGGCAGGTTGGTTTATTTATAATTCTGTAAATATAATATTGTTATTTGGTTTTTTAAGTTTATTTTTATTAACGACAGGACAGATAGGTCATACATTCACAAAAACTTAAAATTTGAAGATTTAAAAAAAATGTATGCTAAAGTTCTTTATACAATTTATAGCATTTTGAGACTTTTTAAAAGTTTCAGTTTGAATTTAATTTGAGGTCTAAAAAGGGGCGTCTATTAATTACGACGAAAATCGGGTGACTAGTTGCCTGTTAATTTCAAACAGTAGTATGCCTTAATTTTAGAAAATCGTTAGTAATAAATTTAGACATTTTATCATAGACAAAACTTGTTTCAGCCCAACGGCGTGATCATAGACAGCGGAGTCGGTGGTGGAATTGTCGGCAGTGGAGACGCGGGCATCCATCGACCACCAGTATATCCTGTGCATCTTCCCCGAGGTCACATGCCAGGTAAGTTTTTATATCAGACGTGTAACCGATAACTGTTTAATCATCCGGCTACCGGATATCCGGTAAAATTGAATCCGTAAGCAAACTGTCTTGGAAATTAATCAGAAGAAAATTGGAGGAGTTGGAAATACAGTAAATCCACTTCCCTCCTTAGCAAAGCGGGAGACAAAATGAAATAAAATAGGTATACACCCTTTTAAACAGGGAAGCACCACGGCCACTAAATATTACGGGTCCAAGGTGAGCTATATTTGATTTCTATAATATGTATGGCAGAATCGCCTAAACGCACGGAAATTCACCCTAGTTGACACAAGATCCCCATAGTATACCGCCCCAGATGTCACCTGCAAGCAGCTTTATATTACGTTCATTATACCAAAGACTACATTCCCAGAGGATATGACGAGCAGACTGTTCATAGTGAGAGTTAGGTGTTGAGCATTGACACAATGGTGACTCGACTAATTTAAATGAATACAGCTTGCTCTTAAAGTTACCATGCCCCGTAAGAAATTGAGCGACACAGTGATCCGGACACAATCCGGAAGCAAATGTTATATTGATTAATATGCATTTTCTTTTGCAGGCTACGTAATGGCGGGCGCATATTACCCTCCAGCAGCATACCCGCCCGTCCCTGCGCCGGCGCAGGATGACTTTGCAGACTACATGTGGATGGAAAATGAAGAAGAATTTGACAAACAGGTGTGACAGATAATGAACTATGTTTTAGGGAGCATCTATTAATTACGTGATATATTTTCCTTTAGATCTATCTCCACGGCTTTCGCGTAAGATTTACAGGCGACCGTTTATTAAAGAAACAAGACAAAACAATAACAATAAATTACATATATTTTTACCAACAATTCGTTTAACTAGCTTGGTTTATGGGAAGAACTTCTACAAAAAGTAATATAAAATATTTTTTTATTTTATTTTAAACTTCGTGTGTCAAAATAGACTATGAGAAAGGGGAATATCATTTGTAATACTGGTTTTTCTCACGCGCGGCGATAAAAATAATATCAATTTTTTTCTCTTTATTTTTGAAGTGACCCATCAGAATGATAGATATTCATGGGAGTGTTTCTTTTTTCAAACTAATAAGTTATGAAATTGCTTTGACATTACATTTTGTCTGACATAACTGTTAAAATTTATATTATAAAATTTGACTGCACGGATGGCGTAGTGGTTTAAGCGGTCGCCACGCCGCTTCCTACTACGCCGAGTGTTGTGGGTTCAAACCCCACATGGGACGACACTTTGTGTGATCCACAAATTGTTGTTCTGAGTCTGGGTGTTCTTTGTGTCCGTTTCATGTATGTTTGTAAAGTCCCCCGCGACACAGGATTTATACCTAATGCGGAAGTTGTCTTTAAAAAAAAAAAAAAAAAATTATTGCCATAACCCAAATATAAAAATGTGTTGGAACCTTCTTTTTTTTAAATCGATTACAAATCGTATCGGTTGATTTATAATGTGTCTGGTTCGCTTTCCTTAGTTTTTTACAACACACATTATCAAGACACCTTTTGCTTCGCATAACCTGTCTGTGGAACATCGTCTGCAGTATTTCCGGACTAATACGATATTCAAACCTTCAAGAAAAGAGCGAGGTCCCCTTCAAGAAAGGTCGACAACGCGTTTGTGACTGATCCGTCTGCTTGTCTACCGAAAAAAAACCAAACAGTTAAATATACAATAGACTATACTACGATTAATACAATCTGTGATAAAGCTTATTACAAAAAAAAAGGAAATAACAGATAACACGGTTCAATATACGTCGGTTAAAATAAAAATAAAAAATTAATACGAAAATACAGAAATGCAAATTTATAATAAACTAAATATAAAAAAAATAATTGCCGAATTAGAACACCATTGATAACATGAGTCGGTGAACTGTACACGGCAATGTCGGCGACATCAAAGCGACGCCGTCGCCGCGACGAGCCGGCGAACTTAAAGTCGCGACGTGGCGGCCCAATTTCGTCTTAAGGCAATCAGGCCGCCATCCTATCCCTTACCGCAGCATTCAATCTGCCACCAGAGGTCCCCACGGGCCCGCGGCCCCGTCGCCGGCTGGTATGGTCGCCGACGTCCTCTACGCTCGGGATCGGCCCTCTCCCGATCCCGTTCAGCGGTCTCTTTCTGGAGCATTACAGCTTTACAGAAAGAGACCACTGCACCCCATCCCTCCTCACCCGCCAGCATGGCAGCAATAATTGCTGGCGGGGCAGGTCTCTTCCGATTTGGCCGACCAGGACTTCGCATTCAGACGCCCACGCGGGGCAGACTTCCAGCGTGTGCTGGGCGGAGTCCCAGTCGGCTGCGCAGTGTGGCATTGTGCCGTCTCCTCGCGTCCGATACGATTCAGGTACTCACCGAAGCAACCATGCCCAGTGAGTACCTGCGTCAGTCTTATTACCTACCTACTGATCACCTCACTTTCTTTTTAAAATCTATTTATTAAAATTAAGATTTTATTCACCTGTTTATTTCGGGAATGCTGGACTAGCTTCGGACCCGGCAGTACGTGTCACTCCTTAGAAAAGTAGGTACTTTCTTTGTCTCCTAATCTTTGTACCGCGCTTACAAAAATTCGGCTGTCTGTATGACATACACGATTGATTCCATACCTCGGTTTGTCCGTAAAGCTAAAGATGCGTTTTGATATAGTTCGCGGTAAATTAACATCATGGCAGGATATTCCGCGGCTGTGAAGGTCACTCGCGGCATTATGGATGCGATACCGAAAACCCAATAAAATTAAAAGTCTGATAATGCACTCAGTTTGACACACACTACACACACAAACTAATATTGTCACTTTTCTAAATAAAATTATCGGGACTCGGTACAACATGAAGTCTTGCACGCACGATAACATTAATTGTTCACACTATTCCTGTGAATTATGACAAACGCGATAAGACTAAACAATTATTTATCTTGTGTCAACTAGGGTGAATTTCCGTGCGTTTAGGCGATTCTGCCATACATATTATAGAAATCAAACATAGCTCACGTAGGACCCGTAATATTTGTGGCCGTGGTGCTTCCCTGTTTAAAAGGGTGTATGCCCATTTTACTTCATTTTGTCTCCCGCTTTGCTAAGGAGGGAAGTGGATTTACTGTATTTCCAACTCCCCCAATTTTCTTCTGATTAATTTCGTTGCGGGTTCCAAGACAGTTTAATTTCTTCCTGGGACTTCCCGAGTGTCATAACTCGGTGTGTTCGTGGGTCACTGCTGTGGATCCTGGTGTACAGGAGTTACAGTGGTGGGCGTGTGGGTGGGATTAGTCCTAAACAATTATTAACACATCAATTAAAACTTTTCTAAACAAATATTTCACGAACAGCAATAATGTTATTATTCCGATAGTTCGTTGTGAGCGCATCTACAAGGTCACAGAACAGCATAACAGTCAGCGAATCGTGGTGGCTTAGGGCCGACTGAGTGTACTTACTGGATGAACTAATTAAAAACGCGTGTTTATACATATTTGGTTCGATTGGAGTGTAGTAAAAGCGACAAGGTGTGATTACCGCGCCGCGTATACAGCTGATCGGCGCCTGAGGTCAATGTATTATGACAGCATTTATACATGATGTTGCAAATTATGAAAACAAAAAAATTGCCCTGTTTCTAAACCACTGATTATTTTTTGTTGTTCATATTTTGTAATTCGTCTAAAAATAAAAGCAGAATATATTTTATAAAGCTTTGATTTGTCTTTTAAAACTCTCTGTGTACAAATACCTAGTTTTAAGAAGTTTAATGTCGGTTGAAATTATATTCTTTAATTATAGACAAAACTTTGTACCAATCAAACACTGAATTTTCACTTTGTTGGAGATAAAGTCTCTTTTAGAGATTAATTTTCTTTCACTTAACTTTCGTACATTTACAAAAGATTTTTGCTTGAAGGTCTAATTACTAATCACAAAGCCAACAAACGTAATGACAAAGGAAATAACGACAATGAAAAAATATCGGTAACTAGAGATACTAGACCAGTCAAGTGACTATCAACGTCAAATACGACAATGATCAGCAAAAAGCACACTGTTAGGGAATTCCCCGAGTTCGCTATGAAGATAAACGGTAACCGCCACCGGGGTAGTAGCGTATCCGGGGAAGTCCGAGAACCAGAAATATAAAATAGAGATATGAAACATGTTGCCAGAATAGTAAACAATTGCTAATCTAATCTAAGGAGCAGGCCGTGCCGCTGTCCTAAATGACGTTTGACGTGTTCTTAAATGACAGTTGACAGACCGTAAACTGACATTTCAAGGCCACGTGTATAGTTATAAACTTACGAGGAAGGCTGACGCGAGCACTCCGTATACAAGACTATTTATCTAGAATATTTCTAATAACCAATTTGTATATTAAAGCATCAATCATCTGGATTGAAGTACAAACTTTAAATCTTCTATTGGTTACATTTTGTTAATATCACAAGGTTGAAATTCTACAGTATTCCATTTCTTGTTACAGGTGATGCAACAGCTAGAAGAAGAGGCGCTAATGGAGCAATGTATAGAGGCAATGTTAGAGGATGAACAGCGGGAAAGACACAACAGACCCACAGCAAACGGACACAACCACCATTACCCCACGTAAGGAAACCCACTTACTGACTACTGAAATTATAACCACCAACACAAAAACCTATCGGTTTTTCACTACAAAGATCTGTCATCATCATCAACAGCCTTTGAAAGTCCACCTTCTTCTTAGAAAGGGGGTTTTGGCCTACTATACCACCCTTTTTTTTTATTTTATTTTCCTGTGTGGAAATCCCCTCGGTCGGATGGTGGTTATGTCGGACTCGCACCGCCCAAAAACAGCACGCCGTTTCAGGTACCAGTTGCCGGGGAACCAGGTGTACCCTAGAAAGGAAATCCCTGGTACCCCGATATACCTCGGGCCATCAACGGCGTGTAGATGACCCTCTCCTGTGTGGGAACCGCCTACTATACCACCCTGGCCAGATAGGTTTGTTTCAAGTCTCTTTTAGCAGTGCTGTTCCGCTTAGTTTGCTTCCTTAGTCGGCTCTTACGACACCCACACGAAGAATATGGGTGGTGACACTCCATACTCTTAATCCATCACCATACAGAATACAAATTTTTCCATACCATACATACATCATAAACCCTACTGTATAATAATAATTATTATTATTTGGACATATCTCACATCGCTATGGCAACAGGACTGCTGATAAACATACTTATATATTTCTAAATACATACATCATACTTAATCTATACAAAATAAAATTGGTGATAAAACACCCAGACACAGAACAAATCAGTTTTCACATAATTATGATAAATGTGAAAACTGATTCCAGGTAAGAACTAAACACATAACAATATATTTATCTGCAGTCTGGTTACCATAGCACAAGTGCTGTCTGTTTTAGGACCAGACTTCTTTAACTCCTGCACTAGGAATATATCCTGTGTCTCGGGGGACTTCACAAACATACATGAAACGGACACGGAACATCCAGACTTCATCAATCATCAACAGCCTTTAACAGTCCACTGCTGGACATAGGGCTCTCCTTAGAAAAGAGGTTTTGGTCTACTATCAGAACATCCAGACTTAGAACAACAATTTTTGGATCTCACAATTGTCCCATGTGGGGATCGAATCCACAATACTCAGCGTAGTAGGAAGCGACGTGGCGACCGCAATTTTAGGACCAGACATTTTTATTAGATTACACCTCACCATACTATACTGTAACAAATATAATTATTCCAATTTTTCAGGACAAGTAATGGCACACCATCCCTGTCACTCGAGGAGACAGTCTCAAAATCGAAGCTCAACCCCCTCGCAGCAGAGTTCGTACCCACCGGGGCTAGACCTGCAAAAGGTAATGTTCGACAGGCCTGTTTTTAGTGGGTATGCTGGTTGTGGATTTGATTCCCATCCAAGATACATAGTTGTGTGGAATTAGGATAGAGAGTCATGTGTGAGATTGATTATGATTATTATTAATATCATATATGAGAAAGTAACTCTGTCTGTGTGTTGATGCATTAAATCTGCTAAGTTACACTTAGTACTAGCTGGTGCCTGCGACCATTTACACCTTTAATACAAACAGCCTTTAATAGTCTACTTCTGGACATAAGCCTCTCCTTAGAAAGGAGGTTTTGGCCTACTATACCACGCTGGCCAGGCGGGTTGGTATAGGGTTTGAAGTTTTCCTTCTCTCTGCAGTGCTTTTGTTGTGCATAGTTTTCTCCCTCAGTCGGCTCTTACGACACCCACGGCATGAATAGGGATGGTGACACTCTGTATTCTTAATCCGTCACCACACGGACAAATAAACATTCTTATAAATTTCTAAATACATACATAAACCATAACATAAACCTAAATACAAAAGATACTACTCAATCTAAACTATTTAGAAACAGAAAATTTGCTAGAGATAGTGGCGTAGTCTGTGTTAAACTCAATAATTGTATACACACATATACATATATATGTAACATACACACACACACACACACACACACACACACACACACACACACACACATACACACACACACACACACACACATACACACACATGCGCATGAATGCATACATAAATATCCACGCTTAAAAACAGCATTGATAATATTACTGTGAATTCATTTGGGGGGCCTGGAGCTCTAAAATACAGGCATAGGCTTAGATTGGACTCCAGATCTCCCACAAATCACCAATTAAGCCACATATTTGTCAACTTAAATAAATTATTAAGATTTTTGTAATTTGTGGAGATAAATAAATGTATATATTATGTATAAATAAAAAACACCCAAACTCTGAAACAAATTTGCAGAGCTTACAAATTTGATCCGACCCGGGAATCGAACCCGAGACCTCAGAAACAACAATTTGTGGATCGCACAAAGTGATGTCCTATGTAGGGATCGAACACACAACACTTAGCACAGTAGGAAGTGGCGAGGCGACCGCTTAAACCACTACGCCATCCGTGCAGTCAAATATATATACTGATTAATGGGTTAACTTAACGTATCTATTTCTTTTACAGAAGAAAGACAAAACACACCTGACGCACCGGTCACAGTAGAACCGACTCAGAAAACAGAAGAGGCGCCTTCAGAAGAAACAACACCCGTTGAAAAAGTTGAAGATGAAGAAACAAAAACAGGTGGTGAGTATACCTTTCTTTTTCTTATAGAAATGAATAAATTCATCATCATCAACAGCCTTTAATAGTCCACTGCTGGACATATGCCTCTCCTTAGTAAGGAGGTTTTGGCCTACTTACCACGCTGGCCAGACGGGTTGGTATAGGGTTTGTGTCAAGTTTTCCTTCTCTTTGCAGTGCTGTTGTCCTGCGTAGTTTGCTCCCTCAGTCGGCTCTTACGACACCCATGGGATGAATGGGGGTGGTGACTCCGTATTCTTAATCCGTCACCACACGAATATTATTGTGTGAAAATACAAATATTTTATTCCATCGATTTTGATATTAATTGAATTGATTGACAACCCATCCCAAACCCGAAACTATAATTAATCAAATAGAAGTAAAAAATTTACTTCTCTTACAGAACCAGTCCCTCCACAAAAAGATCCGCCGGAAGTGAGCGCAGCGGACGTACCTCCCATAGACAAAACACAGAAGTCTCCTCCTAAGGAGGTAAAGAAGGAACCCGTTAAACAGACGAAGGTGGACCCCAAGAAACCCGCTAAGATTGAGGTCAAACCCAAAGTCAAGCCTGTCGCTGTTAAATCTGAAACAAAGGTAAATTAATAAATAAATTTTGAGTGGTTTTATGAAAAGGCAATTCTTATTTTAGTTAATATTGACAGATAATTATAGAGACATGGGTACAGAACATCCCACACTAGCGGACCCGACAGACGATTCCGACCATCATCGAAGACACATGTCTGAAACTAAAAAAACAGTAGTACTAGGAGTGCCGACAGAAGTGAAATCTTATATACTGAGGTGTCGGTAACGGTAACAGTGTCGCGAGTTCAATGTTTTTTTTTTCAGATCTTATAAAATGAGTTTTCTCTTGTTAAACCATAAAATACATTATTTTGTTTGTTCTCTAAAAATGCCCAACTTAAGAAGTTTTCACTTCAACAGAGGTGTCGGTAACGGTAACAGTGTCGTTGCGAGTTCAATGGTTTTACCCATTTCAATAAATGTGTTTTTTGCAAAACCATAAAATACATTCTTTTGTTTGTTGATTAATAATGCCCAACGCGTTTTAAGAAGTTTTTACTTCAAAAAATATTTTGTAATGGACTGAATTGACTCAAATCCACTTGAACACACATACAAAATTCATCAAAATCAGTTGAGCCGTTTAGGAGTTTCGGAATTTTTTGTGTGTGTTCAAGTGGATTCGAGAATGGTTTAGATTCATGGTATGATGATTCTTATATGACGGTATGATGTGCAAATGGTGTAGTGGTAGCAGGTGCGACTGCCGTGTTCAGATCTCGGGTTCGAGTTTTCTATGTATATAAGTATTTTATTAGAGAATCTCACTTAGCTTTGCTTAGTTCGAAACTTAACTAACTTTTTACCGTGGGAGAACGGAAGTGAAGTGACGAACGGAGTGATACCATGGCCTCACAGAAAACCGGTGGTAAGCAATTCTTTTGTAGCCTTTCACTGAGTGAGGTTAGCGGAGCCCAAATCCCCCCCCCCCCCCCCGCTGACTGGAGCGGCAGGGACTCCAAGCGCGGCAACGCACTCCAAGCGCGGCAACGCACTTGTGACTTGCAGGTGTCCATGGGCGGCGGTAGTTGCTTACCATCAGGTGACCCGTCTGCTAGTTTGCCCCCCTTATACCATAAAAAAAAGATCGTCGTTGTGTGTCAGATGTTAAATGATGATCAAAAAAAGATTGTGGACATCCGCTGGCAAAACTATATCTAAATAAGAGAACATTGCAGGTGCAACCTAAGAAGAAAGAAGTGAAGACAGTCAAAAGTGACACGAAGACAGAAGATAGCAAGACAGTGGAAGAGACGCCAGCCGAAGTCACCAAGGTTAGTTGAGGTATTGACGTTCTATGCACACGATATCTTCTACTAGCTGACCCTGCAAACGTTGTTTTGCTATTTACATTATTTAAAATTATTATTTTTTGAATTTCCTAAAATCCGTTCTTAGCTGACCTCTACTCGGTGAAAAGAATATTCCTACCAAATTTCAAGTCTTTAATGGTTCCAGAGATATCGTGATGAGTGACTATATACGTGGAAATCTATATAATATAAGGGATTTGAGAGAGAAAAAAATATATATATAGATAGTACGGAAGAAAAAAAATAGATATACCCAAATTTGTTGCTAGCTCAAAACTCGAGAACGGCTCGACCAATTCTGCAATTTTTTTAGGGTTCCGTGCGTCAATAGGAAGAAACGGAACCCTTATAAGATCACTTTGTTGTCCGTCCGTCCGTCTGTCTGTCTGTCAAGACTCTTTATCTTGGGAGCGCGTGGAGATATCGCGTTGAAATTAAAACGATATACTCAGGTCTAAAGTCTCTTGAAGCTGTGAAAAAATCAAACTTTTAAGTTAACGTTAAAAAAGATACGGCCGTTTATGGCACAAAAAACGTATATTTCGACACTCAAGGGAATCAATATTTATAGGATATTTTCCGTTCACCAGGGACTTCCTTTCTAGGGTATACCTGGTTCCCCGGCTTTTAGTACCCGAGACGGCGTGCGGTTTTAGTCGGTTCGAGTCCGACATGCCACCGATAGGTGGTATCCGAGGGGATTTCCGCAAAAAAAAGAAAAAAGGGTATTTTCCGTTGACCTAGAACTATGAAATTTGGCAAATAATACCGTCTTATACTACAAGTATAGGGAAAAATCTGAAAACTAAACATTTGTAATTAAATCATTAAAAAAACAGGTAATATGGAATAGCATTAACTCTTAGGACGTCGCGGCGCGCGGATGACCTATGACCCGTTACTGTCGCGCCCTTGAACTAGTGACCCAGTCACAGCTGAGCGAAGTCATTATTACCTCAATATCTACGTTATTTTATAATTATATTCAATGAAATAAACATATTTGGAAGCCCTGATGTTGAATGTTGTGACAGAGACGCTACCGCGTAAAAATTTGGTGTCACAACTGTTGTGACGGCGACGCGTCGGAGGTTAAGCTACTTTTTATCTTGGAAAATCGAAATCCAAAATATGAACATATGATTATTTTCTCCAGCCACAGCCGACATCCACAGAGGAGTCCCAGCCGTCATCAGGATTCAAACCCATCAACTATGCAGCCGCAGCTAAAGCAAACAAACCCAAGAAACCATCTCCTACACCCTCAACAGGTTTGTACACTATCGTTAAACCTCTGCCATTTTTCTGTCCCTATTTAGAAATAACCACTGAATTTGCCCGCGGCTCTGCCCACGTGTATGCCATATGCCCACGATTATCGCAGTAAAAAGTAGCCTATGTCCTTTATCAAGAATGAAACTATCTCAATATCAAATTTCATTTAAAACGGTTTAGCAGTAATTGATTCCCCATACAAACTTCCACTCCCCTTTTCATCCCCCTTAAAGGATAATTTCTAGAAAACTATGTCCTTTCCCGGGACTCAAACTATCTCTATACCAAATTTCATCTAATTCGGTTCAGCGGTTTTAGTGTCAAGAGGTAACAGTCAGCCACACAATAATATATATATTTTTTATTTCTTTCTTTTTCTTTCTTTATTTTGCCTTTATTTCCGAAATATTTTCATTATTTACGTGTCTAAGTAATTTTTTTAGAAGAAAACTATAAGAAAAAGAATTTATAAAAGAAAGTAAAACTTATAAACTAAAACTACACTTTTGTTACATGATATCTCTTTGTTTGGTTTGTCTTACAGCAAAGGCCCCTCCATCTCTCTCCATTGTATTCTCTTTCTGTGTCACTCTCATCCAAAGTGGTCCTTAGGTCATTTTTAGGTCATCTGCCCATCCTATTGCTTTACGAACTATTTATAATATTAGTATGACTATATTCAAATGATATTTTTTACAGAAAAACAACAGCCACAACCGCAGCCAGCCAAAACAGAAAAAGTCAAAACAGAAAAAGTTGACAAAAAAGTTGATAAATTGAAAAGCGATAAACTTCCAGCGAAAACGGAAAAAGTCAATGTACAAAGGAAAAACTCAGCCAAGTAAATGTTTTTTGGCAGTTTGCTATTAGTTTTTTGTAACAGAAATGGAAAATATTCACTTTGATTGCCTGTGGACTAACTCATGACTAAAATAGTAGGACGCACAAATGGTATTCTGCACGCACGGCAATTTAAAAAAAGTTATCATTCCAAATTTAAATAATCTCGAATACAAATTAGGAACTCGTTACGTCAAAGGATGTAGTGACATTATTTGAAATGAGAATTGGATTATTGGCGCCAACACGCTTTAATTTCTTTTCTAATAGTTTTAAAATTGGAAAAGGAGTCTCATTGGTCAAAAAGTTTCAATACATCTTTGGAACTTCAATGCGTTTCTTTTTTTTTTAAGTTATCTTTATAGGCATGAGGTCTGCTATTTTGGTTATTGGTCAGAGACTAGATCCACAGGGTTTTTTGAATAGTCTGTAACTTTGGCGCAAAGATCACCTCTCAAACAGCCTGTACAGCGAATTGAGTGTAAAGTTTGATTGTTTGAAAATAATTTGTGATATATCATGAATTTGCATTTTTTTGGAATGAAAAAAAAAATACATAAAAAAATTATTATAATAGTGTAAAAATAATGTATGGTTTACAATATGTGAATAATTAGAAATTAAAAATTTAAAAAAATATTAGATATTTCATGTGTCGGTTGATTGGTATTGATTTTTAAGATGAATATATTAAAAAAAAAAACGGATTGCCGCCGGCATAATCTATGTGTAGACTCCACTATATTTCATGCCGGGGACAAACATACAAAATATACCCTCAAATCCCCATAAGGACACTTTTTAAACAATATTTGATGGTTCACCATTAATTTTAAGGATCCATACGAAAATAATTGCACAAGCAAACTTTATACACAGCTAACAATCTGCCACAAATCGTATGTTTAGGTCGTGTCCATTATGGGCTAATTTGTTTGGACATCATAAATATATTCATTTTATAGTTTTATAAAATTAATCGTGTTTTAAATATAGAAATGCTTTATACGTTTTTAATAGGCATAAAAAACTTTTTTTTGTGTTAAGTGGTGTTCAGTCTATTGGTCATTTGGTGTGTACTGTGTACCCCACACAGATACTTTTTGATAAATATAAAATGGAGATTCTGTTCTAAACAAAAGGGTAGGGGATGAAATAATTAATATTTTGAATTAAGAGTGATAAATTAAATAAATTATTTGTGTAATAATAATAATATATCGCTTTATTGTACACCAGACTAAACTATGTTAGTACAAGTGGCGGCCTTATCGCTCAGAGGCAATCTCTTACAAGCAATGGAGAGACAAACATGAAGGGGAGGGGGTATTGGGTAGTGGTAGTGAAATTAATTAGATGTGTCAATGGTATTATTTTTTGGAGGGAAGGGGGGTGGGGGGGGCTGCCACTTAAAAAAATCAACTATTACAGTGGTACTGATATTCCTATTATTTGCTTACTTGGATCTTAGAAATTTTGACATTGGATTTGGATTTTTTATATTAATTGTAAAATAGACTTGTTTTTTTTTATGAGGCGTTGTTCCAATCCATGGTAATATCCAATCTATGGTAATAAACCACAATGTCTTTGTTAATTATTTTAAACCTTTGCTTTTGCTATGCACTGTCGATACAGAGTTACCATATTATAAACTTTTAGATGCCAGACGACAAATATTAAATTTTTAATTGACTAAAAAGACGCCATTGTCAATAGGTCTCTTTAAAAAAAAACACAAAAATATTAGCTATCTGGCGAAATATTATAAACTTAAAGTACTAATTTGTTAAAGACGTGGTTTTACTCTCATGTGTATTTGTCACGTCACACACTAACGTTTAGGTTCTACACGCATTGAAAAAGGGCCCCCGTCGTGTCCGAAACTTAAATATACAACTTTAATAATAAAAACGGCGTGTGGGGTCTATAGACCCCCGGTCGGCTCGAAATATCTTTCGCTTTTCGGTAGATGTTTGCTACTTATATAAAATATGAAAAAGATAAAGACGCGACAACTAGAGTGTCGGAAAAAAATCTTGTTACCCCCCTCAGAGAGCTTAACGTGCGATAAGACACTTCGTTCTAATAAATATGAACACTGTCCGTTTTTTTTTATTATTAATTGATCCTACGTGTCACACAGACGGCCAAAAGATAATGTTGTAATCTTCGAATACCTGTTAAGTTTATTAAAAACGTATTCTGCATTGAAAAGGTTATCAAACCCGGGGCTCACCCATAAACTCGTGTTGTAAATTTAATTATAAAAAAAGATGTATATGAAAAAAAAATGAAACTGCACATGTATGTTACTAATTACTAGAATAGTTTAGTTTTAAAGTGTGCGGAGTTTGTTTACTCGAAAAATTTAAATAGCAAAATAAAACGCGGTACAGAATTTCGCGCGAGTCACACTGTTTTCGGCTAGAAATTGTTAGTTTAAAGCTTTCTAGATATATATTGGCGCACACATAAAATTTGACTTGATTTGTATATTAATAATGTGTGCGACTAAATTGTTTCGAGCGTAATTTTTCTAGAAGGAATTAGAAAATTCTGATTACAATATACAACGACGACAATCTCTTAATAATGTTGATATTAAAAGTTAAGTATCGCGCGAGTTTCCTGTATTGCTGTAGCAAAAAAAAAACATAGTGTATATTCCTCAGATAGTGTTGCAAGGTTGGAAATTACTCGGATTGTAATTTTTATGTAGGGTACCACCTATATAGAGAATTTTTTTTTTTCTTTTAATCTAAACAGGGAATCTGTGGTTCGACATAGTCATAAGGTGAACATTATCTTTTTTTTAAATCATAGCTATTACAATTGGTTTTTTTTTTTACGTTTGTAATATGTAGTCTTAGGTGTTTTTTTTTCAACACGAACTCTTAAAACTCCTGAGAGGCTAGTGCACGTTTATTTCACTTGTACTCTTTCGTCACGGTGATCGCGTTCGGCGATGCGATTGGCCCACACTGAAATCTTCACCAATCACAACGCCACATGCGGTCACTTGAGTCGCTGTGAAATGAACTTACACCAGGCCCTCTGAACATCTGCAGTTCACATTCCCATAATCCCATATCTCCCCATTAGAAAATACCCTAAGATTATGTACTATAAACGCGATAGTATATGTATGTAATTAAAAACTAGATATTTTAAATTTTTTGTTTGTTGATGTTTTGGTACGTAAGGGCAATGGTACGCTATACCTGAATTGTATAATTAAATGGCGGACGATTGTTCTTCTTATGTAGAACGGTTTGTGAGAAAAATTACATCAGAAGACAATAAAAAATTGGGTTAAAAACATTTATAGTATTTTCCCACACATTTATTGACAATAACATAAACTATAAAAAGATAAAATTATGAGTCGTATGTTTGAATGTACCATGTGGTAAAAGTCCTTTAAGTTGTACCTTTGAGTGTGGCTAGTTGGTATCGCTAGTGTCTTTTTGTCGTATTGTTACCGACGCTAGTGGTACAAGTATGTAACACTAGGTCATTTGAGGTGTTCCATTGACAGTATTAACGGTACTAGTCTGTATCGCTAACACTTTTAAAATGTATAAAGCTAACTTAAATATTAAGATAGCTGTGTTATTTTCGAAGGAGATTTAAAATTTTTGATCCTTTAAATAATAATATTGATACCTTAAAGGTACTAGCGATATAAATTTAGTACATATTACAAGTTTAAGCTTGTTTAGAGTTTGGTACAAGTCTACATGCTAAATATAGAAGGCCCCCCTATTATTTACGTATCAACTTTATCCATAGATATAAAATTATCTCAGAGTGACATATATAGTACACTCTGTGGTACATGTTAAAGGAAACGTCGATCTGGTGAGAGGTTATATTATTTTTTTTACAATTCACACCTACTGTCTGCTAAAATGTATACCTACAGAATTCTGTAGGCCACGGCATCGAGATTAAATTGGTGTCATAAAAATATGAGAGCCGACTTGTAGGAAAAGTACAGAGACTGTCGTTGATTTTTTACACGCTTTATATTAGCTTCACTTGTATGTTTGTTTGTATGTTTGTAACCGACTCCTTTGGGCGTGATTTTGACTGACTTGAAACGGTCAGAATTAGTTCAAACTTTGTAGATATATCGAGGACCGATTACAATACACTAATTTCTATAGAAAACGCTAAAAAAAATAACGCTTTCTATAGAAAACCAAACTAAGAAATAGAAAATAAATTTGAAAAAAAGCGTGGGTTGCCTGTTGTCAAATAGTAAAAAGCACTCCGTGAACCCATGAACGAATTCTGACCGTTTAAAGTCAGTCAAAATCACGCCCAAAGGAGTCGGAGTTACTAAAAATTCTAAAAAAAAACATACCGTAACTTAGACTGATGCTTGTATGTCTGTAGCGGGTGTAATTTTTCGCACAGCCATATGTAATGACCTTATTAAAACAGGATGTTTCGTTATAATAACTATTATTATTAAATACACTTTTTAAATTAGTACCTCATAATATTATTAGTTAATTTAATGACCATTAGTCTAGATTAGTCTGTGGTAGATTTTGAAAATATATCTATTCTATAAAAGCCGTGTGAGTGAAGTAAGGGAATGATTTTATAGTCGTGTAATGAATAAAAGTTTTGGGGAGATAGAATTTTAGAGGATGGTCACACTAATGGCAGAAAAAGAATGTGTTTTATAGTAAGTTAGTACAAAAAAGGATTTCAAAATCTACCGCCGATCGTTGGAGCAAACAAAGCGCCATTGAACGTTTTGAACATGTTATTGTACATTTTTTGGTGAATTAATAGACAAGGCAACACTGTTGATATATAATCATGGACAACTACAATTTTAAAGTATCATACATAGATCATTTCAGGCATAAAAATCATATCCATCAGAAACAAATATGAAAAAAAATGTGCTGGGTGGATATAGATACTTTGGTCTAATTATTATATAATTTCCAATTTAAAAGTCTGATTATTAAAGTCTACATCA